AAAGGGGTCTGAAAGGAGCTGCCTTCATAAGTCAGTGTTAATTTTAACCCTCTACTCTCACGATCTGAGTGTGCTGAGTGGCAGTAAGACATCCGGTGAGCTGATAAGCCTGCTGGTCTATTCCTGACTGCAGCACAACCGATTAGCACAGAGTTGAGTTCTGATCCTCTAACATCTGATCTGTGACAGTGGTCAGCGCTTAACTTCACCATCAACCACTGCTCATTTATAAAAAATTACATTTTAAAAACATTTTTAATGTTAAATCCAGAGGTTTTCTGGGTCTGAATGCATACAGTGTCCCCTTGCAGATAACTCAGGTGAAGTAGATTAACACTAATTGCTCACATTGAATTCTCCTGTGTGCAGCAGGAAGTAAATCCAAATTAGAACTCAACTGATCCCAGAATGTAGAGCTGCCAGTTGGGTTTCTGGCTCTTTGCTGAAATGTGAAAAGGGCAAAAGCCCTTCTCAAGTTACCAGAGACCAACATGTCTTCTGACAGTCAAGTGACATTTTGAAGGAATTTGGATTCAGTTGAGCTGAGTTTGTCAGGTTTGACTTCATCACTGTGGTGCAGATGTTTGAGCAGTAGTTGGCTGTCTGCCCTTGTTGTCGTGCAGCATGAGACTAGGGTTGCAACAGTGAGACGTCTCACACTATGATAAGGTGTTCAGTTTCAATGACCCTTAAAGGAATTGGAACGAAGGGTTTTTGTTTTAATACATAAGCAGATGTGCACTGTAACTGTCAGTTCTCATACAACGGTACCCCCAGTGTCTGTATATAGTGTGTATACTGCTGCAACCCTAACCAGAGGGTCACATTGGGTGAGGTTTCTGCTTATAGGATTTCTGCTTATTCAACTTGTGTCACTCGAGTCTTAACGTTGAAGCAGGATGTATTGACCATGTGACTGTGTGTAAGCAGTGAACAAACTGACACGGTACTCTGGTGGAGGTCAGGGCCTGGTCAGCGCTTCAGACAGGTAATTGATCATATTGTGATCGCTGTAGTCCGTAAAGGCCTGAAAGCTGGTTGTGGATTTGGCACAAACATCCACTTTTCCTCCTTAGCATCTGACCAGTACACTGCGGCAGATGAGACTTGGTGTCACAGTGGGCCTCAGTGGGGTCAGTTTTATCCAACATGGGCCAGGATGTACTGTCTCTTTAGACTGGGTTGGCACTGTCACTAATGGTGGAAACACTGATTTTACAAAGCATTAATATTAAATGTGGATTGGTCAGATTTGGCTTAATAAGGTCACGATCTGATTGGTGCGGCCCCGACGTAGAGCAGCTCTGTTCTGTCTTAACTTATAAAATGAGCTGGGTTAAATGTATTCCCAGTGTTCATTGTAAGTCAGTATTGAGGTGATTATTGTAAAGGTTACTTGTTGACCAACGTTCTTTTACTGGTCATGACTCAGTCACTCAGACTCACTTAAATCCATGACTGGATTTAAAACAGACAAAACACAATGCAGCACAATACTTCCCCTCCATCTTGTCTTCATAATTGCAATTTGAAAGTCAAATTGGTTAAAGTGGTACACTGAACAGTTTCACTGGCTGCTGTCTCTCACATGACTCAAGATTTTATTCAGTGTACTTGTCCAAGATTGGGAACATTTCAATCTACAAGTGACATTTGTTACTGCTTTCAGATGAGCTTTACCTTTCGGGACGAATTCCTCTCGACGCAAAATGTGTTGCAACTGAACCCTTTTTACCATTGTTGCTGTAGAACTGCTGTTTTGCCATAAGTGAGCCACAAAAGATTCCATTAAAGCCCATTGAACCCTGGAATATATTGTACAATGCTATGTATGTGTCCCTGCAGGCCTCTGAGGACCTCCTGATGCAGCACTACATCGACCTGAAGGACAGACCATTCTTTCCTACCCTCATCAAATACATGAGCTCTGGTCCAGTGGTTGCCATGGTAAGAACACACAACAGATTGTATAAGGGGTGGTGTGCCTGTTGAACCAGAGAGGCTTAAACCCTAGAGAGGAGTTAGGAGCCTAAGACATGCTCTGCTTCCTGGCTGTGGTCAAAAATAACTTCTGCTGTTACTCAGTAATTCTACTGCGCTAACAGAACAGCTGGTTCATCCTCTCATCCCTCTGTTCTCTATTCCAGGTGTGGGAAGGCAAGGGTGCAGTGAAGACAGGCAGGGTGATGCTGGGCGAGACCAACCCTGCTGAGTCCAAGCCTGGAACCATCAGAGGAGACTTCTGTATCGACGTCAGCAAGTGAGTGCCGCCTGCGTACTGTGCGGAGGTCACATAGCAACGTTTAGACAGAATTATCACCTTCGCTCTTTTTCTCACTTTTTGCTCTCGTCCTGTTCACAGGAACATCATCCACGGCAGTGACTCAGTGGAAAGTGCCAACAAGGAGATTTCCCTGTGGTTCAAACCAGAAGAACTGGTCAGCTACACTAGCTGTGCCTTCAGCTGGCTCTACTAAACCACTCTGGGTCCTGCAGCAGTCCTCGCTCTGGTTTTGAGACCAGTGAAACTTTTGCCTCGGATTTGTTTTTGCCCACAGCCTAGAGGAGATGATGTGAAGTTCCTGTCCCAACAGTCCTCACGTCCCCTCTGACCATCATACTGAACTTTGATCTGATCTCTTCGGAGGCCAAGGTCTAGTCCAGATTCATTCCTGAGCTCCATTCCTTTAGAAACATTCCATCCTTTGAATATACAGTTAATGACTTGAAACAGTTTTTGGCTGTCAGTTTTGTTAAACAGTGATCTGCTTTCCAATAAAATGCACACAATACAAACGGTGTCCTTCCTTGGTCAGATTCCACACTGCACTAATGCACATATGATCCTCTGTGACCTGCTCAACTCTAATGGAGGGATTAGTTAATGGCACACTTCTAATGTGTTCATATCCACTCACACGCAGGATTGGAGAGGAGCCATAATCTGAGATTAGGTGGTTTCTTTCAGATCTGTCCTGTGCTGTGATGAGACAGCTGTGGGCTCAGTGCTTAGAGCAGTATTACTGCAATGGGCCTGCACTCACATTTTGATGTTGCGTTGCCGTAGGTAACTGTTGTAAAAATGTCTGAGAAAGATAATTGTCTCATGCCCTGGGTCAATATTAACAACCTTTCTTAGTTGTGGTTGTTTTCCTTCAGTTATGCTGGATTCTTGCAAATACCATTATGGTAAATGGACCTGTACTTGTATAGCACCTTTCTAGTATTCCAACCACTCAAAGCGCTTTTACACTACGTGCCACATTCACCCTTTCACACATTCACTCAGTGATGGCAAAGCCCATCAAACAGAAACTAACTCAGTCATACAGTGTGTGTGATGCACGGCATCGGGAACAATTTGGGGTTCAGTATCTTGCTCAAGGATACTTTGACATGTGGCACCAGGAGCTGGGGATCGAACCCACAACCTTCTGATTAAGGAACGACCCACTCTGCCTCTGAGCCACATGTATGATGAGGAAACTGGTTATTTTCTCCCCCAAACATTCTCTGTATTGTGTCCGAATATAGTAAGTTACCTGCTGCAGCTGCAGCACGGTGTATAGACTTTAAGAATAATGTATTCTGTTGCCGTTGCAGTGCAACATGTGGGTTAATTTAGTAAATAATAAATAAACCGGGTTCACCTGCAGGGTGGCTGGTAAATACGTTGGAATCATAGTGTGGGAGTTGCCTTTGTGTACTGGCAGACAAATGTGCCCCTCAGTCTCCACCAAATCAAAGTATTGGTGCTTTATTATGTAAACTCATTTCTGCCAATGTGACAGAAGAGACAGAAGTCCTGAGAAAGTCAATATTAGACTTTCTCAGTATTTAAAGTTGAAATATTTCTCATGATATACAGAATCTTTTTTTGGCACTTTGACTTTAACGGGCTTCCTTACTTTCTACACTGTCTGTTTTTGCTTTAACGTCTGTCACAATTTGGGTGTCCTAGGATAAAGCAACTTAATGGAACTTTTCTACCATAAAGATTCCGGGTGAACAAAGGTAGTGCCAGTGATGCTAATTAAGGTTCAGTTCAGGTCAAACAGGGTCCGGGGGGAGAGTTGGTACTCTGGGAGGAGAGTTTCCTGTGGAGGAGTCTGCAACGTAACCGGGCTCTGCTGCGTTGGCAGAGGAACCGTAGACGAGCTGGCCCGTCGTTGCAGTTATTTGATGTGTGTCAGTCCAATGTGACATCACTATTTATGGCTTAACGTTAATGAAGCAACCTTATTTCAGATTAAACAGGTTACTTAAGGCTGGTAACAAGGTTCATTATTATAAAGTTGGTCAGCTCAATTGATGTTAAATATTAAGATTAAAATACCCTCTGCTCCACACTGTCAAACGAAAAAAAGAAAGATTGTTTAAGTCAATAAATTGAGAAACTTTCAGAAAAATACTGATTTAGTAAAGTCATTATTTTTAGCCGCTAAGTCTGTATTTCTCATTTTAATGACAGAACCCTTTCTTCCCCGTCACCTTAGTAAAAATGGGCTTCCATATAAACCAAACTCTATTCTAAAAGCTGCTGTTTTATGGTAGGGTTGTTTAACCTATGCCTGCTCTCACCTATTGGAACAGCTTAATACCAATTATAAATAACTTAAACTTAACTTAAACTTAGCTTTTATTGAACCATTTCATTTTATGAATATGAAATTTGCCAAAAAATGTAAACAGTTAACATTTTGTTAATTACTTTCAATTTAACTTTATTTATATAGCACCTTTAATACAAACATGCAGCTAAAGTGCTTCACATAGAAAACACATATAATTCAATTCAATTCAATTTTATTTGTATAGCGCCAATTCCTAACAGAAGTTATCTCAGGACACTTTTCAAATAGAGCAGGTCTAGACCGAACTCTTTAAAACATTAATTACAGAGACCCAACAGTACCACCATGAGCAAGCACTTGGCGACAAGGGCAAGGAAAAACTGCCTGTTAAAAGGCAGAAACCTAGGACAGATCCTCCGGCTCTAGGTGGGTGGTCGTCTGTCTCGACCAGTTGGGGTGAGAGAGAGAGAGAGAGAGAGAGAGAGAGAGAGAGAGAGCGAGAGACAGACAGACAGACAGACAGACAGACAGACAGACAGACAGGTGCACAGCAACAACAGTATTGGCAATGGCAGTCAAGCAGGACCATGGCAGGAGGCTCCACCAGGATCCATGAGAACCTGCGAGACGAGAAAGCACAAATCAAAAATATAAACAAAATGAACGACCATAAATACAATTATTCATAATACACATATAAATAAAACTTGATGTGAAAAAACAAAACACCAGGGAGACAAATAATGTAAAAACAAAGATTAAAACCTAAAAACTAAGGCTATACTACAGTAAAAGCCAGACTAAAAAGATACGTTTTTAATTTCCTTTTAAAAACACAGACTGCTTGCAATTCTAATTTCCAATCATTGCAAAACAGATGAAAATATTGCTTCTGTTTTGCACTTTAATCTAAAATATTTGGAATCCATACAATGGAAAAGTAAGAGAAATCCCTTTTTTGTTCAGACCACAGACACGGGTCAATCCTCAGGACCCAGTATTTCAAACGCATGTGTGACATTTAGGAGCATCATTTGGCAGAAATATAATATAATATGATATAATGTATAATATAATATAATATGATTTCATTAGTGTATAATCACCATAATATAAGAATTGTTGTGTGAAATGTGTGACAAAACAGCATTACAGTGAGTACATGTAGTGATGTCCTGGTCTATGTAGATGTAAACAATAATTAACAATTATTAAAAACTAAATAAAACAAAAACTAATGAAAAAACTATATGTCCAGCTGGTCAGTCAATGAGAAACCATTATTTTACTTATGGTTATATAATGAAATTCAGATATAGTTGTCTTTATGCTACTTGTAAAAAATCAATTGAATAATCGCCTATGGAAGTAATAAAACAAAGACTGCAATTCCAGATTCTGTAATCCTGATTGTGTGCTGTCTGAGAGATCTGTTTGATCTGCCAAAGCACAAAATCATGGAAATCAAGGAGTCATTGAAAGCAAAACAATAAACAGCACACACATTCCTCATTTTTTTGGTATGTATGTATGTATGTATGTATGTGTGTATGTATGTATGTATTATTATGTGGCAGTACTGATTCCCCAAGTCTCAACTCAAAGAAATGGAGGCTGAGAACTTTAATTTAACTTTTATTCAATGTATAATGCCTCTTCAATAAAGGTAAATTAATGGGGAAGGTCCTTTAAGTGTCTTTGCAGTGCGCTGTCTGCTGCCGGCGTTCAGAGTGCCCTTGAAAGACTCGCGTGCTGAAACTCAGACGAAAGGATTTCCACCAGTGTCCGATGTCATAAGCCTTTTTATTCAGTGTAAAAGTCAGATCTTACAAAAATCACCAGATAAACTTTCACAGCCATGCGGAAACAGTTTGCAATGCTTGTAAACAAAGAAGCCGTTCATTACAACCAATATTATGATCCAAACATTTGGCTTTATTTACAAAGTCTATCAAAGCTTGATCACAGCACAAATTTACCATATGAAAGGAAACTGGTATACACTATCAAAAAGATGTACAAACTTTAAACTGCAATCTAATAATGTACCTCAGGGGGTCAGTGTTAATATCAATAGATTTATAATTATTAACATAGATTTTTTTTTTCATTTGTATCCAAAATAAATTTTGCACCATAACCTTCTCAACTCACAATTATTTTCAGACAATAGTTATCCAAATACATTTAGTCATTTTTATCAAATATATATAGCACCACAATATAATGGTTTAATATAATCAGGGGAGGGGAGGGGAGGGGGCATATCACATACAAAAGACCCGTGTTAGTATCCAAGAAAAAAAACAAATATCCAACTCCGGCCTGCTCCTCAGCACTGCCTACAAGTGGCAGCAACAACAGCCTTTCTAATGAAGCCAATTAACGCCACGGAAAGAAAAAATATACGATGAAAATAAGAAGTATTCATGGTGGTCAAAATGATGACATAGCAAGTCAAAAATTGAAGCCAGTTATTAGATATGTCAACATTTGGACTTTAACTGAATAATTAAAACTTGCTTTAAAAATTATAAGATAGGTTTGTTATTACCCTAATAAAAGACTTTTACCTTAAATCATGAAATAATATGTCAAAACAATGATAGTGAGTCTAATTAGTCAAAAGTTAAAGTTAGTGATACTAAATATATAAAAGCAGACAAGGTTTTGACTGTATTGTAATTTTGCCTTAGTAGGACAAAGCCTCTACTTAGTATCTGATCATTTTATTTAAAAAATTGGATTCAACACGAGTATTTTTTATCATGTCTAAAATTGGAAAGTTTTTTTTTTTTCTTTACTTGGCAGTAATATGCTTCCATACATTTTCTAAACACAGTGGAGGAGGAAAAACACAGACGGACTAAAGAACAACCAATGACGGTCACAAAAAAACCCAAAACAAGCTCAGCACAACATCGGCACAACGCGTTCTGTTCTACATGCATTCAGTTGATCAGTGCGCCCAATCCCAAATCAACTCATTGCTTCCACCTCCAGCTACTGATGCCCAAACACTTTAAATACACAGCTACCCGTGGATGGAGGTCAAACTTGTTCCATTTTTAGATTTGGGGATCAAGGTGAAACAAGAAAGTTTAATATCTACAAGGAAAAGTGAGAAACTGAAAATCCAAAACAGTGTTGATTGTGCATTTGATTATTTAGGGTTAATATAGAGTAGGTTAGCAGCAGTTAGTCCATAGAACAGTCTTTTTTTTTTTTTTTGTACTAAGATAATTAATGCAGTTTGGTCATGAAGTACTTTAATGCTTCATTCTGCCTTCCGACATCAGAGGAAAATAACTAACCTGAAACCGATCCGCCTCAAATGATTGTGAGACTGTCTTTTATTGCTCATTTGGTCTGAGAAGCCTAGTGATTCAGCTGAGCTTTGTGTCCAATCTGATCAGAAGACAAATCAAAGAGGAAACTGGTAGAAAACAAATCTCACACCCCGTTCAGAAATACAAGGAAAACCAGGAAGCTACAAAAAGCAAATCAAACCAAACAAATCAACAAACATCTGTGTGTTTGTGACATCACTCAAACGTAGAATTTAACATGAGCACATTAAAAAGCTACAAAACACGGACACAAATACATGAAATTGTAAGTGAGATAAGACCTTCGTTGTTTGAATAATATGGAAGCCATTAAGCGCCCTATTAGAATCTTGAAAGCAACCAACTACCTGAATACAACTGAATACTTAATGTTGAAATTACCACTACATTTCTAGCATCAATATATTTTACTCTGAAAACCATGAATTTGATTTTCTGCGATTTGAATCATCGTCTTTAAAAATGATTTTAAGTCATTTCAAATGGTGCAATTTCAAACATTTGATTTGAACAAAATCCAAGTGTCAAATATTCAATAAACTATGGAAAGGTTGATAAAACTTCTAGTCCCAAAATTTTTTTTTATTACTTATTTTTTGCTTACAAGTTAAAAAGTACATCTTTTGGGACTTCCTGAACTCCCATTCTGAATTTCACCAAGCAAATCTGAGCAAACTGACTTCAATTTTTAGATGACTTTTAAAATTTGACTAATTTTCAGAGCCCTGACCTCCTGAAAGAGATAAGATTAGATAGATTATTTATTAAATAATTAATTATTATTTAACATAATAATTTGTGAGCACAAGATAATACTCTTGTTTAAGATTATAATGAAGGCACACAGGATTTACGTTTAAAATGAACTAGAATACGGTTTTCTCCATCCATGAAATTGCGAACCATGAACATACAACTGAAACAAATAATTGCTTAAAACAATATATATATATATATATATATATATATATTAAAACTGTTTTATATTGTACCACTTGAAATTACCTATTGAAAATTTCAAAGACTGGAATTAAAACCACTTAAATGACAAAAGTACTATTTCAGTCGCTTAACAGATTCTAGTGATTACAGCACTTATTTGCTTCCGTACAGAGATGCACATAATGAAGACGCATTTGAGCTTTTAAACAGCCGATTCAGACTTGTAGTTACGACCCTTACAACCAAACAAAGTAAAGAAACACAAACTTCCTGAGAATTGAATCATGAACCTTACTGGTAGAAAGAGAAATTATGGATCTTTTACCGTCACTGAGAATCTTAAATCCGCTCTGCATTTCAATACAGCCTTTGGTCATACACCGAGTATTCTGTATATGAACCCTTGCTCACAAAAATCACAGATACAATACAATTTTGTTAAATTATCTCATATGTTAATTATATTAATGTAGTGATCATGACATTTGAGGGTGCTATAAGTTTATTTCACATAGCAAAATAATATGGGATCTATTATTATTGCATCATTCAAATTAGAAGACTACCTCATGTGCTGTGATAAAATTCTTCCATGTTTGGTGTCTAGTCTTCAAGTGGATCATTTTTAGGTAATCATTTTCATTTGCATATGCTAACACACTGCTATAGTCTATTTCACACGCTTGTTTTTAGCTAAACGTGGCTAGCATCAGGAGGTAGTAGATAAACAGCTGCAAAAGTCTAGCTCGAAGAAGAATGAAAGGAGGAGTCTTGTCTTTTCCAAGGCCAAGCATGGATTTCTGACTAATCTGGATTTGTTACTCCATACCATCATAGTCATGAAGAATAGAGATATATATATAGAATCTATATATTTATGCCACTTTTAGATCCTGTCGTCTTATGTGAATGCTGCCCTCAGAGACTATTAAAAGCAGTGCATTGTTCATGTTTCATTATTAACAACAAACCTGTTATTCTGTGGCTCAGGTGAATCATAAACTAGCTTGCATACATATGGCTCTGACATGAGAACAACCTAAGCAATAGAAACACTAATGCTTTGCATATTACCCTAATAAAACATTTAACTTATTTTTCGCATGTGGACGACAAAACTGCTCGATTATGAGACTGTTTAACCAAGGCAGATTTTCCTGCTTTCCTCTAAAGTCCAACCTCTTATTTTCAATCACAGAAACCAAAGTTTGACGCTACAAATGCTGACTGTATGGAGGCTCGAGTGTGCCACGTTTTCAGTGTTTCATTATATTCAATTAATACATTTATCTTTTTTTAAAGCAACTTAAGATCATTAAATCAGGCAAATAATAATTCTATATACTAATACAGATATCTTAAAAAGGTATCTTATGTTTTAAATTAGTAATTGGTTATATATGGAATCCCTAATTTATTTTTCAAAAAGATTTTCAATATTACTTTGTTATTCCATTTACTTAACATAATACTTTAATTTACAGTTGTGTAAGCAGTGTGCAACTTAATATGACATATAGAGACACAGAGGTGTGTCTGATTGGCCAGAGTCCTATAAACACATGACAGCAAATTAGAGTTCCTGTAGATAGAGGCACTACATAAAGGCATTATGTGTGTTACTCTTTCTTTGAATAAAAAAAATATTCTACCATTGCATTTGAAAAACTCAATTATTAATTTATAATTGACTTTACAAACTAAGAAAAAATTAATATTAATTCAATTATGTAATTTTTGGTTTAATGCTTTTTCTACATAAAAAAATCCAACCCTAATTGCTTTTTTAAAGTATTAATTGGCAATAAATCAACACTGAATAAATGTAAAATCATTCTGGTGGCATACTCCAGACTCTGTATACTTGAGTTCCAGATGGATACCTGTGTACCCTCTGGGTATAAATACAGCAGATGTGGTCCAAAGCAGAACAGAAACACCTGATATCTGCAATCTGAATCACTGCTGTACTGCAACCTTTATATGTAAGTAATGCATCTGCCAGCATCCACAACATTTTAATATCCTGGACAGTCCGGCTGATATGAGGCCAACATTGGTCAGCTGAGCTTCCTCCCTGACAGCAGCTACATCCAAACTGTAAAGGTCATATTGTAGGGTTGGACAGTGGGAACATGTCAGACTGTACCCTATCATACCAGTAAGGTTTCTCTTTTATACTATTAACATACCCTGCTGCTCACTTACAGTCACACTATGCTCATTTGTTTCCCATTTAGTATGTCTGTAAAACTAAGGTGAGTTTTTTTTTTTTTTTTAAACTGAAAACCTTATCTCCACAGCTTCATAATTTCTGTTAAACATTACAACACAAAGCCCCTCACATATTCATAATGGAAACTCGTACAAGGCAGAAAATGGCTAATCCACAGTTAGTGGCATTGTGGGAGCTGTGATTACTGTAATAGGTCCCTAAAGCTCCACATTGAGCTATCGGAGCCACCCAACACTATTACCTCATTAGATATGTGCTCTTTTGATTAAGCTTATCCTGGCTTATGTATAGTAACCTAAAGGCAGGTTTACCAGCTGGACCGGGAAGGAAAGGTTGTGTATGGGGGAGTTTTGGGGGGCAGTGTAGCTCAAAATGTGGATACCAGATATTCCCCACAATGCCAACCTAACATAGCTGAAGGACGTTAGGATGTACAATCCGTACAGTGTTAGTGAAGGCCCAATGGAATGTGCAGGAGGATTTCTGTAATTAAATAAAACAATGGTAAAGGTGTATTACTGTTTCAAGCTGCACCATGTCAATTTAAATTTTACATCCAATCACTCTAATGTACATAATGTACGTAAACTGGCACATAATAGAGGGGAACTACACCAAAACAAAAAACAAACAGCCCTTCTAAAGGCAGCAGGTGCAGCTTTAATGTGGACATCTTAAAGCTGAAACAATTAATCCATAAATTAAAAGAATTCACCAATAATATTAATAATTTATTTATGCCCCAAAAGATGCTAGTTCCAGCTTCTCAAACGTAAGGATAAGGCTGCTCTTCTGTATTATATCATTGCCAGCTAAATACTTTCTTATGGGCATTTGTCACTATGTTCCAAAGTATGAATCAACAAATCATTGAAGAATGTATCCATAATTAAAATATCAGAGTTCGATAGTTTCATTTTGGTGACTTTGCTTCAGTAATGTTTGAATCAGAAATTAATGCAGCTGTGGAAATCTTCTGTCCAATATTGGAAAAGAAAAAAAGATCAATATCAGTACTAAGATTTCTCTTCGAATCACAATCCTTAATATCTATACTCTGTAGTTCTATTTGAATAGGTCTCCACATACTATATGAATATAATCACTTTTATCAAACAATGCACATTAAGTTTCCCCACACAGCCACCAAAAACGTAAATGCAAAAATAAGTACATTAAGACAAAAACAACTCCAAAATCATTACAAAATAAAGGAAAAAAAATATTCAAGTACTATTAACAAAGTAAAAGTCCACCTGGCAATATTGTTCAGAAGAAAATAATCAAAATATACACAACACTGTCCTTCTCGCTGCCAGCCTCTCTTCTCACCTCGGCCCGTTCAGTGGCTGACACTCTGACCTGAAAACAAACTGAAACGAACAAAACAAAAAAAAAAGTGAAGACCTGGCTCAATAAATGGTTCTCACAGTTTCTACAGGTCTCTGTGCGTGGCCCAGATTGTGGCAGAGGCAGGGTGGGCTGATGTCGACTTGCAGGACCCCCCCATTTCTGTAGAAAAAGGGTTGTGTGTTTTAATCCATCCGAGATCCGGTGTGGTCGGGATGTTTCCGACTGGAGAGGAGAGATTGAGGGCGGTACGAAAGAGAATGCCCAAACGTATGTGACCCAGGCCCGTCCCCGGGTGCTTTCCAAGCCCTCCATCATACAGGTTTTTGAGAGTGATTATGTGCACACGCAGCTACAAGGTTAGAAAACTGTTCAGAGTGATGTTCAATTCAAAAGCATGAAAGCCACCCCTTTCTCCTCATCACCGCAATCTGCTGTACGGACTCCATAGAAGGCCTGTGGCATTGGTCTGAGTGGGAATCGAGGCTAGTTTGACTCCCCGCATTCCTGATCCTCGCTGGGTTGGGGTTTTTTTTCCAGAGGTGTGTCTTGACCCGGGTTGGTCCTGCTGTTCCGACCTCATGACCTTAGGGCTCCTGTTTGATGTAGTAGCTGCCCGAGCCGTTGCTCTCCTGGTCGGATGTGCCCTGTGAGAAGGTGAACTCGTCCACCTCGGCCGTCTCCTCTTTCATCCGCAGGAGAGACTCTACAGATGGGGACAGAGACAGATAAGAGAGAGAGAGAACAGCGGCACAGATGAGCCGGTCTGGTTCATGCATTTTGAGTCAAATACAGGAGCCTCTCTCTTTGTTCCAGGTGTCAATCTTAACGTCACATGCACTCTGAGCATCAAGATAACCACTTTCACTACTAACAAAATGAAACATGCGTTATGGCTGCTTCAAAGTGGAGACAAAACACTAGAAATTCCTGCAAATGAAACAAACAGACCTTCACTGACATGAGGAAATATTCATGTGAGGACAATGAACGTAAAAGGTTGATTCAACAGTAGAACATGCAGCATCAGCAGCATCCAGATCCACAGCGAGGCCCTGCGAGCGACACTCAGGCGACTGTCTCCTGTAAGAACAGCCTCGAGCCGCTGACGGCTCGGTGCCATGCTGGGTTGATCGTTAGTGTGATGTTACCTGATTTGTGGGTTTGGTGGAGGTGGGTTCGGGGTCGGGGCCGAGTGGGCCCCTGGGAAGGGTAAGGGGGTGGACTCTGCTCTTCGTCCCCCGAGAAGCTGCTCCTCCTCCTGCCTGCCTGACTGAAGGGCCGTCGACCAACCGGAATCTTCCTCTCTAAACACCAAGCCAGACTCGGGTAAGCTACCAGGGGCTTATTACACACTTCAATTCAACTGGAACGTGTTGATGTTTGATTATGTATTAGGAAGGAAAGTTAAAAAGGTTAGAGCTTTGGCTGAAAAGTTGAATTTAGCCTCACACTGCGTTGATATACCCATCTGAATAAGCCCCTGGTAAGCTGTAAACAGACTGCCAGACCGCAGTAAGCAGATGCTGTTAGCTATCAACAACGAGGCTACAACTGTGCCAAAAGTATGGAAGTCTGTAACTTCCAATATTTCAATAATTTAATATTCATGACATTTTCATTTTCCATAATCATGTCAAAATATAAATTTCATCTTAATTTTAAAGTCCACAATCAAAATAATTACTACAAATGTGAAAATTTAATGATTTTCAGTGCACGCCAAAGCAAAACGCTGCCTTGAGAAAAATGTAACTGAGTAAGACATTTTTGTTTTATCTTTAAACTGGCAGACAATGTGTAAACTATGTCAAAATCAGTATTTGGGGAGAAATGGAAATTGCATTTTTCCTGGTTATTTTCATTACGATCAACTTCATAATGCTGGACAAATTTCAAAATATGTCTGGCAAAATGAAACTGTTTGGAACGGCTGTTCTCTGAGGCCTCTTTTGTGAAATCTGTCAAAAGCGACCGTTATTACATTGACCATAAAAAAACATGGAAAGGTCCTTTTTTTAAATCAGTATTGAACTATTTCCAAGTTTAGGGGTGAACATGGTCTGCCAAACTGAAGTCAATTTTACATGCAGTTTTATTATCATTATAGAATGCACTGAAAATTATTTGTTAGTCAAGGTTTAATTTTTTATTTAATCATTTTAATTTAGCTAGTAATGGTTTTTTAACATTTTTTAACTTGAAATGGCAAATTTTTACTAATTTAATCTGGATTTTGTCATACATTGTACACAAAATGATTTCATTTTGATATTGGCTGCCATAGACTTCCATATGTACTGCATGTTCAGCAAAACGTGCATCAATTTAGCATTAGCATCTGCTTTTGTGATCTGAAACTTTGGACCTGAATAGGGATGCAACACCAGGCCTTCTGCTCTCAGAGAACCTGAAGTATCTCAAACACTGAAACAAAATCTCACACACTACTGGGGTAAATGAATACACTGTCCCACTCCAAAGGGAAAAAGACAGAACGCTCGCCTTTTTACAAGATCCTGAAATGTGACACACGAGGTCAGATGAAAATATTCCGGACACGCCCAACAGGTGAACCATCAGAGAGCAGCAGAGTTTCCACCACAAGTGTAACCAGTGACAGGAGGAGAAACAAGAAAAGGAGAAGGCGAAGGAAAGAGTGGAGAGAAACTAACTGACAGTGAAAAAGGATTACTCACTTTTCTTTTGGCCTTTGTACTGCTGGGCCTTTTTCTTCTGCTTGGGTACAGATTGAGGCATTTCCCTGTTACCTGAAAGCAGGCCATAAAACAGGAAACTATGGGACGTGTGGGCTAACACAACAGACAGAACATTCTATGTCATTCATTATCTGTATTTGTTCATGTTTTATTGGTTTAACCTGAGCCAGTAGAAGGAGAGTGATTATATGTACATCATTTGTATCAGATCTGTACTCTGTATCGTTCGTAATGGGGAAGGAAGAAATGGTATCTGAACATCTCCGCAAAATGAGTTTAAATGTTATGACAGTATGTAAATCTTATAATATGAACACAAAATATGTGGAAAAGAAAACAGTGAGCTCAAAAGAAAATGAATATATCAAAATATAAGTGGTGAGATAAAGTCCAGTATGACTAAAGTGATCAACTGAAAATGACCAGGATACACAGTATGTACAAGAATATGTAAAGAGTACAACAAGAAATCTGAAGTACACACAATACAGCTGTGAGTTAGAAAATAATATCATCTATCTCTAATAATATTTATCTCCGTGGCCACCGCCTGTTCCCACCTCTCACTCGTTCAATCAACCCTTTAGATCCCTTGTTCCATTTACTCATCAGTGTCATCATTTATTGGATTGCCTATTTAATAGCCTCCAATCTGAAAGCACCCAGGTTAGTTAAATGTGACAGGACTGCAGGTTACTACCCTCATTTAATTCCTTTTTGCTCACATGCTATACATCAAGTGTTCTGCTGCAAATATAGACTGACACTGATGCTCTGATGATTAGAGGGGTGTCAGGGTTTTTTATTCTACGGGGAAATAAAATTAATTAAAGCGCTTTTTAATGATTGATCGGACATGACAAGAATCTCCTTAATACGGCTGCAACTAACAGTAATTTTCATCATCAATGAATCTGTCCATTATTTCAGTAAATGACTGATTAATTATTTGATCTATATAATATATATATATATATATATATATATTAATGAAACAGTTTGTTTTCTAATGTAGATATAAAAATATCTTAGAGCTTTCAAAGTAATGTGACAAAACGTCTTGTTTTGTCCAACCAACAATCCAAAACCCAACATCATAACATTTAGAATGTTAAAACAAGAAATAGCAGCGAATGTTATTTGAGATTATTAAAACCAGAATATTTATCATTATTTTAACTTACAAACTTTAATGATGACTTGATTTTTAAAATAGTTGCCATTATTTATGAGATTTAAATCATTACTATAGCAGCAATTATTCACTAAGAGTGGAGTGGAGTCAGGGTGTCAGAGAGACACAGGTCCTCAGTGGTTAGTGGTTGAAAGGTATCATGTCCTTACTCTGTGAGGCGGGGGGTTGGAGCTGGTAGCCTGTCAGCTGACACCAGCCCACAGGGTAGAGGTCAGGTGATTCGCAGTCCACCCACTGGTCATACTCATCTTCCCAGCCGTCAAAGTGGATCCTCAGTAGCCGGTGCACAATCCTCGTCACCGTGGCAACACACACCAGCCGTGGCTCCATTAGATCAACAGCTTCCAGCTTCATGCCTTGCCGAAAACCGTGATTGGGAACCTCCTAGGAGACGCGAGGCAGCAAGGACAGTGAATAAAAGAACGTTACTCATTTACATACAATAAAAACACAAACATAACAAGCTACTGATGAATCCTGCAAACAGTGGAGAAGCACTGATAAATCCTGAATCTCATTAATCAGACAGAACAAAGGGAAGAAATAAGAGGCAATATTTTTTTCTGGAGCTTTCAGCAGAAAGAAATCTAGTGAGTGGTACTTGAGTTAATAAAGGTCTAAAGGGACCCTTTAAAAGACCACACCAGTGGTTTTGCAGGACAGGAGAACCTAAGTGGTTACAACTTACATTACTGAAAACTTTTTTTAAACGCATTTGTGATGTTTAAGATGAGGTGGTATGCTGCTGCTGTTATTAATAACCAGAAAAACAATACCAGAGGACATTGAAACTCAGATTGATAAGATCTTAATAAGGACAACCACGGTGGAGAAACCACTGATGAAGCCTACCTTGTTAAAGAGCTTGACAGGAGCAGCTATTGAACCCGTTTCTCTGAGGTAGTCAAACCATTTAAATGGCAGTTTAGTGTACCCTGGGGAACAGAGTCAGTGTTGAGACCACAACATGAAGAAACCATATGCAAGAAGATGTTATTTAACTACTTCTAACCAGTAATTTCACCTGGAGAGAACAGCATAGAGGCTCTGAGTGGAAATAGCCTAAATAACCATTTAAACAAAGAAATTAAGATAAATACAACACACATTGTTATATGCATTTAAACACATGTTCAGACAATTTAGCTTTTTCTCTCCAATAATGGAATTAACTGTTTTTTCACATTAAAATCAAAGTGAAGACGTGTATTGAATTTCAGTGGTGTTACTGTTTATTTAGTATTGGCAGGTCGAGGCTGTCCTCTACTGGACAACACTGAAATGAAATACACCTCTTCACATTGTTTTCTGTGTTGCGATTGGACTTAAATGTATAATACCATAGATAGATTATCATCAGCACTGGTGGTTGTTTAACAATGAAGACAACAACTCCGATGATCCAACGCTACTTCACAACATTATCAAACTACCTCTTTTCTCCTTGTTTTGATGTGAGAGACCCTTAGCAGCAGACCTTATATATTATACGTTTAAGCCTCAAAATGAAGACAAACTGTCAGTTTTAAACAACTAGCTTTAAGCTGTAAAAGTGGATATGCTGACAAAACCCCACCCAGTCTTGTCCCTAAGGCAATGGAAGTTTTCATTCTCTCCTGTTTAATACTCCCTAGAAAATGTAGGTGTCACTGTGGACCAGGTTCTGACTCTGGACCCAAATGTGAAGTGTTAGATTGTGAAACATTGCAAAACTCAGACCCATTGCGGTCGTTTTTTATGGGTTTTTTGTGAAGTACTGTGACGTTCTGCTCTTGAAAGTACTTGCTATATAAACACTGTGACCTTTAGTTAATCAGTCCTGGAAAATGGTTATAATTCAGTTTCAGTAATTCAGCTGAAAAACTAAATAATGGTCCTTTTAGTATGTGTTTTTTACTTTAATGACAATAAATGCATACAGAAAAAGGACATTTATACAACAATGTGCACTGTACTGAAATACTGTATTTCTTTGTTTAATTTGTTTCTATTTAGATATTTTAAGACTTCCATAGATCTGTGGTCCTCTCAATGGGGGCAAGTTCCCATTTACATTTTTTGAATGAGCTCAAAGAAACAAAGATATGAGTGAACAGTACCTCTAGGGTGCGTGAGTTCAATGTTGTTGATTTCACAGAAGCCGGCGGGGAAGATAGAGGGGGACGTGCTGTGGTAGCAGAACCAGTCTGATCCGTCCACTGCCTCCGAACCATCAATCCCGATCATGAGGTACCCGTCTGCCAAGACCTACAGTAAGCAGCAGACAGTGGATGAAGTTAGTCTGGAGCAGCCGTGTGAAAGGTATTTTAACATAAACAACGCACAGCACATGACATTCATGTGGAGTCCACAAACGCACTGACCTTTCTTACAGTGGCTACACATATAGCTGAGAGGTTGAGGGGGTCGATGGCTTCTAGCTTCATCCCATCTTTGAACCATTCCCCGCTCTGGTCCACATCTTTCACCTGATGTACACATACAGAGACATTGTGATGGATTATTATTTGTAATGTGCGGATGCATCAATCATCACTTAAAGGGGAACCTGGCAACTCTATCCATTTCTTCGTTGGTTTTCTTTTAGGGTAGGGTTAGTTTACTTACTTACTACTACTACAACTACTACTTAGTTTTAGCTTACTTTTGTCGTCGCATGTTTTCTCAACGAGCTCCCCCTACAGCTCTGAGTCGTATATTTCAAAACACTGTTGTAAAAAAACTCACTTGCGACACCCTCCTCCCCCTTTCTACCGCTGATGTGCATTTGTTGCCGGGCAATCTTTCGTGTGGAGCAATGTCTACCGAGGTGTGTAATGCATTCATCGTCTCTTGTTCTCATAGCCGGCGTGGCTAACCGGTATTGAGGGGGGCGTGTGCGTTTAAGTCGAATTGCAGTAAAGTAGTTTGTGTTTCTCGCTCGTTCTCGCTTCTGACGATACTTCCTATTTCCAACTTAACGCGACGGTAGTCCCAAAATTTCAAGGTTGGTTTTCCGCCTGGGGACGCTAGGGAGAGCAGGGAAAGACACCATTAACACCGGAACAGGCCATTTAACCATCCAAATGATTTCTAAACAGGTTTATTAAGTTGAAATAGTTACCAAATTCCCCTTCAATATTAGATTTAAAAGCTCACCAAGACTTGTATTACTTTGACACAAGAATGAGAAGTTCAATTCAATTCAATTTGTATAGCACCAATTCATAACAGAAGTTATCTCAGGACACTTTTCAAATAGAGCAGGTCTAGACCGAACTCTTTAGAACATTATTTACAGAGACCCAACAGTACCACCATGAGCAAGACCTTGTACTTGCACGATGTAACACACAGCATCTCCTGTATACCAGGATCCTGTTCTTCAAATGTGGTGTAACGTGTGGTTTAATGTGGTTCAAGCTAACATGCTGTTACCAGGCTAAAACCATCCTGTTCTGTCTCCTCCTGCTAATTTGGTTATTTGAATGTTTGAATAACAGTATGCTCTTATTTTGAAATAAAGGCAACATGAGGAGAGAGTTGAACCCATGAGCAGCATTAATATGCTTGGCTGAGTGCTGATCATCATCATCACAATGGTGTCATTTTGTTCTACATTGTGCTCCACAATGCTTCGACTGTTCCCAGGCTTCTATCACTTTTAAGAGTTATGTATTCTCAGTGAATGTGGTGTTGATGCAACATTGCTTTTAGTTTATGGTACCAATGAGAGGCTTTTCAGTGATAATCAGACGCCTGCTATGATAATAAATTCTTGCAAAAATCTTAAAAAGCAGCTTCAATTGCATGAACAATTATTAGCACAGTGAATTCTGCATTTAATCATTTAAAAGTGTTTTAGGGTCAAATGATGATTTCCTATTTAATGCCACATGTTCTGGCTTTTATTTGAGTTGATTTCTTTGTACATAGTATCTCAAACTATGATAAATATAAGTAACTCTTCATCATGATAGCTAAATTGTGATCAATACACCAATATATCCCAGTGATTTCTCAATAATTTTCTCTAACTCTCACTCATGAAAGATTATAGGCTGTCTGAAAAGGAAAAGGGCTATTTCTTTACCTGCTGACCTGAAAAATGTACTTCTAAAGGCGCAGTGGAAGACTCCCCCTTTGAGCCCATTTATGTTCTGTTCTTTGTTTAAACTCAATAAAAGTTGTTTTTTTTCTAAAATTAAACAAAAAAACAATCATTGTAACTGTAAATCTAAGAAAGCGAGCCATTTATTAAAATTGAAATGAGTTCATGAATGGAGGACACACTAAAATGTCTGGCTCATGGTCCAGCTAACGGTCAACAAGCTGCACATTTGCAGGTTTTGGCTTAAGGACACTTCCAGGTGGATTTTAAGCCAGCTTCAGAGAACCATAAAATTCAGGCAAATGCATAACTTGGTTATCCACGTATGAAGAACGAGGCCCAGGTCTGCAACCACTCATAATGACATACATGCATCAATTCAAACCACAGCTGGAGGACTCTAATCTCCAGAAGCATTTAGGAGAACAAATAGAATCTTCCTGTTTTGCATTACCTTCTGGAAGAACTGTGCAGGAGCGTCAACTTGACCCTCAATTTTCTTTGCAATATCTGAAAAACAAATCAAATCAAAATGAGTTGCTGTTCCCGAGCTAAAGAAGCTTCTGCAATATACACGCTGAACAAAGAGCTCCATGAGCATTACAATCAGAGACTACAGACAGTAGAAGCTGGGCTTCAGGGAACACTGTTTGATGAGAAAAGAAATGAATGGTTGGATTCACTATAAGTGTAAGAAAAACTTTCATTATTTCATTAAATTGTGCCCACCACAGCTATTATTATCACAATTTTTTTGATTTTTTTGGCCTTTTTAAAGAACACCCACAGTGCTTTTCAGTAACAGTCAGTGGAGAAAAGAAAGTTTTTGTACACTATAATCATTAGACATGACATTAAAGTCCACTCATTTCATATATCAACATCAGTTCATTCATCAGTACTACTCAGAGAACAAGCTGTAAAATAAGTGTCTTCTATGTCTCTGAAGGAAAACCATCATGATCAATAAAGATATGTTGGCTTTGGTCTGGAGACAACAATCATATATAGCTAAATGTAAAATGGGGCTGTATAACACGTAGCATGAAATGAATGATCCAGCGTATCAGGATCTCTAACAAATCTTTTTGTTAAATCTGTCTCTCACAAGACCCCAAAACTAAATTCACTGGAGTACCTTCAACTAACACACTTTTTTTCATAACATATAGTCTGGTGGTGTTCTAAATTTTTCTTCTTGTCAACAAATGCACTATTGCCTCCTGTTTGATTCCTTCACTTTCTCACAATGCCTCTCGATTTAAACGTAAGCGTTGGTGGGTTTTTCCAATCTCACCGGATCGTTTGAAGCGGTGCCCGATGCTGCGGGACCAGCCTATATTATGGATGAGGGGGCTGAACATGTGACACCAGAAGTCGTCTGACTGGTCCTGACTCTCCTCGTAGACCAGCCTGAGGCGACCCCCGATCACCTGCTCCACCAGCGCCACCCGTGTCCGGCACAGGTAGTTCTTATCCACCACCTCTACCCGCATCAGCTTTTTAAAGGGGAACTGCAAGTTCTCGTGTACCTGTGGTGAGAAAGGATACATGGATTTCCAATTTCACTGATATAGGTGAGTTTATGAGATTTTTGAGTTTCAGGTCCAACAAGAAGAACATTTTTGAGTCAACACTGAGTATTTTTGTCAAATAATTTTAATACTTTTAATAAATCTTATCAAGTTTGAAGAGGTTTAATTCAAATAAAATGAAAAACCTCCTCTTGATACAACTGTAACATTTTCTCAGAATTATGGCACAAAGCACAGGTTATTTGACTTAAATATCGAAGGTATGTCATCCCGCTATGGTTAAGGGCTGGCCAATTTAAGTGGATCTCATCTGGTAAGAAGTATTTATGGGTTAATTGTGTGCCGATATTGCTGGCATAATGAGTATAAAGACGCTCCTTACAAAGATAAAACATGGTCACGATTTTGGCTACCCACAATTAAATGAACGTGATCGTATACGATATTGACGTTTGAAATGTGTACTGAAATGTGTACAACTGTGCCGCCATGTCGCTACATGCACACCCTGCAATGTAATGCAAATATTTTGTCTTTAAAATGATTATACTATGATAAATAATCGTGATCTCAATATTAATCAAAATAATGCTCATTATTATTTTGGCCATCATTTAGCAGGCAAAACAATAATAACAATACCTGGGGCCAATTTCAAACAATACAACCAAATTGTAAAGGATTATTTATGGAATGAACTAGACAAAGACTAGCTTGGCTTTACAGTACTGCCTTCAGGCTGGCTAAATTTGCAAGACACACTGGATTAATGAGAGTAACCCCCTGGGACGGTGGACCATCGGATGTGTCGCACACAGACATCAGCTTGCTGGTTTGTGGTCTGATTCAGAAGTCAACCACATACACATATTTGCTATTACTGCTCATGTTGAACTTTATGTGAAGCAGTCATGCAAATCCACCGATGTTGATTTTGCATATGTGTGACCAGGCCCTAACCCTGGGAGCAAAGAGACTACCATAATCCAATTTTACAACACACTCAATGTCTGGACTGAACTTTACCAATTATTAAAAGCAGGTATATTCTTCACCTTGGAATAGCACAGTCATAAAAGGGGGGACAGGGGGATTTGTTTTTTACCATTCCTGGTTGTCTAGTGGTATAAGAAATATAGCTGATTTTGTTACTGATAAAACATTCTAATCTTATTAAGGACTCAAAGATAAATCAGACTTGACATATTAGCAAACAGGAAGCAGTTTAGGGAGTGTCGTTAAGCAGTCGCCTGGGGAAGATAATGTGGTACAGCGCTATCATAAATTACCTAAAAATAATCATTCAGCTTCCCTTAATAAGATAACTGCTCACACATAGGGCAACTGTGAGAACCTCTTGTCTGACTCATCTGAATGTGAACACTGATGAGGATCCCTGGTTTACAAGAGAAGCTCTGGGAAAATGTACACACTATAAGAAGGCAATTATTATTTAACACCTATCTGGGTTCACTAGAAAATAATGTGCTGGAAACGTAAAAGGCATGACAGAAGCATTATTCGTGCATTGTGGGCCTGTCCTCCAGTTCTGCCTTTGGGTTTGCTCTGATTTAACTTTATATTGGCACTGGCCATCAAAAACAGCATTTGTGGGTCTCACCTTGCCATTAAAGTCAGGTGGCAGTGTTTTAGATCCAGTGAGACGCTTCACAAGAAAGGCTTTCCAGTTAGAGTACTTATGCTGTATGCCTGTGAGGGAGATACAAAAAGAACAGCAACAGTCACAGCCAAGCATTCAGAGCACAGGCGTTCAGGAACAAGACCAGTGAGATTTGGCACAAGGCTCACTTTTTGGAGGTACGAGGGGTTTGCCGCTTGAGGCGCACCATCCCACCGGGTGCACCTCAGGGATACAGAGATTAGACCAGAAGTCCTTACTGGTGTCGTTGTCGAAGCCCTCATACCGCAGGAGAGCCTTGAACCCTGCATGACATTAGACACAGTTAATCTGACAGCTCATTCTTGACCTGGGAAACAGCAGTCGTCAAAACAATCTCCATTCAAGAATGTGTAATATATACCCATATTGGAAAAAAATATTCTTATTAATATTGTGAAGCAGTCTTACCTGCTAGCTTAATGATTTCTGCTATCCAGTACACCTTAGTAGAGAGGTTGGTGTCAGAGTTAAGCACTTCAATCCTCACTCCTTCCTCTATGTCTCCCCAGCATGTCCCCATGGGAGCCTGACAGGAAGAGGAAGCAGAAGTGAAGTTTTCAAGTCAAGAAAGCTAGTGGTCACCACCTACTCAATAACAGTGTTCACTTACGTGCTTAAAACAGCTGACTGGAGCTCCGGCCGTGTTATTGCTACAGATATACCGACCCCAGTCGAAGCTCTCCGCAGGGACCACTGACAGAAACAAGAAACAGCGTAAAGCTGGAGCACATCAAAACAGAGCAGTACTGTTAACCACCATTACTGCTTTTTGGTAACGTACCAGCTTTTGATTTGGCCTGGTTCTGCTGACTTGCTTGGTACTGGGCGTAAGCTGCCAACTTTGCCATAAGAGGCTGTTTCTGTAAGACTTTTGCCTTTTTTGTTGGTGGTTTGCCCTTGTAAAATCAAAGCAGACATCAATATCTGTGCAATAACATAGGTTTAATCATTAAAAATCTGTTGTCGTATGTTTACAACTTACCTGGAGTCTCGCCAAGATGCTAGCTTTTTTGGAGTTTGAGGAATAACTCCTAGAACAGGACACGCTGCAGAAGCGCTTGGTTTTGGAGTAAAAAGCATCTCGTACTCCAACCATTCCACACATCTCACAAGTGGCTGTGAAACAGAGCACAAAACAGACACAAAATCTGTTGAAATCATCAGACGACTACAACATCAACTTTAATCAGCAGGTGAAGACTTTGTAATATGCTAGCCAATTCTTTTCAGTGACAGGATCATATTCAAGAGAACCACAGGAAGCACAAATTCCCAACACACTTCCAGATACTGACCCATTCCAGCCTTGCCATCGGGGTAGGTGTAGACTTGGCCATTGTTCTTGATGATGGGCAGGCTGGCAGGGATGGAGGGCACCACCTCATCCTCGCTGTCCTCTGAGCTGGAGCTGCTGGTGGACTCCTCGCTGCAGCTGTCGTAGCCATCAAACATCCCGAACGAGTCTCTCCGCTTGCGCTCTGAACGTGGGGTGCGTTCGGCCTTCACGATCAAGGATATGACAAAAAGACATCAGAATCTGAATGACAGGAATACTTAAAGACGGAAACTAATGATTATTTTCCTTAATTAGTAAATAAATAGGGCAAGAATCGGGTGATACGATACATATCACGATACAGGCACTATGATTCAATATAGTGCCATACTGTAAGCAAGGCGATGTGATTTTTTTAATCTAGTTTTTTGGAAAACTGTCATAGTGTACCAACATGTGCATCAAATTAGTGGAAGAAAATACTTTTATGACACTATTTTCTAGTGGTTATGGTTTTAAACAACAAAAATTGATTCCATATCACACAACAAACATCCATCAGTTTCTCCTAAATTGCACATGTACAGTTTAGTTTCTTTGTCAAGCTGCTTAAAATATTTTGCACACCATTGTACTTACACAATGCATATAGTGTATATATGTATTATTTTATACCTATATACACACTGCACTATATTCCCCAATGTTGCTGTGTGTAATTTGAATTTCTCCTCAGGGGACTAATAAAGGTATATCTTATCTTATATATTACTTACAATTTATTTACTTACAATTTACGATTATTCAGTATTAAAATTGTGTGTCACCTTTTGATGATTAATCATTTGTTTCAGCTCTAGAATGCTGTTATAAAATAATCTATTTAAAAAAATTACAATTCTAGGCAAGGCAAGTTTATTTGTATAGGCCATTTTAACAACAGGGCAATTCAAAGTGCTTTAACGTTACATACAACATCAAAGGCATCAAGACAAACAGAAAAAGCTACAGAAGGCATAAACGGATAAAACGGGAGAGTAAAAGTTGTTTGTACATCCTCGTTTTTTCCCTACATGATATTTCACAATCTCTTTAAAATGTCATCTGCTTTGGAATCTGACCGGGAAGCTGGCTGCAGAAGCAACCTGGAAATGAATATTAAAAACTATGTTCAGAAAAGCCAAACCTAATTATAAATATTGCCGTAGAAATGCACATTAGCTGCACAGGATCCGGAACATTGTTAGAATATTTACTGTTGTCACAGCCTGCCTACTTCCTCTTCTGAGCATCACAGGTGACATTCTAACAGACAGTGCTGACATTCAGTATTTAACCTGCAGCGACACTTCTGGAAGGAAAAAAACGACTTACCAGCCAATAAAGACACACGCTAAATGTAAGCTGTAGGAAACAGAAGAGCTAGCTGATACATGCGCTAAAATAAGGGGCGGCCTTATTAGAAATAGCTCCTAATGCTAACTGGCGTTAGCACCGCTAGCTAGCGGAAACCTGTTTGTCCAGTTTTATTCCCAAAAGCACACTGCACTTTCCATTTGCGTAGCAAAGTTGCACCGACACATATGCGGTTGAAATAAGTATAAGGTTATTTTATTTCTGCCCTCTGCTTCTTTTTTTGGAGAGCTTTCAGGCTAAGCCACTAGCTAGCTACCGTAAACAGATAACAACAAAGGAGGAGTGCTAGCCCGAGCAAATCCTCTGGAACCGCAGGCTCGCGGCCTTAAAATGTCTCTCCTTCACTCACCAAATCTCTAGTGTCTTCCATCAGCCCGACATATAGATAACGTTCTAGTTAACTGTGCTGCCCAATGCAAACCAAACCCCGACGTTGGGGATAAATTTGCCTTTGAAATAGCAACGTCTAAATGATTACTACCAAGCAGGATATCAACAAATTACTCTGCTGCTTCTGCGCATGTGCGATCGTAACCTACTTTCATCTGATTGGTCAATCCGGAATGGAGGTCATCGACCCACACAGAAACAAAACAGTGGACTCTGAATGAATGGCCTCTTTAGATTAGAGTAAAAGCTCTCTGTATCACTCTTGTGTCAGACCAACACCAACACAAACAGAGGGAATATTCTCTGGAAAACTATTGTTTTACAGTAAAGTACATGTTTCAGTTTCATACTGCGTAGTAAAAAGCACATGTTTCAGTTTCATACTGCGTAGTAAAAAGCACTGTAGCAATTCAGATTGATGCAAAAGATACAATTATTATTATTCTAAGTACCCAGTAAAGGCAGCGTTAGTGGAAAATCATCTTAATTTTCAACACATTGTTCCTCATTATCCTTTTATTTTGAATTATACATGAATAGTATGAACAGCATTTCAAAGTTAAAGACAAACAACTGGGGCACCCTGGTAGCTCGCCGCTTAAAGAGTCCTTACCGCAGTGGCCCCAGGTTCAATTCCTACCTTTGCTGCATGTCACCCTTTCTCTCTCCCCCCTCCCCTCTCCCCTCTCTTCAGCTTTCTCTGTCCATTAAAGGCAAAAAAGACACAAACAATTCTTTCACATAAAATAAATCCTTTATTATATATAGTGCAGTCTATTACACCTCTGAAGACAAACTGCTCTGTCCCTAGGTAATGATACAGTAGATGCCACATTTTTATACTGAACACAATCTGTGGACCACATTCAATAATACTGTATGGTTTCATTTTCAAACTATAATAACTTGTGAGGCCCACTATACCGACAATGAATTACACATATAAGTGGAGAAAAAAAACTGTCAGCTAACCAGCTGCCTTCTGGTTCCAGTGACTCAGATCACAGTGCTTCTCAGAAATAATACTGGCATTCTGGTTTTGTTCCTCTCTTCATTTCTTGAACACAAAATATAGTAACGACAATAAGCCAAGCAGCATCAGGTACAACAGAACAGCATAAAGGCAAAACAGAAGAATTCATTTTGTACTGAAGTAACAATAAAGTGAATATGGCTGGAAGAACTTCCGCTTGTCAAGTAGGTAAGGCTTCACAATGAGGATTTATGCGGTTGAGTCTCATTTGAACTGATGCAAAAAAGGGGATGGTCAGTGCTGGAAGAGAAGAGACAGACATAATGGTTCATAAGTCCAGTTCTTTAGAGAATGTTCAAACTCACTAAGCCTGGAAACAATACCTTCATATTCATGAACATCTTTGGTCTCAGAGCAGCTCATCCTCTATGACATCATCGACGCTTCCTGAGATTGAGGCAGCCTCTGAGGTTCACACAGAAAAAAACACTGCAGTTATTGCCTGCTCAATAATCATACCTACTATAACTACTACTTGAATCACCTTTTATCCACCACAGTGCAGAAGGCAGAATCACAATGTAATGACTCCCAGGTAACAGCAACTGAAATGTGTCTGTGCAGCAGTGAGTATGGAAACCTGTCAAGTACAGAAAGCTGCCACTGAATTCTGCTCAAGTTCTCTGTCTTGTTTCTTTGTTGATGGATCAGTTACTGGCTTGTTTTATTAAAGCTGCAGTCATCCCTTTTGTTGTTGTTAGTTTACCTCATGGGGTAGAACTCCACAGCATGCGCACACATTTGCCAAATTATGGCCATATAAAGTTAATATGGTATATAAAAATGCAGTCATGGCAACAGCTGTGCATGTAGATGCAGCAGCCAGTAGCTCCTTAACACTTGCTACATTTTTGTTTTAATCAGGTTTTTTTCGGCTTCATTGCTGAAACATTATTGAATGATGTCTGATTAGATTTGGTTTTGAAGGGCTAAGCCCAAATTTCAAATCAACTGGATCAGGATGGCAGTTCAACATAGTGGAACTCAATAGAAAGCGACATGGATAAAAATATTCATAATGTATAGATCAAATAAATATGTTTTGGGAAGTATTTGTGTTGATCATGCTGTGACTACAAAATGAACATGCCACATCCCCGGTTCGAGTCTGGACCTTTGTTGCATCTCCCTCTCGTTTTCTGCCCAAATAATAAAAACTGCAACGTGCAAACTTGCAGCATAACTCTAGTGGCAGTTGTGCCTTATTTTCATGTATTAGAGTACTTTTGACTGACCAACCAGCCGTTACTTTAATCACAGGGTCCAGTGTCTGAGCCAGTGCCACCCTTGAGGAATCAGAGGAAACACATCTGGATTACAGTATTTCCGGATCACGGAACAGAGAGTGTGAAAGATATCCGTGCCTATTAATGTTCTTGCAGAAATCACCACCAAGTGAATTATGGAGTTGTAATTCGACATTTACCTGAACCTGTACAGTTTGTTGTAAATAGGTTCATGTGGAAATCTGTCCTGTGTCTGTCCTCTTGTCTGTGCAGCTGTTAGTTCCACATTTCAGTTTCACTTCTGGCTCTGTTCAAGAAGCTTTACCTGCTGCATCAGGCGGGGCGCCGTCTTCAGATGTGGCATCGTACCAACTCCCACTTTCCCTCTATCCAATATTTTATATTTTGCCCCACCTTCTGGCGTGGTGTGTGGTGGCTCAATATCACTGCTGCAGCTGCTGCAGGAAGCTGCTATCACTCTGCTGTCTCTGCTGTCCTCTCCCCCTGTTGTCACATATCCTCTCTGAACTCGTCCCTCTGACTGGAGTCTTGGCTTGCGTGGGAGTGCGTGGAGGTTGTGCTGATGCAGCTCCTTACCACGCTGTCCTCCTCTTTGCTCGAGGACTGACAGAAGTAAAAGCTCTCTGTGGTTCTATCTGGTCTCAACATTTCATTCCCTTGTGTCTCCTCCAAAACTACTTCCTTCTAGCAGGGCGTTGTCCTCAGTCATCTCATCACTGGTTAACTCCCAAATGATTGAGAAGCTCTCCAAATAGGAAGCAGAGGAGGGGAAAGAAAGATGAGAGTTTGCAAGCCGCAGCGTCGGCACAGAGACGCCAGACTTAGCGCGGCTGATGGTGTGTGTTAGCGTGGGTGGTGACTGAATAATGTGAATCATTCTGGCCGGGCTCAAGTGGGCAGAGCTGTGAGTGAATGTAGATGAGGGACCGTGTTTCATGCTGACCTTGCGCAGCTCCACGGACCTCGGGATAAATGGATAAGATGAAGATGACACTGATGGTGACAGGTCTTCTCGTTGTTGCCGAGTGCCTTTAATCAACAGTAACACGTGTGAAGAGAGAACTCTGCATTGATTCAGTCTCTTCTCATCCTTTTGCTGTACTCACCTGATAAGCTGATACAGGAGAGACTTAGCTCTGATGATGCTCCTATCACGTCATCCTACAGGAGGACAAGAAATCTTTTCACATAAATATTTTAGTGTACTGTTTATGTGGAATACGAGATTGTGTGAGCAGGTGAAACTGCGCAGTCAATGAGAGCAGCTCAACTCGCAGTACGTCACCGCCGCTGGCTCTGAAAAAACACCATGGCGACGACTATAACACCAAACTCGAGGCTTCAAAACAGTGCTCCACAAACCAATTATTCCGAATGGAGCATTATCCCATTAAAAAGGTCCAGTGTGTAACATAGAGGAGGGTCTATTGGCAGAAATGGAATATGATATATTCATACGTATGTTTTCATTAGTGTTTAATCACCTGAATATAGGAACTGTTACGTTTTTGTTACATTAGAATGAGCTGTTTTTATCTACAGTAGCCCAGAGTGGACAAAACCAAACACTTCAACATTCACTCGTGTTTTTGGCACATTTCATGGCCACCGTAGTTGGTACTTCACACCTGGAAATGGAGAGTAAAGCAGCAGAGTTGCAATCTGCAACTACACCGCTAGATGCCATTAATCCTACACACTGGTCCTTTGAGACAAGTGGGATATGCAGATGTTCGGAGGTTTTAGAAGCATTCGTTGGACATTTATACAACACATTTGGAACATGTCTCATTTGGGGTTTTACTACATTTCTTGTTGGAAAGGGAAATACACCTACTGTTAAATATTATGTAAGACTTGGATATCAACAGGTTTTTGGATATGAGCAAATATTGCAACCCCAACCTTTTCAAGAGGCTGGTTGAACGAATGAAAGAGGGAGGCTGTTTTTGCAACAAGTGCACAACCGCCCTGGGAGCCCGAGCCCTAACCCTAACCCTAACCCTTACTGCAGTTTGAAAAGGAGGGAAACTCCTCTGTAGTACATCATTAACAGGAATATTAATGAATTATTCATTTTCATTAGCCATGTAAACGGATTAGTAGGACTATTGTCTTTTTCAGAAAAGGGAAAAAAACAGCATGTTTTGTGCATGTAAACATAGTCAGTGATTCAGACTGAGCTGCAAATAATCAACTGATGATTCCATTTTTGATTAAGCAGTGTATTGTTTATCAAACTAGCAGTTACGATTACTCAGACCTGCAGACCAACTGGTCTTAAATGTCCCACAGTCTAGACTCCAAACAAAGGGGGATTGTGTTTTTACGGTTTTAGCTCCGACACTATGGAACTGCCTCCCCCTCACTGTCAGGTCAGCTGAGTCTGTGCCACATTTAAAAAACCCACCTGTCTGACATTTGGAATTCTTACTGGTTTTAATGATCTTAATCTTGTTTTTCATTATACTGCTGTTATTGTTGAGTATCTGCTTTTGTTTCAAATTGTGCTGTTATGCTGTGTATTGTTATGCCTCTATGCTTACCATTATACCATTATGCATTGCTTTTCTATTGCTAACGCTGATTATCTTTCTCCCTTTTTTAACTATGAAGCACTTGGGAACTGCTGTTTTGAAAGGTGCTGTATAAATAACATTTTTAAAAAATTATTAATTATATTATTATTATTATATTATTATTTAATCTATAAAAGAACCCAAGGGTTGGAAGCTTGAACATTGTTGATTGTTGAGTCTCATTTCCAGGGTCCCAAAGTGTGTATTTGACACCCTGGGAATGAGACTCAACAATCACCCATCTTTCTCACCTCTGATTGGTTGTTTTCATTCAGGCCCGGTGGATTCTTGCAAACACCATTAGAAGTACTAGGAGGAGCCAGAGGAACCTGTTTGTTTCACAGATTATCTGTCTCACGTACTACTGTCAGGATATAGTGAACGTTACAGCAAAGGTTATTTTTATAAAGCTTACCTACTGCAGCTTTAAAAGATGAATGATTATCAACTTGGTTGTCAGTTAATTTTCTGTCAAATGTATTTAACACTATTAAGATCCGATTCTGCACAACAATTTAAAAAAAAAAGAACATTCTTCTCCTCTTATTTAATCCTGGGATTTAATAGAAATAGCCCCTTAAATCTAGATTAAAACCTTTTTACTGAGACAAGAATGAAGATCTGGTTAAAGATATTAAACAAGGGCTATAGATACAGGCACCAGTTTTAGTGAGGCCAATATCAGTTTCAGCCTGTTCAGTGACTCACCAGCATCCTCTGCAGACAGCCGAGATTGTCGCCTTCTGTCCTCCCGTTCACTACTTCCTGGAAGCTGACAGCGTGGCCCAGTCGTACGAGGTCCTCGCCGATGTCTACAGTCTGAGACAGACAGCAAGAGGCGTGCAAGGAAACGGCAGACAGGATGAGAAACAAACCACACAGATAAACACAGATAAATCAGAAAGAAACTGCTGGCCCACCTTGCCCTCACTGTTGTCATAGAGCTTGACGCTGGGCCAGGAGGAGACCTCAGAGTGAGAGTAGCTGCAGAGTTTGGCCTGCAGGGGTCTCCAGGAGGCACAGTACGTCAGCCGCTCAAACTCATCCAGGGCTGCCTCGCTCCACTCCTCTCCTTTAGAGAACATAAACATTGAGTTAGAGGAGAAAAGGACAAAATCAGAGAGGTTTCAGAATAAAAAGATTTTTCTAAGTTATTAAGACAAGAGCTGTACCTTTTGGTCTCACTCCTGCTAGGTTGCACTCAATAGCTTGGAATGGCAAGCTGAGGAAGTCGCTCCTGAAATATTAATGCAGCAAAAGCAAAAGCTGTTAATAACTTAGTGTGCCATTTTGTAACTGATGCCACATACAATGCTGCATATGCACTCGCAGGGTTCCCACTCTTTTTGGGAAGTATTTTCCTTTTCCCTTGACAATACAGGACAGCATTTGCCCATAATGGTGGTCAGTCTTTACCCTCGCTTTTGTGCTGCACTTGGCTCTTCTCACCACAGCTGATTATTTCCACTGCGACCTCAGCAGAGTGGACCTGCAGTCTACGGCTAATAGACAGTTTTTCTCTAACCTTTAACATTTAGTCAGAAACAATAATAAATTAAATACGTTTCTTTTACAGAAAATTCATCTTCTCACCTATTAGCCTAAAAGAAGAGGTAGAACGTATGTAACAGTTATCAACCACAACAACAAGTGTATATGTGATCATCAATAACAGGCTGTATGCATGTAGATCTGACATCTACCGTATTTCAGACTTGATGTTTGTGTGAACAGGTCATGGGAGCAGAGTATTTTTGCTGTTCCGCTCTGTGTCTGGTGAACCTGCTTTAAGTGTTTCACTGCGCAGCTGATCCCACCAACAGTCGAGTTTCAAACAAAATACGCACCCAGGTTTACGTAGGGTAAAATTCAAATGTTCCAGAACAACATCGTTCATTTCCAGGATATTTTGGTCATTTTATCACCAAGTGACGCGTGGCAACCCTGACTGCATTACAGCTCGAGGGTAAACACAACAGTGACGAAAAATGTTTTTTTTTAATGACAAAAGGTGAGACAAGCTAAAAATGAACAAGATGACAAGATGCTGTGTTTGAGAGAGAAAGTGATAGAGAAAGAGGTGGAGAAGGTGGATTACTGCACGCAAAAGTTATTGAAAGGTCCAGTGTGCAGGATTTGGTGGCATCTAGTGGTATAGTTCCAGATCATAACTCACACACTCCGCGGTGGCTACAAAACGTGTGAAAAAAAGTGAAAAGGCCCTATCTATAGCCAGGGTTTGGTTTGTCCGTTCTGGGCTCCTGTAGAAACATGGTGGTTCAACTGAAGGCGACCTGCTCCCTCTGTAGATATAAATGGTAACGGAAACACTTCTTCTATTTTCAGGTGATTATACAGTAATCAAAACATCCTATGAATATTATATTCCATATCTGACATTAGATCCTCCTTAATGTTACACACTGCACCTTTAACAGCTTACTCTGAATGTGGCTTTGTCACTTGACTCGCCTAAACCTGTGATTTTCTCTAGTCGACATGAACGTGCCCGCATCACTATTACACAAGTAAAAGTGTTGACTAAGAACGGGAAATGCTGCTTTACGACTTCTCAGCACTTGATACTGTCACCTTGATTCCAATTTCTGATACCTGTATTAGCCTAGCTGAATTAGTTTACAGGGAGAAAATATTCAGAATGAAAGTAAAATGTAATGAATCTTTGTGACTAAACTGGACGAAAATGAAGACTGCTACCAACACTGGAACACAAATACACAGTTGTATGAGGACTAGAGAGGAGCACGTGTCTACCAGTCACAGAGATCTTCTATGGCCGAGTTAAGCCAAGTGCAGACCATAAGACTTTGAAGAATTGCTGTGATGCTCAAACCACTAAAGATTTTGTCTCCCAGACTGTGGTAACGTCGATGTGAGGATGCACAACTGATCCCAGATATACTGATATACAGTGGGTATGGAAAGTATTCAGACCCCTTTACATTTTTCACTCTTTGTTTCATTGCAGCCATTTGCTAAAATCAAAAAAGTTCATTTTATTTCTCATTAATGTACACTCAGCACCCCATCTTGACAGAAAAAAACAGAAATGTAGAAATTTTTGCAAATTTATTAAAAAAGAAAAACTGAAATATCACATGGTCATAAGTATTCAGACCCTTTGCTGTGACACTCATATTTAACTCACATGCTGTCCATTTCTTCTGATCCTCCTTGAGATGGTTCTGCTCCTTCATTGGAGTCCAGCTGTGTTTAATTAAACTGATTGGACTTGATTAGGAAAGGCACACACCTGTCTATATAAGACCTTACAGCTCACAGTGCATGTCAGAGCAAATGAGAATCATGAGGTCGAAGGAACTGCCCAAGGAGCTCAGAGACAGAATTGTGGCAAGGCACAGATCTGGCCAAGGTTACAAAAGAATTTCTGCAGCACTCAAGGTTCCTAAGAGCACAGTGGCCTCCATAATCCTTAAATGGAAGAAGTTTGGGATGACCAGAACTCTTCCTAGACCTGGCCGTCCAGCCAAACTGAGCAATCGTGGGAGAAGAGCCTTGGTGAGAGAGGTAAAGAAGAACCCAAAGATCACTGTGGCTGAGCTCCAGAGATGCAGTAGGGAGATGGGAGAAAGTTCCACAAAGTCAACTATCACTGCAGCCCTGCACCAGTCGGGGCTTTATGGCAGAGTGGCCCGACGGAAGCCTCTCCTCAGTGCAAGACATATGAAAGCCTGCATAGAGTTTGCCAAAAAACACATGAAGGACTCCCAGACTATGAGAAAGAAGATTCTCTGGTCTGATGAGACCAAGATTTAACTTTTTGGTGTTAATTCTAAGCGGTATGTGTGGAGAAAACCAGGCACTGCTCATCACCTGCCCAATACAATCACAACAGTGAAACATGGTGGTGGCAGCATCAGGCTATGGGGATGTTTTTCAGCTGCAGGGACAGGACGACTGGTTGCAATTGAAGGAAAGATGAATGCGGCCAAGTACAGAGATATCCTGGAAGAAAACCTCTTCCAGAGTGCTCAGGACCTCAGACTGGGCCGAAGGTTCACCTTCCAACAAGACAATAACCCTAAGCACACAGCTAAAATAACAAAGGAGTGGCTTCGGAACAACTCTGTGACCATTCTTGACTGGCCCAGCCAGAGCCCTGACCTAAACCCAATTGAGCATCTCTGGAGAGATCTGAAAATGGCTGTCCACCAACGTTCACCATCCAACCTGACAGAACTGGAGAGGATCTGCAAGGAAGAATGGCAGAGGATCCCCAAATCCAGGTGTGAAAAACTTGTTGCATCATTCCCAAGAAGACTCATGGCTGTAGTAGCTCAAAAGGGTGCTTCTACTCAATACTGAGCAAAGGGTCTGAATACTTATGACCATGTGATATTTCAGTTTTTCTTTAATAAATTTGCAAAAATTTCTACATTTCTGTTTTTTTCTGTCAAGATGGGGTGCTGTGTGTACATTAATGAGAAATAAAATGAACTTTTTTGATTTTAGCAAATGGCTGCAAAGAAACAGAGTGAAAAATTTAAAGGGGTCTGAATACTTTCGGTACCCACTGTATGTATACTGATTACAAGATTACTACACTAGGAGAAATCTGGGAGAAAAGACGATAGTGATGTATTTCTCAGGTTCACCATACACATATCTAGAAAAGCAACATAGTTATCTATAACTGAAAAAACTAATAAACTAAAAAATGAACTCCATCTGCTTTTCATTTCCTATAATGCTCATTGCACAACTCCTATTGAATTAATGATAGAATTAGTGTCTGCGCACCACGCTACTTTCATTTGGCCTTGTGTGTGTGACTGATACAGACAAATCATAGTCTGCACTAGACTCGAGCGGGTTGTAAGGGGTCCTCAGCAGAAGGAGGAATAGAATATTAGGACTTGGTGTTGGCCAGAATCTGGCGATACGCCACGTATCACAACACAGGGGTTACGATTCAATGAATTGAGATACTGTGAGCAAGGCAATCTTGCAATTTCTTTTTTTAATCTAATTTTAGAAAAATTCTCAAAGTATAAAGAACACACCAACATTTGCATAAAATCTGAGTTAATCGATACAATATCACAACACCATATTTTGTACCATACATTATAGAATACTTCCAATTTGGTTCTTAGTTGGAACTGGACTTTCTTCCAAACTAAAAAGAAATAAAATAATTACTCAGAGGGGATTCCTTAAGACCTTTCAAATTGGCGGTCTGTGGTCTAATGTGCACCTACTATGGGTGTCCGTGACGTGAAAAACCACTCACTTCTACATTGTAAGACCCAACCGCAGCAAATAGTCAGTAGGTGGCCCCCTCTAAAATGTTCTGTCTTACCTCATACGGCAGAGGCTGTCCCTGGGCAGCTCCCCGTTGTCCCCAAAATCAACGTAGTAAAGGTCCACCAGTCCAGAGCCCAGCACTCCCAGCACCCTGGCCCTGTTCCATGTACCGTGGTCTCGGTATGGAGCAGCCACAATGTCCCCCACCACGATGGTCTCCACCCTCTGCTCCTGGAGAACAGAGAATATGGGGAAGTTATGTCATTTGTTTGTTTGTTTGTTTTTTAAATTCTGACATTGTACAGACAAAACTTAAGCCAACTGTAGGTTCAAAGGCTGACATGGAAGAGAGAATGATATCCTGTAAAATGAAGTCTCTGAAAAGGAGGACACAGCTGTTTTTATCATCTCTGTAAGTGAATTAAGGATTGTTGGAACAGTGGAAAGACTATCAGAGTTTTATTTTGTTGTTGTCCACTTTGAATGAATTGAGAATGTCGTGTTGATATGCAAAGTAAAATTGCCTTTTCTGTCCATGGAGTCTTGTGGTGAGTAATAGTGACATTACGACTGTTTCTGGTTAAACAAAAGGTCTATGTAGGGACTTTTCATTATGTTATGAGACACAATCTGAGTCTGATTTTTAGTGGACGTTCTTTAATTCAGACGCATTTGTCCCCAAGGATTGGCTAACGTTAGCGGCAGCTATTAAAGTCCATCTCATGGCTATTTTCTAATCTAAGTCAGTTGATGAAGGGTTCATTCCAACCAAACCAGGGTTGGTGATTGTTGGAAGACTGTGGAAAGACTAACAAAGACGGTTTTGTTTCTGTCCAGTTTGAAGTTACAATTATCTGCTGGGTAAAACGGTTTTGTCAATGGAGTCTGGTCGGCTGTAGTGCCCATGGTTTTAAGAACACCATCTGTTACAGTTTAAAAATCTGTTTTTCAGTTAGTCACTGTCACAATTCAACACAAAAAGAAAGACGAGTGTTGTCCTCACAGTCGGGTTGCCACTGTTGTAGAAGCGGTTCATCTCCTCTGTCAGTTTGTCCAGCTGCAGCGAGCGGACCCCCAGGATCTGGATCCAGAAGTGGTTCGGGTTCTCGTAAGCAGAAACATAAACCTCTAGATGTTCATCAGGCTGGAAGCTCAGGTCTGGGCTGGGGACTGGACAACACCACAGAGAAAAAATAAATATAATCTTTGTATGATGTGTTCAAGGACAGATCATAGTGAGGCAGTGTGGATTCTTGACTATAGAAACACTGAACTCACTTTCAAACTTGGATATTTCGGAGAGTGAGTCTGTGGAGACACTCTCCTCCTCCCCCTCCTCGTCTGTGTTGGTGATTTTCAGCTCCTCCGTCTTGTCTGAAACATCTTCTGGTTCTCCTGTGCCCCCGTTGGTGTGGATGAGGCCATTTTTTTCTGTCTGGGAGAAGAGCCCGTTGTTGTTCAGCCCCACTGGTGCTTCAGTGTCAGCGCTGTCCGCCGTGTGGTTCACAGCGGTGTGGCCACGTTTCTGCCGCAGAGCAGACGACTGTGAGATCTTCGTCCTCACCATCATGTCCTCTCTGACTTTTTCTAGGATCAGCTCCTGCAAACAGATCACACAGGTGGAGTTACACTCATTCTCAACAGCATGCTTAAATAAGAGGACACATGGGAAATCCCAATGAGTGAAAACTCCTTACCTTGGCCTGTTTCACCTCCTGTCTGGTCCCTGTGATTGTCACGTTGCCCTTTGCCCCGGGACCATGTGTCTTTTCTTTGGAACAAGCCACTTTGGCCCCTGTGGTCCTGGTGATCAGTTTCAAACTCTCTCCACCACGGCCTGCAACACAGCCACAGCCACAGCCACACACACACACACACACACACACACACACACACACACACACACACACACACACACACAGAAAGAGAGGTAAAGCACACACACATCACACTATGTGATTATAGCACTGATTTTCCACTCGCCGACTGTTTTGGAAGATCGCCAATAAAAATGCGCCAAGACCAAATCAGCATTCGCTCCCATGAAGAGACTCACAGGCTAAATATCTGGTTGTGTTGGATGCAACGAGCTACATCCAGTGAAAGCAGACCCGGGCTTCTCTCCAGCACCAGAACTGGGTAGTTATTTTGGTAACGGCACACACACATATAATAGACAGTGTTATGAGCTGGTGTTCAATTTGGCATGTATCTAATCCACCAACCAGCTCTTATTTTAGTGAGAAATCTTAATTATTGAAACATTATTATCCGCCTGTCATTCCCACAGTCTTCTCCCACTGATGCTGACTGCTGTTAATTATTTGTTTGATTAAGACTTTAATAATGTATGTATTGATTACCAACACTGGCTGATCAGGATCATTATCAGCTGATTGTTTCTAACAGCAGTGTGCTGTAAAGGGTTGCCCTTTGTGCCTGTTATTAAACTACTTTACTAATTAAACATGATGTGCTTGTTATTAATGGTGTTCTTAATGACTCCTGATGAAACGTGATGAAAGTCTAGTTTGGAGATCAGTCAGACTAGCTGTGACAGATCTTGTTGTGTTTTAGCCCCACTTTCCACGTTACTTTATGCTGTTTACAAAGTTCCTTATTAGAAGGTAGATCAGCTCAATTTATGCTCATTATTGAGGTTAAAATACCCTCTGCTCCGGTCTAAGGCAGCCAAAACTGGCCAACTATGAAAAAATACAAATTGCATACCGTCTCCTCATTGTCGCGCTGTCTACCAAATAATGTGGTAGAAATTATCAATACAATACTGGTTGCTTAGAATGAGCATTTAACTGACCTAAAGTTTAAAACTAGTATTCTTATTGTTGCCAAATCCCAAGTTCAGAGCCAAACCATCACTGAATGTACCTTGCTAACGAGTTTTGTGAGTGTGTATCAAAGCCTCCATACTTGTCCAAAAACTGTTAAAAAGGCATCAGTGCCAATCTTGAAGCTGCTGCTGAGAGCAGTTGGTGGCCTGGAAAACCAAAAGCACAAGCTAGAGGAGGTGAAAAAGGTGATAATTCTCTGTGGATTCTACACTTCTAATGTGTGGCATCACATTGCCAATTGATTCACTGTTTATATAATATAGTGATCAGTACAGCTGGGAAGAATAATAGAAGCAATTATCAGTCTACAGCATTAGCTCCACATCAGTGGAAGAAAGGTTCTGAGACAAATAATCAGTAATCAATCTGATCGGATGCTACCTATTATACGTCCAAATGCCGTCTGAGGAACCTCCAAAGCCTCGGCCACCGGTTCACAGTCAGTGACCAGGTTCTCCAGGACACAGCGGGCCAGCAGGACCTGCTCCTTAGAGCCCTGCAGCAGGAAACACACCGCCGTCTTACATCCTGGCTCCCCTGGATCTGATAAAACCCTCACCTGAGCTCCAGACTTCTGGGTCACCTGAGAGAGAAAGATATGGCAGGAGAGCAGATAGTTAGGCTACCTGAAAGGACTGTTATCACACAATCACCAGCTGCCTGTCTGTGGTTTGTTTATGAATCTGGCCTGGCCGCATGTGCATGTTCGTGCACTGAAACTGCTGTTTTACTCATCTACATTGGTGCATTAAGGATTTATTTCAACCAAACCAGAGTTGGTGATTGTTGCAACAAAGACTGTTTTGGTGAGTTCTGTTTCCGTTCACTCTGAAAGAAGTTATGATTTTACGTTGATAAGGGAGGTAAGATTACCGTTTTTGTCTATATACTCTTGTGGAAAGCAATTGCAACATTACAGCTGTTTCTGGTTAAACTAAAGGTCTATCTCTGTAGGGATCCTTTCCATGATGGACAAAGACACTTGGAATAACAATCTGAGCCTGTCAGTGGCAAAAACAACTACTTTCAGTGGACGTACTTTGACTGGCACATTGGTCCCCACAGATTAGCTAACATTACATGGCAGCCATTGTAGCTTGAATCACAGCTATTTTCTCATCTACGTCAGTGAATTAAGGGTTTATTTCAACCAAACCAGAGTTGTTGATTGAGGGAAAGACTAACAAATACCAGATTTAGGTAAGTTTAATTGTGTTTCCGTCCAGTTTGAAGTGTAATTTACGATTATCTGCAAGGTAAAAGGTTTTGGAGTCTGGTTGTCTGTAGCACACATTGTTTTGGTCTGAGATACTGGCGCTCCAGAGCATCATCTAGTTGCAAGTGGATTTTGTATATCGAACCTTAAAAACCTGTTTGATATGGTAAGATCTGAGGATGTTTTGACTTGTAAAAAACACATCTAAAAAACAGGCCAATGATTGCTCAATATCTGAAGAGGAAAAGTCATTATCTGATATTGACGTACTCACCATGTCCAAAAACTTGGCTTGGTATCTGGATATGTTCCTATAAACGTCTACAGGAAGTGTCATCTTGGACACCTCAGGGTTTGGCCCTTCACCTGCTAATGGCAAAATATTGATCTGTCATGTATGCTCAAATATATACAGATTTGGTTAGTGTAAAAATGGCCGTCAACCCCGGCACAATAACTCTTCAGCAGCAGATACTCACTGTTGTTGGTGCTGCTTATATGACGATAGACAATGTAGCCCACTGTGGCCCCGACGGAGAGCCCCGCAGCCAGAGCCACCATTTTACCCGAGCTGAGGGTGCTCTTGTGACCCTCCTTTACTGCGTCCATGACACGCTGTGCACCCAGCGGGATGCTCCACCTAAACACAAACATGACACACGTCTCTTTCTGCTGGCAGGGATATGTCTGTTGTCACTGCACGTGTTCATGTTGAGTCCTGTGTATCAGCTCCTGTGTATGTGGCAGAGTGTAGTAGCTGGTGTTTTGTCGGCCTTGATGGGCAACTGAAGAGTCATGCAGCACAAAACTTGAAGCGTAAGCCAGCCTGAATTCAAAATGGATCAGGTGTTCTCAAATACCGTCATTTTCCAGACTATTTATAAATTAGATCTCTCTGTAGAACCCCAATTGATTAGATTCTGTTCCACTGGCATCCATTAAAAGATGCTTGTTGTATTTACTAATACTGATTATCTTGGTAACAGTATGAGCTAGATGATAGTTGACTAGACAGTTCTTTCTTAACCATTGGAACAAAAGTTTGACAAAAAATAATGCTTGACTCAAGACTTACTCGCTGTCATTCCATGGACCTTCCAACCAGGACTGGGCCTTGAGATTTTCTTTTGTCAAACTATATAATGAAGTTAAGTGATTATTCTGGACCTTGAACAGGATCAAACAATTTCACTCAACAGTCCATAATTCTGGGGATTTCGTTCATATCACATGGTCAGCAGAAGGAGTTTGCCCAGTTATCATCACATTTTTTCCACTACAGGTAACTTTACATTGTTTTCTCCACTGGAAGGGCCAAACAGAGGTTACTTTATCATATTTTATCCACTGGAAGGGCACTTTGTTGGGTTTTATCTACCGAAACGGCACTTTCGCAGTGCACCAGTGTTTTGAGGGGTTCATCCTGGAAACAGCCATTGAAGAACCATCTTCAACATCTCCCTATACTGATGAAGACCATGTAATATGACTGAAAGCTACAGAACAGCTACTAAATGGACCTTGGCGTGAGAGTGTTTTCTCAACTGCAGGAGCTGGTGAGAGTGAAACTCACTGACACAGCAGGGACTTTATAACAGAGTATTTGCACTCAGGTCAATTCTGATGAACTGTAAGTCTTCCTGGTTTTTGTTAGGGACCTCCCTGAGGGTCCTCAAAGGACCCCTGGAGGTCCCAAGAACTCACTTTGAGAACCACTTCAGGAGACCACTTCTTACGATGTAGCCTTTCACCATCTCAGACTATATCACTTGCCAAAATCATTAGCCCACAAAAAACGTGCACAAGCAGTCACATACACACAATATAGCCCCTAAATGATTAAACATTTAGTGTTTACTGTACATACACACACACAGCACTGCGCTTCTTGTGAATGCACCAAGCCAAACTGCAGCCGCCCTGACCCTGACTGCAAGGCGCAATGCACTGAAAGCTGCTGCTGCTGCTGCTGCACACTCAAAACCATTTACTGTAGTTGGGCGACCTCCAGCCATTCCATAAATCACTTAACACTAGCATCCAATTCTTTCTGAGGCTTTTAACGTCACACTGCTAAAAACTACAACTCACACACTGATACAGAATGCACTGGAGGTAAGCCAACAGCGAAGAGTACTGGGACCCCACGGGACCGAGGCGAGGAGCACACAGCACCACCATGCAGATGTGTGTCTCACTGGGAGAAGAGGGCTCTGGGGCTGTAGTTGAGAAACACATGGGACTTGGACACTCCAACGTCCATCTCAGAAGAATCGTGACAACAAGACACAAATCTTCTCCGATCCTGGCTCTGTTTTTATTTTGTTTACATCCAAGTTCAAGACTACTGACAGACAGGTAGAGGGGGAAGAAAGTTTCAGCATTTCAGGTCACTACAGGTCAGCAACTGGTCAGTCACATTGCACTTTGGTGTCATTTTGAGGTGAGCATTTCATCAGAAATCATCAGATTAATGCAGTTCTTCACTGTGATTATATTATTATATATGTAGTCCCTGGCAATACAGACAACAGCATGACGGATCACTTTCTTGAATTTTGCCAAATTGGATCCTGTCTGCACGCTGCAGCCCAGTCGTTTCTAAGGAGAACCAAACCTCCTTTAAAAAAAAATAACAATTTAACGCAGTCTTTCTTTCTGAGAGACGTACAAATATCTAGAAACAAAAAGACTTTTCTAAAATTGTTAAAGTGTTTGGATAATTTCGCCATTCAATAGATCTGTCAAACAGCACTTTGTGTCAATAAAATAGGGCAAATGTCAAACGCTGTTTGGTACCGTTATGTTTTGGTAATAGCTGCATAGTTGATGTATATAGCATATTAACCCAACCGAAATGAAACGACATACCTTCTAATACATACAGTGTATTCAGTCATGTTATACCCCTAAGCTATATTTGAGCAGAGGGAAAGCATCTTTAAATGCTGAGTTTTTTAAACGGAGTTCGGCGTCATGTCTCTCGACACCAAGGAATCATCTACGCGACTGCCTGGATAACCTTGGCTTTCTCTAACTCTCTGAGCCAGGTTATTGTAGGCCCGTTAGGTTGTCAACAAATAGGACGAGCCGAGCGAGCCAGTACAGTCCCCAAATAACGAGAATATAATGTGTGTTTCAGACGAGCTTTCAAAACGAACGCAAACACACGTTCTCCCCTGAGCTAGCCAGGCTAACATTAGCTAGCTGCTAGTTGACACATGCAAGCAAGTCAGACATTAAAAAAACCACACGTCCTCAGCTCGCGCACATACCCTACCGATACAGCCTCTGGGTGTTTTCGAGGTGTAACGTAACTCAGAATGAACAGTAAATACATGATAGAATGAATGACACTTACAGACCCTCGCTCTCTGTCGAATGGACCCCGTCTGCCACCGCTGTATGCCGCTGTATGCCGCTGTCAAGCTCGACGGAGAAAGCCCGGAAGTACACTGGAAGCTATCTTTACATGTAGGGTTAAACTATATTTATGTAACAGTAATAACAATGTGAAAAACAGTATGGCTTTTGCCACTGGGCAGACTCCTCCCTAAACAATTGACGTTGACATATGTGCAACAGAAACGTGACTGCAACTATATTTACTTTGAAAGGTCAACCGGAAGTCTTTTACTCCATTCTCGTTAGCTTAACGCTTGTGCCAGCAGGTGATGCTCTCTGCCCAATCTGTTGGCAACTTCCTCCGTGAATCAGCGTCGGACCTAAACGACCCGGAGGGCCGTACTGTGACAGGAAAAACATTCTGTGTCTTTTTTTTCTGTCACACTGGCGGAAATGGGCTTCCATAGTAAATGGCTGTAGCTGGGTTCAGTGCACTTTAATCCGAATACTTATTCAATAAATAATAATTATTAATTTGTCATAACTCCACACGATCTGGTTATATATATTAAAAAAGTGTATTTGATTTGTAGATACATTGTAGGGATCACAGCTGCATCAGTCCCACTTAATAAAAGTGTCCATGAATAAATACCTCTCCAGCTGTGCAATTGGGAAGTTTTCTACATGCACACCTTTTGCACTGCATTAAAGGGGCACTCCAGTTATTTATTATCACACTTCCATAAAGTTGGTGGACTGACAGGAGACAGGTTTTTGTTTTCAAATGGTCTAAACTGATGTGCCTCGCCTTCAGAGTAGATGAGATCGGGCGGCCGCAGCAGGAGGATGTGACAAAAAGCTGTGGTAAGTGCAACCATTTTCCAGCAGCCTTCTAAGAATATACAGGAAGCGACATAAATACTTACATCCTGTTAGATCATCAGTTCATCATCATATGTTCAGATACATAAGTAAACTTACCAACCACACAATGGGTTCAACAGATTAAAGTGTCATTGCAGAACATGAGACACCACTACAGTCTACAGTTAAATATTAAAATCACACAGAAAATTCGAAAAACATGATGTTTGTGGACAAAACTGAGAGCCAATCAGCTCTTTGCTCAGGCAACAGCCAGGCGTGGAGAGCAGCTCTTAAAACGGCACCCGCCTCGATCTTGCGTGGTTATCGTTGCCCACATATGCATGCCGTCAGAGAAAATTACACACAAATCTAACCACCATGCATTGTGCGACGATCATGGGTAATTTTATGCAGGCCTGGCTCATCTCTAACGAGCCCATCAATTCAATTCAATTCAATTCAATTCAGTTTTATTTGTATAGCGCCAATTCATAACAGAAGTTATCTCAGGACACTTTTCAAATAGAGCAGGTCTAGACCGAACTCTTTATAACATTATTTACAGAGACCCAACAGTACCACCATGAGCAAGCACCATCAGTCCCTAGTGTGGGTCAAGTCCTACTATACTGCCTCTTATGACATCATCGGGGTTATTTCTTCAAACTTTGGACTTCATATGTAAAGTTGGTGGAGTGTCGCTTTAAAAGAAAAAAAAGAAAAAGGAAATAATAAACAAATACTTGACTGAGAGCAAAATCTAATTTACTCAAAGAACAACCGGAACTGGACGCAGGAATCTGCAGGTCAAACATAAATAGAACTGAAATCAGAACCTGTGTGTGTGTGTGTGTGTGTGTGTGTGTGTGTGTGTGTGTGTGTGTGTAAATTAGTCAGATAGATAAATGTATTACATGTTTGCGTTCAACAATATTGTAACACAACAATCTCATAAATAAGAGCATATTTATTAACATGACATAATCAATACACAAACAAATTTGTCAAAAGTCCTGAACATAGACGCTTTAAAAAATACAAAATATACATTTATGTATCTTGTGAACAACTATATCATAGTCCATCACCATCACCATCACCCCCCACCCCCCCACCCTACAAATCAACTGGCAGAGGCTTCAGCTCCTAGCATGTGTGTGATAATGTTATGAAACTGCCTAGTGCCGACTCTGGGCCTGGTAGCATACAGTATGGCGACCATGCTTGGATGAGTCCGTTTGTGTTGTGAACTAAACAGTAGAACTATAGATAACATGTACATTGATCAAGACAGAGCATTCACTGGATCTTACTCATGCAGCATAGTCCATATGTTTGTCATGATATAAACCAGGAAAGTATAAAAATTAAAATAAAATCCTAAATGTTTTCTTGCATTGTAATGTTTTGTCTTAAAACCATCTCCAGGAGTTTCATGCAAACTATTCCATGTGTCCAGAAAGTGATCACGAGTACTTTAGTGCTGTAAAACCAGAGAACCGCACTGTGCTTTTGCACTTCTTTTCTCTCCACATACACCCCCACTTTAAATGCAGAACTTAAAAGAGCCTTTGTAGCTATGAACTAAAACAGGCACACACAGAAAAAGCAAGCACAGGTTAAACAGGCCCATAGCCAGGATAGGAAAGACCCTGAGATCATGAGTCCCCACCCCTACCACAAAAAATAAAGTCTGTAAAATCTTGTCATTATATAGATTTCCCCCTTTTTTTATCTATTCAGTTAACTATTCATTTATATTGTGTTACAAATTGTATTTAGATTGAGTTTTAAAGCACTTTCCACGATACCAGAAAACATTCTGGTGCGGAAATACTGAATCATTTCTTCATTTAGTTACTATTAGCATAAAGCAGTCAAATTTAATTATATTGAGCCTGTAAAATATCTACAGTGTGTGATTAATTGTAAAATCCCCAGAGTTCCTAAGTCCCGCCCCTTTTTGCTCTGTGCTCCAATAAGATTAAAGAAAGCCTTGGGCAAAATCTCAGTTAGCTGTGCTTAGATATATGCTATGTGCTGTGCTGGTCTGAAAGCATATGTAGTCACATCTTAAGTCAGCAAAATGTTCACTTATTCACAGAAACTGTTGCTTAGCTAGTTAGCTATCATTTTGCTAACATTAGCTATCAGATGTAACTAGCTAGCAAACATTTGATGTACATAAGGTTTTTTGTAGACTAATTTTGCAACAGAGCAAAACACTAGCTGGCTAATCTCCAGCTACATCATTAGCTACCAAATTAGCTAACATTTGACTAACTTTAGCAATCAGATATAAATAGCTGCTAATACATTTTGCTAACATTAACTAACCTAAAATGTGACCATGGCTCTTATCTTTTAACCATCTTCAAAATGTGGTTGTCTTTTCAACATAGATTAGCCTAGCACATAGCAGGAAATAAGTACAGAAAAGGAGAAAGTTGACCGAAGTTCCGAACAGGCTTGCTCAACTGTTATTGGAGCACAGAGTGAAAAGGGGTGGGACATAGGAAGGGTCAATTCCCAGAAAAATGACAGAGACCATGACCTCAGTGTTCTCAATGGTGGCTATGGACCTGAGATTAAACCCCAGATGCCATGTTTGATGCCATCTTTACATTAAGACTACAAGTGGACAAGAATCAAGGCTGGATTACCAACAGACCTCAGAACTTCAGGGTTCCCCAGAAACCCCAGGTTCACTGTGTCAGTTTGCGGTCATTCAATTGACTGTAAATTTGTTTAAAACAGGGGTGGGCAACATAGATAAAAATCCTCCTCTTAAAGGAAAATATTTTAAAACCAAAAAAAAATGTGACATGTAATTGGTAACTGTTAAATAAAATGCAAAAAGGGGGGGAAAATATCCTATATTACAGTATATATAATGTTATATTACAATATCAATATATGTATATATATATATATATATATTGGGATATATTTTCTGGAAAATAAATTGAGAAACTGATCACTTGGAGCTCATTTTTGTTAAACCAGCACTGACAACAATGACTTTCACTGATTCATCTTTGTATATAAAAATACATAAAAGCCAGTATTTAGCTCTGAAGTGAGGTGAGTTACCAGCAAATGCCATCATCCCACTTGTATTAAGTATCAATATTAAAATCACATCCATCTGAAATAATGACAGCACCACACAGAAGGCTGGTCTGATTGAAAAAGACCATCAGTGATACAGACGTCTGCTGCTGATGCTGCACATTAACAGTAGGAATTAAAAGCTCAGAACGCAGTGGATTAATGGGGACGCTTGTAGATGATCTCTGGGATATGCTGGTCGGCAGATCAAATATGAAATCTGGGGTAACTGTATTGCAGATAAAATTTACTATATTCTTCATTCTTTATAGTTTAAAACTAAGCAATATCCTGAGCTCCTGTCTGTCGAGGTGTTTCAGAGCTAAAAGAGGACAGACAGGCTGAGGAGGAAGGCAACTGAATGATATGAAGCACCTTTCAGAAGACTCTGGTACATCAGCATACCAGAATAAACATCATTATATAATTCAGTAAATCCATCACTTAGGGAGGGACTCGCTAAAATCACTGCACGGCCACATTCTTCAGTTAGATAAATGTGTATACAGTGTGTATCTAAATGTAGATATGTGTGTATAAAACGTGACCGATCCAATTCAACCCTTAATCTTCATTCCTTATTGTGTTACAGCAGGTCTGACCTCGGCTTAGCTCAGAAATTAGCAACAAAGAACATTTGTTGCTAAATACAATAAAATATTAGAGAACTTCGTCTACCACAGTGAAGATTAAAATGTGGCTCAATGGCTGAACTACAGAATGGTTCAGAAAGAAAGCTTACAGAAGCTTCTTTGTCACATTTTTTCAGAGGTAGTGTTCCACCCTGTTCTGTAGAGGTCAAGCAAAGACCAAACACATTGTTACATATGGTGGCCCAAGTGCCCAACATTAAACACATAAAAAAACACTTACCATTCAATTCAATTTAAAAAATATATACCCAAACTTAGCTGGTTATATCAAAATTTACATTAATTAGTTCAAATTTCAAATATTTTTATTTAATGTCAAGTTGTCTTCAGTGAGGTCACCTTTCATAACAGTGGTCACAGTTCATGTATACCTTGCCTCTTTTAAGCTAACAAACAACAACTGTTGACAAATTTAGCCAGTTAGCTCCTGTTAGCAAGGTCAACAATACCAAAGGAACTCTGAGTTAACCAACTGGAAGCTGTTGTAAATAAACAGACAGTAACTAAACCTCTGCAGCTTTGAAGCCTTGATAAAGCTGCTGATGCTACCTACCTACCTAGCTAACTAGCTAGGCTGGCTTGTCAGCTTACTAGTCAGCATCAAAGTGGAAAGCCAGTGTTAGCTAAGTGACTGTTCTCTTCAGAGTCGTTTGTCTTTCTCTGAGTAACATCTTTAGATTCAAAACACAGCCGAGGTAACTCTGACTTAACTAGCTAACATTAGCTGCTGTATAAACCAAGCTCACAACCCCAGCTAGCCAGTTAGCCCGCTAGATAGATAACATGAGCAGCCTTGTTAAGCTAAATAAATAAAAGGAGAGTTGTTTATTCACAGCAGCAGCTGGATGGAGGATTCAGAATAAGCTGCTCTTGCTAACAGGAGCTAACTGGCTAAATCTGGTAGCAGCAGTTGTTGAGCTTGCTAGCTTAAGACGCAGGGGGCTTCATTTAACTTCATTTCTTAAATTATTTTCTTACAGTTCTTTCATGTGATTATCTATTTCATAACTACTCAATTATTTAATATTGAACACTTGGGGCTCCATAGTTACAGACTACCTTTCTATTCTGTGTGTTTTTCCTTTTAACAAAGACACACTTACGTTAAATTGAATGAAGGCTGGACTGGTGTAATGATATGACACAATTCAGTGTGTCTCACTGGATAACATTAAAATGAACTTCACATAAACATCCTTTGAAAGTGAAGCAGCTTCTGGTGGATTATTTAGGACCTGGAGCAACCGTTCACAAGTCTCTCGGAGATGGAGAACAAAAGTGAAAGTGAGGAAGCATAAACCTCTTCTGAAAACATTCCTCATGCCTTTAAAACTAAAACCAGACAATAAATAGTTTTGTTTTCTGTTCAGTGGAAATGAATGCTTTGGAATTTTCCTTGTCCTGCCCTTCAGTTAACTGACAGAATATCAACCGTTCATACCACTGGGACATTTGTTTGAGCCACCTGATGCTTGCAGTGCCGTTGAGCTGAAGTGTTAACAGAGGGTTCTGCAGTGTTTACACCGTCCTTCCCTGGTTTCCAGAACTGACTGACTGGTTCTCAGTATTGCCATGACAAAAACCTCTCAAGATGGAACGCATCAGAATGGAGAGTTCATTCCCAGCTTGGTTTCAAACTGCAGCTTCTGTCTCTTCTGGTAGCGAACTCGCACCCTGAAATGGAGAGGGGAGATCAAATCAGAGCTCATGATCAACACACAGATACAATCTCTTTTCCAGCAACGCATCCCAGTTCTGTATAAAATCAGAAAAACATCTCTCTATTGCACTGATCTGATCCCTAAATAATCCTCAATAATCCACACTGGTTTTCCTTCTCCCCTTGTCATTCTTTCTGCCATTAGTCGCTCAAGAATCTCCAAAGAGTCCATGTCATCGAGTTAATGGGTTCAACCCATTTGCAATCTCCTCTTTTCCATCATTATTCATTCATCTACAACTGCTTGGGTTTAGTTCGTCCTGTGCCTGGTTTCATACCGTATCTCATGAAGCTTCACCACTTCATTGACCACCACCACCAGCAGCGGGGACAGAGAGACCAGCAGCCAGGCTAGCAGGGGTATATCGTCCAGGTTAAAGGTCAGGAGACTGCCCTGATGGCGCCATAGCTGGTAATCCACCGTGGCCTGAACAATCTGGCTGAGCAGACTGGAGGAGAGAAGAGATTTAATAAGAGAGAGGGTTAATGATGTTGATGATTCTTATTGCACATACCTTTCATTCAGATGAACACTGCAACATGTAACTAAACTATAGCAACTATGAGACAGGGTTGTACTGGACCGTTATCATGGCGACAATCATTTTATCTTGTGTTTCGAGGACTGTGAGGTAATCAGTAGAATTATGCAGCTCTGCATTACAAAGTAATCTAGAAGGAATGTCAAGAAGCATGTATTTGTTTGGCAAACGCAGTGTGTTGACACATGATTCTGCACTGAGTTGTGTAAGAAGTTGAACCAGGTTCAAGCTGCCAACTGTGTTCGTATCCCCACCGTATCAGCACAGCAGTCTTATTGAAAATTCAGGGCTTTCAGCTAAGCTACGGAGCTTAGGCACATTGCTTAAAAATGTAACTGCATGTCGTGGCTCAAGGGCTAAAGAGATACCATGTGGAGACCACAAGCTGCTAGTAGACATTGTTGAGAGTGAAGACAGCGTGAAACAAGTTAAAGGTAATCTACATGAGTAAAGATCTAGTGGAGTCATGGTGTCCTGAGCGGAGACTGACGTCACACTCTCTCTGCCTGTGTTGTTATTGCAGCCTCTCTGTGGTTTGTTGTTGTCTGGCCTTGTGTATATATTTGCATGTGAATCCCTCCAAAGACAATTTTGGTGAGTTTTAATTTGTTTCTGTCCACTTTGAACAAATATATGATGTTATGTGAGGTAAAATTACTGTCGATATTACATCTGTAACTGGTTAAACAAAAGGTCTTGATAACACTTAGAATAACAGTCCGAGCCTGTCAGTGGCAAAAACAACAGCTTTTAGTGGACGTACTTTGCCAGCGCATTTGTCCCCAAGGTTTAGCTAATGTTACATGGCAGCCATTACAGGCTGTTTCGGGACTATTTTCTCATCTATGTCGGTGATGTAAGGGTTTATTTTAACCAAAACACTGTTGGTGATTGTTGGAAATCTGTAGAAAGACTAACAAAGAGACCTTTGGTGAGTTTTTTTTTTTTAAAGTGTGTTTTACAATTATCTGCTAGATAAAATGAATGGGTTTGTCAATGGAGTCTGGTTGGACACACATTTACCAAAAACATCTCCACTGCAAACCTCCTGCTCACCACAACCACTCCTTTCTGTCACAGTGAACGAAACTACAGAAACACAGCGGCTGCATGGCAGCAGTCTCACATTCAGTAATGGGACCAGACCAAATAGAGACTACTTGGATTACTTCACTACATTACAGCCCACCATCGCTCCATATCACAATGTGAATGAAAGAATGTAAACACAGCTACTGTGGGTAATATAAGTATGATAGGGCCTGATCACATACAATACATCTGTCTAGTGTTGCACTGGTGCTAACAACAGGTGAAATCTGACACAGAACTATAAGTGAAAACCTGTTGTAGCTCTCTACAGCAGGTCTGCTGTTAACCCAGCTTTAGTCTGTGGGTGCAGACTGAGCGTTAGAGATGTGCAACAGCTAGAGACAGCTCCTGCTGTTTTGTAACCAGTGGGAAGAAACTAAAGACTGGTTTTAGCTCCTTGAGTGAGCTGGAAATGTCAAAGTAATGTTTAAGCACAGTTGAAATAATCTCAATGATATGATATACAAGCACAGAGATATACACTTAACCAGTAGAGTATAACTTAAGACAGTAATTCTCCAAAAGAGATGATGACTTACACCACAGGTACAGTGAGACACCACCAGGTATTGCTAAAGGGACTCTTTCTCCACAGAGGCTGAGAGCGGTGGACATAGCTGAGGGAGATCACCACTGAGAAACACCAAACAGGAAAAAGGGATTGATTTGAATAATGATAAAATAAACATGAGTGAGTTTATGCAGTGTTTGTTAGAATGATTTCCTACCTGTATGTAAGGCGAGGAATCCTGCCATGACCTTCTGAGTCAGCAGCAGGCCGTTTGACAGCTCGCTGAACCAGTGAGGAGCGTTCTCTGCAGAGCTGCAGTCACACAGAAAGTCAATGAATCAGATCATCAACAGACATACAAAATCGACATTTTCTTTCATCATTCTATCGTTTTCAGCATCAACATCCTAAGATGAACCATTATACCTTCAAATTACTGTCAACAAATGAGCCTATGAAGGAATCAACTGGTGGTCTTAGGACAGCGGGACTGCTGCTCCTACCTGGCTGTGAGTATATGAAGGCAGGAGGTGTTGTCAGCTAAGGTTAGGTTGCTGCTTCTGAGGCAGACCTCCTGCAGGGTGAAGCCAAAGGCCAACAGGTAGGCACACACTGTCAGGCCAAACTTCAACAGGAAACAGCCAAGGAAGTAGTTCTGGGTCTGGTCAAAGAAGACAACATGATGAGAGTCATTGATTGGCTTTTCGATATGTTTGCAGCCTCCAGTGTATTTAGTAAAAGATACATCAGTGGCATGAACTTCTTAATTATTAACCATACAGACAAACTCCTTGTTGTCCTTTGCATTAACATAATTCCTCCTCTACTGATAGTGAGTATAGTTATTGCACCAAAGCAATAGACGTTTTTCCCAGCAGACATTTTGACTCGTCATAGCAGGAGAAGCACAGGTGTTACTAAGAACATTAACGATGGCCCTGTTCCATGAGGTGTCCCGGTAGGCAGAGCCAGTGAGCGCTGGAACACACCTAAACTGACTATTAATGTTGTGAGTAACACCTGTGCTTTTCCAAATCCAAATGCCTGCTGGGAAAAAGGTCTATGACCGACTATGCCCAGAGGGTTCACAAACATCAAGTAAAGCAAGAACATTGTGGATTATCATCATTAATGTGTGTGTGTAGTGTGTATTTTGCCACCATATGTATGTAAATGTGGTGGACAAAACATTAGAGACACCTTTCAATATAACACTCCTGTAGCAGTGCAAAGAAAAGAAATGCATGCTATGTACAATTTGAAATGATAACGTTAAGAGACATATTAAACAACAGAATGTATTAGGGGAAATAATACCGACCATTACTATATTGTAATAAATTATTATCAACTTATTACAAAAAATATATAGTACCATAATAATTTCTACAATAGATGTAGAAAACAATTATTTTAATTCACAGCACGTAGACAATGCACCAAATAAATTAGTCCCTCCCCTTTTGAAACCTCAGTCAACTTCCTCCTTTCTTGTCCTTAGATATGCTATGTGCTAGCCTTGTCTGTGTTGCAAAGACAACCACATTTTGAAGATAAAAGATAGAAGTGATAAAAAAGATAAAAGTGACACATATATAGTCACACCTTTAGTTAGCTTGCTAGCAAAACACTAGCTAACTAGCTAGATTATAATAATAGATGCAGATTAGCTTTTTTTGCTAACATTAAGATGTTGCTAACTTAAGATGTGACTATATACATATATATGTAGCTTTTATCTCTTAACTATCTTCTTAATGTGGTTGTCTTTCCAACACAGACAAGGCCAGAACATAGCATATCTAAGTACAGGAGAGGAGTAGGTTAACTGAGGTTACAAAAGGGAGGGGATTGGGGATTCAGACTGAGGTTTACTCAACTGTTATTGGAGCAAAGAGAAAAAAGTGTGGGACTTAGGAAGGGTAATTTGCACATACACATTATTTTCATTTATCCAGGGTGGAGATACAGCAGAAAGAGCAACTGTTTGTTGTCTGTGCTATTACCATTAGTCAAAGCCATTATTGTTATTGGGAAAACATACTGTTGGGCATAATCTGGCTGGAAGAAGTTTCTAGTATCACTATACAGTATGCAGGGTTTAACACACTGGTTAATAGTATGCAGGTATGCTTCACTAATCTTAAGCAACCCAGTAAGTAAAATCTTACAGATCAGCAGTAGATTTGAAAGATTTGACTGATAAGTGATCCTACCTTCCTTGGAATTGCATCTAGGTTCTTCCCTGTGGCAACTGTCATGACTGAACTGTCGGGTGGCTTCCCCAAAAGTGACACACTGTCAACAAACGGACCATTAGTATGACATTCTGCACAACACTGTGGATGGATTAATGTGTGTGAGAATGTTTGTGTGTGTACCTTAGCAGCGGGCAGCTGAAGCAGGACATCCAGAGGATGTCAGTGGTGTTCATGGGAGGAGGAAGCTGAGCTAGGCAGGCTAAGAACTGTGGACAAACACCAGAGCACTTCATTTATCTCTTCAATATCACAAATGTCTCTGTGTGCAGAAAAACAAGTCCTATAATAAAAATCTGGCCTAGTGCGGCATTTTGCATTCTCCTCTCTCACCTGGATGATGACTAGACTGAGCTGACACTGCAGCAGGAAAAGGAAGCACTTGCGGATGCCGTAGGTTGTGTGTCGTGCCTGGAAAACCCAAAGGCAGATTGATTCAGAAATGCGACGTACCTCTCTGACTGAACTGAGTGTGTAGGACTAATTGTGTGCGTGTGTCTCACCTGCTCTATGAGCTTGACCATGCTGACACTCTCTCCTTGGTGGAAGGTGACGGAACAGCCCAGACTGTTGAGCTGTCCAGAGAGCCTCAGAGGGGACAGCCCTTCGACGTCTCCGTTGAATCCTCCTCCGGTGGCGTAGCCGAACGTCTCCCACAAGCACTGAGACGGATACAGAGGGTCCAGAGCGATGCTGTCGAGGGAGGTTAACATATGGGCCAATCAGAATATGACGCAGTTTGTCTGATAAAGTATTGTTATGATCAATAATCAATACTACACTGGTTATTTATGGGAAGCCCTTAAAGAGTCAGTACGCCCAAATTACAAAAATATATTTTCTTACTACCCTCTGGAAGTATCTAGCCATGCAGATCGTTTTGGTTTTATTTGTCCAATTAGATACACTTTCAAAAGCAACAACTCTGATTATCTATCCTTAGCAGAAATCCAAATGAACTAGATTCCAGTGTGGATCTGCAGAAGTGGACCATGCCCACATATCTTGCTATGTCTATACACAGTTTACAGCCTTTTTGGAAGACAGTGGGACGTTTCAGTATGTGTCCTTTCCTTCTCTGTATTTTGGAGGCATGCAAAAGGTTTATGTATAAAGGATATGTGCTTACTTGAAAATCTTCCGGGCAACAAGAAAATGAAAACTATTACAAAATGCTGGTTTCAGTGAAACCCTCCCTCTATGTTTCCTCATTGGTTCTTTTTGTATCAACACTAACAGATGACTGCACCTAACTTCCTCCGAATGAACTGTACCTATGAGTTCTGTTGGACAGAACACTGACTCTTGACAGACATGTTGCGTGTTGAACGTTTTTTTAATGTCATTCATTGATGCTGTGAGCGGCACACAGTCCAGTGTATTGACAAAATCATTTGAATGGAGAGTTTTTGTTTTGAGTCTTTCCCACTGTTAAGAATCAAAATGTAGTAGTTTTTAAGTTTTGTGATAAAAATGAAAATCAACAATTAACATTACAAATCAACACAAAGTCAAAACAAATTTAAAAAATGTTTAATGTCTGTATACCTGACGTCACTCTGTAGAAACAGGCGGCTGTTGCGGAAATTGGCGGAGCTTCCCAGACAGCATGTAACCTCCCTGTTCTCCTGCATGATCTTCATCATCTCACACATGGCTGTGAAGAAAAAAAACAAAACACTAAATATTAGACTAAAGCAAACACTGAGTATATCCAGGACAGAGACTCATTTCTGTCCATGAAATAGGCCTTATCGCTTGTTTATCATGACTATTCCTCATTCCTCAGATGAAGACAATGGCGAAGAGGACAAGATAAGTAAGACAAAAAAACGTGTACCAAAGAAAGTGGAATTAGGCATAGGAAGGGTGACTATTATATAAAAGACATAAAAAAAGACTCACTGTCAGGGGTGCAGTCAGTGAAGAGTGGCACCAAAAGAGGCACATTATCAATGTTCTTCAGGTGAGGACGAACCTGGTGGATCCCACGAGGTAGCTTGGCCTGAGAAAAAGCAGGCAGACAGAAAAACAGGCACAGTAAAAAAAACTGAAAACAAACATGTTCAGACCAGTTATTGTAGGTTTGTACTTTTCATTAGTTTTTAACTGAATTTAGTTTCAGTTTAGTTTTGGAGTGGTTTTTTCTGTGTTTAAAAAGTGACCCGTGTACCGAGGCTGAGTCCTTGCTGCAGCGGCCCAGGGTTCGAATCCGACCTGCGGCCCTTTGCTGCGTGTCATCCCCTCTTTCTGTCCCCCTTCCCTGTCTATCTTCAGCTGTCTCTATCATAAAGGCAATAAAAGCCCCAAAAATACTATATATAATATAATAAATAAAAAGTTTTATTCGTTTCAGTGTTAGTTTTAGTTTTTTAAATTATAATATCGGGGTATTTGCCAGAATAGGTTTTATAATATAAACACATTAACTCACAGTCATGTAGACATCCCAGTGTCAATAAACATATGGACCTCCATAACACCTCCTAATGCTTGTTGTGTTGACACATTCGACCACATTGACAAAAAATGAATTTCCTGTATATTTTCATTTTATTTTATTTTAGTTAGTTTATTAAGTACAAAATATCATATATTAGTTTAGTTTTAGTTAAGAATAATAATCTTGGTTCAGTCTAAATGTTACTAATTCTAGTCTGATATAAAACAAATTATGAGCTGAAAAAAGAAATTCACAGACAAAGAAAAAGCAGGAACAAAATTCTATGAAGTTTTAACAAAAACTGAGATTGAAGTCAAAAGCAATACAACATCACCTGCTGGTTCAGAAAGAAAGGACAGAGACATCAGTCGGTGTTGTGGGTGTGAATGTAAAACAGATACTTGAACAGTGGTTTAATGAAAGGTATTGTTACCCTGTTACAGTCCTCCAGAAAGCTGGGCACATCGCTGTCTGTGGGCTGGAAACTGGCCAGGTCGGAGTGGGCTTCCTCCTCTGGCAGCAGTGGACCTTCTGCTTCATCCCGAGAGTCTGTGTCACACATGAAGAGAGCTGGCTAAAGTTACAGATGCTTTCAAAAACTCACATTTTACAACTAGACTTGTTGACGCTAGATTTAAGGAGCATGTTTTTGACACCCACCCCCTTTGAGGAACACATAGTTGAACAACTACTTATTAAACTTATTAAAACAAGATAGAACCCAATAAACATAGAGGGGAGGATTTCTCTTTGTTTTGGCACTTAACTTTCAGCCTCTGTTCACATGTGATGACCAGCTCACGGTGCAGGGCAATGCCATCAACAGTTAGTTGGGCAAGGACTGAAAATTCAGGTGTGGTAGTGGCTAATGTAGCCTGGGGCCTCTAGTGGGCTACAGAGGCCTTTCCAACCTGCTGTAAAAGAGTTTGTACAAACACGGGTTTGGTACCTTGGTTTAGGTCTTCATGCAGGGAGCCGTGACTGGGGCTGGATGGAGCTCCATCACAAGGACTGTCTCCGTTTGGAGTCAAAGAGATGTGACAGTTCCAACCTGTCTCTAAACCCATCTTCTCTGCAAAAACCTGCATAGACATAAAACCAGTGATTTACTGTGTAAGGCACTTTGTGTTACATTTTGCTTGTATGAAACGTGCAATACAAATAAAGTCTGATTGATTGGTCGACTCTGGCATGCATTTTTTAAAGGAGTTTTGTAGTAACTACTGCAATGACAACAACAAAACTGCGAATGGGACTGTGGACTGGAAACAACTGCATGATGAGAAATGCTGGACACACTTGTGATGAAAAGTAGAACAAACAGTGTGTAGTCAACAGCGACACAAGAGAGGTCAAAGGGACCCATTTCATGTCCTGACTGTGTCATACAAAGATAATTTTGGCCAAGAGGATTTTTTTTAGCAGTGGGGGCAGGCCTGTCCGAACAGCCCCCCCCTACCGTTTTAATATTTCCAGATGTTTGATATCAGGACGTTGAGCTGAGAACTGACAAGTTGAACGTTGTCCAATTAAAACGGACCCACTGCGGTGACGTTTTTGGTGGAGCTGTTAGTTTAATAGTCGACTTGGAAGAAAGCAAACATTTTGACAATAAGCTACATCAACACAACAGTATGTGGAGTTAAACTGGACAGCCCCAATAACCTCTGAATAGTTCTACTTGTTGTTAAATTGCAATGTGAGCGGCAGCCAACGGGGGTGCATTATGTCGGCAGGATCATTTAAAAGGCAACCGTGACTACATTGTGCGTCTGCCCCATTTCTGGGCCGCCGCTCCAAGATCAACATAGAGGAAACACTGGAGCTTGTGTGTGTGTGTTCACCTTGCTGCGGAGCTCATCCTCCATGGAAAAGTAAACAAACCGGATACAAGCGGTGACCAGTGCATCAATGAGCCGAACTGTGTCCAGTCTCGCCTGGAACTGGGACGATACCATGCCCATGAAGATCTGCCCACTGAGGGCCTGAACACAGTCCTCACGCTCCACACCCTCACCTATACCCTCTGTAGACATGATGGGGAGAGACAATGGAAGGAAAAGGAAAACAGATGATGATGAAAATGAGTGAGACAGTCCTTTGTTGATATATATTAATACTTCAACTAGAAATCCCTATATCAGTAATTCATACCATCGGAGCTCCAGCTGTTCCTGCAGGAGTTGTGCTTGATGGGGGTGGTGGAGGGCAGCTCCACTCCGGAGAAGAGGCAGGGACCAGGGGCCAGCTCCACGCACTTCCCATTCAGTTGGTTGGACAGTGATACTTGCATGGGTTTATAGGCAAACGCTGAGCAGTAACCTGACAGACAGGCACGCTGGTAGAAATCCAGAACCTTCTTTCTGTAGGAGGAGAAGGGACGAGTTAGAGTTACAAATAGAAAGACTGTTAGAAATATGGATGATTGTGAATCTTTGCAGCAAAGTGAAATTGATCAGTGTGACAGATACTGCACCTGTCTGAGCCTGAGAGAGGATAGATATCAGTTCCATCCCAGAAGTCAGTGCAGGCCTCCAGGATAAGGTCAGCCGAGCCATGTGACAGCATCTGGACGTTATCTACAACAGGGGTCATGACAGACAGAATCAATAACACTGGCATTAAAACGAATTCTCTGTTCAACTCACTCAGATATTCAGGCAAAGGGAAGAGGAAGGGAAAGAAGGTCAGTTGACAGCAAAATGCATAGTGCATAGAAGGAAAACAGAGTTGCTTAGATTATATAACTGAAGTGTGTGTGGACTCACTGGAGGAAGAGTCTCGTACGAAGAGGGAGATGAGGTGGGAGATGGGAGGCTGGCGTTTGATGAAGTAATGAAGGCGACGGGAAGAGAACTCCTTGGTCTTCTCTCCAGATGGTAGCTGGTACAGAGCCAAGTGGTTCTCCTGTTTAAAGAGCTCCCTCGCACCTGGAGTGAACCCTGACACACACACACACACAGACACACACACAGAAAAGACAAGCGTTGTTGTCTTATAGACCTTAACTGAATGCCAACAGTGCAGAGTGTGACATTAGAAGGATGTTTTCACATTCATCTGATGAATATGACAAAAAGTTTTAAAAGTTACCTTCTGCAACTTTATGTCACAAAACCAAGCTTTTTTTTTTTTTTATGTTCCCATGCAACTTTGCAACTCAAAAAAATAAATTGATGGTTCACTTGCAGTATTGCCAGGTAAAATACTCACACTCTAGGGCACGAATGCAACATAGTAATGCGTGGCCTCACGCATTCATCAAAACCATGTGAGAGGGAGATCTTTGCTCACAGTGCTCAGACATTTAGTCTAGGAAAGGACTTCCTTCTGGGGTAAAACTTAATCCATAATTCATGCTGTGTGGGATGAGACATCAGGTTTTCCCTCTGATGTAAACTTCAAGGCTGAAATCACAGTGCCAGACCATCTGACTAAGATCTGTCTGATTCCTGAGTTCTCATATGACCTAACAAAAACCCAAACTAAGGGGCAAATCAGGCCATGGTATGAAAAGGTTGCTCTAAACCAAGCAGCGCCGAAAAACACCATCATTGCAAGCTCACCTATGAGCCTGGAGAGCTCACAGAGCCCCCAGGGGACGTAGACAGGCAGCACTGTGCCGTGACTCTCCTGCAGAGCCAGGTTGGACAGGTGGTCGGAGAAGCGGCAGAGCTGCTGGGTGACACTGGCGTTGCAAAGGTTCAGCATGATGTTGAGGCCCAGGGGCTTGAGGGAGGGCAGGTGGCACTGCCAGGAGAGGTCGTCGAACTGGATGCTGGCTGGGTTCTGCTGGTCCTGCGACAGGCTCAGCATCTCCAGGTGGTAGTCACACACAAAGTCGTCGGCCTCTGCCTCCGGGCAGCCCATCGCAAAGTCCTGGAGACATATGGGACAGAAATGATTAATTATTTAGCATTAATCCTGAAGTCAAATCAAACAATTTCTGACGCTTCAGAGGATTCAGATCTGGTTCCTACCTGTGCCTGGTCGTCCTCCCCTCCCTCAGTGTCATGGCTGAAGCTCACGTTGGATCCAGAGTGGTGTTTGGTGCGAGTGTGCGCGGGCTTGCAGGAGCGCAAAAGCCGGAGATTGTCAGACGAGCGAGCAGTGTCGTGGGACGTCTCACTGGGTTCGGGCCCCTCCCCGGGCTGGGTGGAAGACTCCGCTGGTAGACTGAGCAGAGCTTCTGCCTCCTGGGCCTGTAAGGTGGTCACAACTAGTCAGGAGTGGATATAACACTGTGCACTATCAGGTGATGAATTCCTGAATTTCAGTTGTCTCCATGCCGTTTCTACTAAAAATAACAGACAAGTAGATATACCATACTACTTTCTATATTTTTCAGACTAAATATACAATCAACACACACCTCATCCCTGTCATCATCTGTCTCCATTCGGCAGTAGGAGTTGACAGACAGGTCATCTCTGAGATCATCCTGGCTGTTGTGAGGTGGCTCCACCCGTCCACTGAAGAACAGCACAGTCTCTGGACTGGGGTTAGGCCACGAAAGGATACCCTGTTTGTCCACACAACACAGCACCTACATGCACACAAAAGATTTACAACACACACACACACACACACACACACACACACACACACACACACACACACACACACACACACACACACACACACACACACACACACACACACACACACACACACACACACACACACACACACACACACACACACACACACACACACACACACACACAACCTATAAAATTGTTCCAAAGTGTATGGAGTGTGTATGGAGGTAGGTATAGTAACTGTTTCATCTAAGATTTCAGTCACACATGGTAACGCAAGTGCAGTTTAATACTACAGCAAAGATTCCTTGAACAGCTGGTATATATGTTTACAGTGCAGCCAAACAAACTCATGTTTTAATAAGGAAGTCGCTCAATGATTATAACCTCCATCTGATTTTATTCTGCATGCTGCAAGTAGTGTTCCACAAAACTGCAGACACAGTAAAGTTAACAGCTCACTGTGGCTGCTCCTGACTTTTTCATAATTGCAAAATATAACAGTGATGCACTGAAACAGAAGTGACCTAAATGACTGTTGTCTTATTTAGTAAACACATTTTTCATTAACTATATGGTCAGCAATAACCTCTGTGACAAACACTTTGTTTCCCTGTAACTGCTTCACAATAAAAGCTGCCATGTGTTTTGTTAAACACTTTTCATGTCTAGCAGCAGTAACGTTCATGCAGCTCTGATATGGCTGTAGCAGAGTAAACAGTAGTATCAATTAGATCAAATAACAGTAATGCTGGATTACATGCTGCATTGTTTTTTGTCATTTCCTCGTATGTGTGAATAATTTTAATCCAGTACAGGAATGGCGGACTCCGCCACTTACAATGTTAACTATTATATAGTTCCGAAATATAATTTATTCAGCACAAAGTAGTTCCAAATAAAACTGTTCATACCAAGATTTGTGGATTATTTAAAATAACAGGAACATAGTTTCTGGAATTTTTTTGGGTGAAATTGAAATATTCAAAAAGTAATTTTTCTAATTCCCTGAACAACACTAAGACAATGTCATCCACCTCTATTTGGTAGGTAGAAATCCTAGACAGATATTTCAAAATCTGGACAAATAAAACCAAAACTGACTGCATGCCTAGATATCACTTGTGTGAGGTAGTCCTATCATTCTATGAAGCAAATTTCAAAACGTTTACTTTTGCTATAGAAAGTTAGCTACAGTAAGTTTACTGGAAATGAACTTTTCTCTAAATACCTGGCTTAAAAAGAAAAACCTAAACAAGAAACTGCAGCATTTTGTGATTATACTTGGTACAAGCTTATGTTGATTGATATACTATGTAGACCAACAATGTGGATCAGGAGTTAAATTCACAGAAAATGATCACAATTGAAATTGCAATTAGATATCTTCCCAGAATGATTTAGCCCTATAACACTCACAGTGACAGATCCCAAAGTGTGTAAAAGGCTGGAGGTATAACAGAGTGTCTGAGACTCTCCCTTCAGGACGCCAACCAGGTGTCTCCACACACAACGCAGCATCTCCTGTATATATGAGCACACACACAAACATACGAAAACACACACACATGCATATATAGATCAAGTCACAGTACTGCTTTCTACTACATACTAGAGGATGGACATGAAATTATTAAAATGAAATTTCAAAGTATTATGAATTAAGTAGTATGAATCATAAATAAACAAATACATATATTAGAACATACAATTTGAAAAACTAGCTTTTATTAAGACGAAAGAAGCTAACTGAGTAAACATGCTCAGCCTAAAAGCCCCAAACCAGCTATAAAAACAACCAAGTCTTAATCTGTGATTGGACTATAAAGACAGAAAAAGGACAAAGCTTCTATACTACAATGCTAGTGGCATAAGGTCAGGAGGTGAAGCCTAGTGCAAGCGGCAGCGTTTTGTGAGTGTCCAAAACACGTTCATGCAGATTTGGTTTCTTTTGAATGGAATCCATGATGACTGATTCAGCGCGAGACAAACCGAAAACAACTTGCCCTTCCTTGCCTCCTCTCTTTATCAGACAGCATCCAAACTGAACTTTCTGGCCAAGGGCTGGTGCACCAAAGAAAGATGTTCATTAGGGATGTAACACAAAGCTACTGTCTGTATCCAACAGTTTCTGTTTGCACATTTAACATGGACATACAGACAACAATCTCCTTGATTACTTTAATACTGAAAAATGTCTCAACTGGATTATTATGAAACGAGATTTTAAGTTATGGGGAGCATCTTATTATTACATTTCTTAACTGATTTACTTTCATTTGTCATTGATAGACAATGTATTTGCCGTTACCCCCTAAAGAAGGGGTGTGAGGCAAATTGACCCCTATTACCTCAGTCAACTACCTCCTTCCCTGTATACAGATATGTTATGTGTTAGGCTCATCTATGTTGAAAAGACAACCACATTATGACGAAGTTGACTGAGGCTGGCTCAACTGTCCAAAAAATGTTAGTTACATCCCTAATGTACATACATGAGTCCAAGAAGATTTTTTTACCAGCTGAATGTAAAATCACACAGCAATACCACACTGTGACACAAGTGACTGGAACTGTTTCAAACAATTAAGAAAATAAACCATCCAGACAGCAGAGATGGAAATGTTGCACACTACTACCCTGTGAAGAGAATTGCAACAGGGGCATGTTGGATGTGATTGGCTCAGTCCAGTCAGTGTCCAGCAGGGACAAAGTTTTAAAATGGTTAAGATCAAAATTTGTTCAAACCAAAAGCATTCACAATACTAGCAGTTTATAGGATGACAGCCAGTACAGTGAGTGCCTTTTACCAACTGATCTGCCAAATACAGATTTTAATCAGCATTTGATGCTGTGACATAGTCAAAAATACTACTCACTATGATTCCAAAGGAGATAAGGAAAGGACACAAGGAGATGAAAACCCGAGAGAATTATCAGCATGGGGCCATTTTGGGCCTGATTTCCCGTCATGCAGTGCAGGCAGACAAGCAGAGGTGGAAGGTCAGGCACAGATTCAAGTGGAAGTCCCTCTCAGGATCATCTCTTCCCTATATGTATAACACTTGCTATGTATTCATCTGAAGCAATGCCAAAGCCAGAGACAAAACCCTGATGGTTTCAGAAGGACAGACTCGTGGCAGTCTACTGATGACTACCGATTTGCTTAGTTTTCCTTTGAGCATTACAGCCCAGCAACAATGGGGCACAATGATTGAGTTTGGTTAGGATCTGTGAGAGGTTGTGGAAACAAAAAAGCTGTATCCATGAGGTGAGAAAACAATCTTAAAGAGACATTGATTGATAACATGTCAAAGATGACTGGAGGCATCTGAGCGTAACTTACATCCACAGGTGCTCGGTCAAGACGTGTTGACTGATAATCCACAGATGAAGAGTGACCAACAACCAAAGAGTCAAAGGAGAGAAAATAACACGTCGTGCAAGATGAATTAAAAAACGAAAAGCAAAGCAAAGTGCTCGTATTAAAGCAACAAAAATGAAGAAAGAAAATGTAGTGAACACATGGAGAATCAGAGAGGTGGTCTGAATCATAAGATGTCCATAAAGATTTCCACGGTGTAGAAATCAAAGATGTAATGGAGATTGAAGGTGAAGGGGGCGGGAGTGGGAGGGTCGTGAGAGCTGTGTACGGGGGGGGGGGAGGTTCCAGAGAGGGAGTTGCAAAGGGCGAGGACAGCGAGCGAGTGAAGACAGGCGGGTTCAGGTGGAGTTGGGAGCCAAGCGAGTGGAAGAGGGGAGAGGGGAGCGAGACAGCGAGAGGTTATACCTGGGAGGAAACCACTTCGGTGTAGCTGCTTAGAGTGTCCTCAGAGAACTTAGCAAGCTGGGGCAAGAGAAGAGTCTAGTTAAAACACAGAGGGAGACCCCTCGCTGCGTCTCCTCTGTGTGTGTGTTGTGTGTGAACATGTGAGTGTACATGTGAGTGTTAGTGTGTTTGGGTTAGACTGATGTGAGTTTTAAGATCACTATCAATATTTCTGAATTGCAGGTGCCAATAGCCAGCATGGACACTCGGCAACATCCCAAAGACAGGCTGTTGTCTTGGTGTGTTAGGGCTCTGAACAGTGCTCACATTCTTATTGACTGAACAGTGAAAGAATTGTAGCCCAATTTAAAGGGGGCAATGGTGATTGGAAGTGAGTGAGATGCATTATGGGATTCTGAGTTGAAGATAGGGTACTTGCAAGTTCCTTCACTTTATTGGGGTCTGGTCTTCCACAAAATAAACTGATGCTTAATTATTCCTTCCTAAGTCCCGCCCCTTTTCACTCTGTGCTCCAATGACAGTTGAGCAAGCCTCGGTCAACTTCCTCCTGTCCTGTACTTAGATATGCTATGTGCTAAGCTCATCTATGTTGAAAAGACACACACATTTGAAGATGTTAACTAGCATGATTAAAACACACACTAACTAACTAGCTAATTTACATCAATCATTAGTAAACTAGTTACATAACATTAGCTAACTTTAGACTATATATGACTATAAACTAGCTAGCTGATTAAACTAGTTAGCAAACAATCAAGTAGATTAGTTAGCTAGTTAGCGTTTTGCTAACATTAGCCAACTTAAGATGAGAGATTGAAGTTGACCGAGGCTTGTTCAACTGTTATTGGAGCACAAAAAGGGGCTGTCAAGTTTGCCCCTTAAAACCTCTTGGTTGCTTGGTCCATACATATAGGATCATTTTTTGAATGTACTCTTAAAGTTGGGGGACTGTATACAAAAAAGGTCCAACATTGTTTACCCAACATGGATATAAACACCTTTAACACCTCAGTCATTGTATCAGTGCAAAATCCAATATGGAGGGCTATAGTCAGAGCCAAATGTGGTACTGCCCAAGAATTTGCAGATCAAACTATATGTGGAATCCTGTTGGCCATTGCACATGGTTCAGATGGCCTGCGGAGTTGGTTTAATGTCCACTGGCTAGTGAGCTGTGCAGCTTATTTATGACTCAGACACATCATATCAGTGAAGCATGGGAATTGTCCATATACTGTCTGACTTGTAAATGTCATAGAAATGTAGTATTTCTGTTCACTTTTACAATATGCATTAGTAGATTTGATTAGTCATTACTATTTGGTCATTATCAAAGACTGTATTTTGAAGTTTGTACTTATTCGATCACAGTGGTGTTTCTATTATAGTACAATAGCAGTAAGTCTGCTTGAACATTTAATGCTGATTTAATGTGAACACACGGACAGTAGGGACAACAAAACTGATATTGAAAAGTTTTACAATGTTCAAACAATTATTTCCAATGGTTTTTCCACCTTGTTTGTACAACAAGGGAACAAAAAAACAAATAGGAAAAAAAACAGACAAAAGATGGCTCCTACAATTGCTTCTCTGTAAATACATTTTCTATACCAAAAGGACAGAGCTGAGCCTTGATGATGCTGCAACACAGCCGGTGGACATATAACGCAAATTAAGGCCTTCCCATAGAGCACCTGTGTAACACAGATCAATTTAATATGTCTAATATGTAATTAATGATCACACTGTTTAATAGCATATTAAAGCTGGGGGTACTGACCTATTAATGTGGAATCGAACTAGGGTATCAGTCTAACCCTACAGTGTAAGTCTGTATGTATTGGTTAAAACATATAACACAATCCTCTGTGTTAGTAACTGAAGTTTTCTTTTCACAAAGCTTTTTGTGTGGTGTGGTGTGTGTGCGTGTGCGTGTGCGTGTGTGTGTGTGTGTGTGTGTCTCACCAGACCAGCTGGTGATGCGCGGCTGAACTCAGCGAGGACCCTTGCCTCTCCGAAGGCATTCAACAGCACCCACATGACAGGGAAGAGCAAGGGCAAGATGGGCAGAACACCCATTAACTGCAAATACAATTTTGCAATGTTTATGACCAACATAAAGTATAAAATAAAGTCTCACTAAAAATAGAAAAGCGTGCATACACCTCGGTCTGGCTATACATTTATAGTTTTGGATGATTGTACCTGAAGCTGAAAGAAGTTGTAGCAGGCAGGGGTGAGGCTGGGTGCGTCACAAAAATAGCGGATAGTGTTTACTAGCAGGAAGGCCACCTAAAGGGAGACAACAGAAAGATAGCAGTAAGGTTAAAGGTGGCACCCATTACATCTGGGGTCCTTTTAATTAGAGAACATGCAATCCCAAACTGTTTTAGACTTAGAAGCTCTATGTTAACTGCTCACCAGCACGACAGGACAGACTAGCTTGGTGATAACTGACTGCACTGTAAACCTCTCGTTATCGAGCACCGTGATTGGTCGAGCCAACGCCATCTCCAAACTGTTCCTGTTGGGAGAAGATGAAAGAATCTCACCAACCCAGAAAGGCCACACAAAAATTTCTCAACATGAGCGAGTTCCCTACCTGACTATGTCCAGCACTGGGGTCCGGACAACTCTGAAGAGACGATGTTGCTGGGGGCTCTGGGGTCCTCTCTTCTCATTGGCTCGTGGGGAAGGGGGAGGGGAGAATGGGGGGAATAAATCTCCTGGCTCCAACACAATGTGCTCGTCATCCTGAGGAGAAAAACAGATTAAGCCTGTCACCCAAAAATATAGTTTTAATGGGTCATTCTGTACTAAGCAGGGGTGTTATGGTACGTGTGTTTGTCCCAAAACATCCGGTACAGGACTTCGGTATGCGCCTTCCTTGGTTTGGTACGCCCCATGACCCAAGCAATATCTGTCAAAATAGTCGATTTATGCCTATGGCTGCAACCAACTATTCATTAATTCATTAGCACAACCCAAAAATATACAGTTTACTGTCAGAGAGGACTAAAGAAAGCAGAAAATATTCACATTTAAAGAACTGGAATTACAGAATTTTTACTTGCTTTTTAATTGCTCAAATCTATAAGCAAAATGGTTGACTACTAATCAATTATTGGATTAACTGTTGGAGCTACTAGTCTACGACGCACACGTGGAACAGAAATGACCAGTTATTGTCTATCAGCCACACGGTTTTGAGGATGCACATGTGTATTAGTGTGCTTGTGTTGGACCAATACCAGTTCATTCACATTTGATATCAATTCCAAAAGACTATCTAGGGCAAATAACTAATAACTGAATTTCTCATAAAACAAACTTCTCTCCCAAAAGACATATTTTAACAGCAAAGAGTTATTGCAGTTATTACCAAAGTAAGCTTAACAGAACCACAGTGTTTTCCCTGTTTATTTCAACTCAGTCTGACAAAGGCTCATGCCTGTATACATTTAGAGATAGAGAACATCTACAAGTGAAATTTAAATGACAAAGTTGAATTAGGTGAATTCGAAACGGTACAATACTGATACTGAACACAGCCATAATAGCAAATCCCAATGTACTCAATATGATCAGAGGTGTATTGTTTGATGACTTTGTGCCAGACGAGGGAGCTTATGAGTCGCTGTGGTGGAATCAAATTCTCTTCATTCAGTACAAAACTATTTCTGCACATTTTCCTCATGTCACAATTTATATTCCCTCAGCATCTTTAAAAAAGGTGCATGTGTACATACACTGTAAGAGTATCTACCTTAATGCCTCTAAGGGATGCAAACGCCTCTTGGCCAGGTCTCAGAGCGATGATGTCTCCTTCCACCAGCAGACTCACGGGCAGGTTAACCAACTGGGAGTCGCGGTAGGTCCAGTGGAGGGACCACGATGGAGACGTGGGTGTGTACAGATCAGGGTACAGGGATGGAGACCACCGCACTTCCCCCACACACCCTGACAGATAGTCTGGAGTAAGAAAGTTAAGGTGCAGTTCAGTCAAATGTGATCAGTGAAGAAAAGGTTGCAGAGTTTAAACAGAGAGCAGAAGGACATTTTGGACAGCTGGTATCCAGAGTTCCGTTACAGCTCACACTGGGGTAATCTCGTTGATGAACTAAAAAAATGCCTGACACCATTCTTGCAGATCGACCCTAGACATCCTGAGAGTTGATTATGAATGATACTATTTAACCAAATGGACAAGCGCAAATTCATTTCAACGTCGATACTTGAGTCGCTAATCTTGTCAGCACAGAGATGCCCCCCTGAGACCTGGTTCTGACAGGTATTGGTTCGAAATGATCAAAAAGTATGTATTTTTATGCATAGCCGAGACCCTTAAAACTAAAAATCACATTTTACTCGAGTCAGCAACAACAATGCTTTTGCAATGCTAATGAGGAAGTGAGGGACAGTGACTTCCTCAAGCATTACAGATAAACAGAGATTATCTTGTACAGGAAGTAAAAATGCCATAATTCCTCCAGTGCACAGTCCACAAGCCTGACTCACCACTGAGCTGAGTGATGATGCCCTTGAGGCGGCGGACCATCTCACTCCTCTTCAGCCTCTCCTGACGTCCGACCAGCAGCAGGTTCAGCAGGAAGAGGAGAAGGAGGGCTGCGGCGTTCATCAGCTCTATACCAGAACTGTGGAGGTGGAAAGGACAAATGAAACAGAAAAAATCAGTCTTCAACAGGGTCCAGCACAGTTAGAGAAACATTTCTCGATTATCTTTAATAGCTTGATAAAAAAAATAATGAATAATAATAAAAAGTTTACTTGAAGCTACACCAAATAAATCTAAAAGGGATTTTAACTGATGCCTTCTGAGGAACCAGCACTTCTATAATTGTATAGAAATGTATCCAAATTCAATCTAAATGAGTGTTTAAATTGGTCAGTTAGTATCCATGTTTAATCAGAGAGAAGAACAGTCCATCCAAGTGTGAGATGGCCTTGGCAGACAGCAAGAACAACGACAGCTGGTGTTTGTGTTGCTGCTGAGTAATTACATTTTATCACTTCTGTTCAACTTGAACATGTTGATTATTTTTCATGAGAATGATACAGTTCAGGTGACAGCAGCATTTCCAGACCTGGGGACACAGAGACCTCCTTAGCTTGTTCTTATATATCTATTTGACATCAGGATTTAATATGTGGCATTTCAGAAAGCCTTGTGTGAACCTAGTTTAAAAAGAATTTACTTTTACAACAATGGTGGTGGAACTGTTGAATAAAGTAGCTTCTGACATGATGGTGGTGGGGAAATATCTTCTCAACCTGCTGGCAATTGTCGAAGCTTCAAGGACAAAGAAACTATGTTAATCTTCCCTGCCGTGCACCAACATTTTTACTGATGCTGCACGTACAGCATCATAGATGTTCCAGAACAGGACGGTTCAGCTAAAAGACACCTACCTGCCCTTTGGCTGGCTGCCATGACAACAGAAGAGTCCCAGCACCACCAGTAGAGTGAGGGCAGCTCCTGGCCAATGGAGACAGGAGTGACGGTTGCCATGGTAAAGAAAGCTATTCGCCCATTGTTCCTATGAAAACGTGACAAGACAACAAGGCATGAGCAAAACAATATGCAGTGTGTTATGTAAGACATCGAACATGTGACAGATTTATTTAAAGAATAATCAGGGTTACTATTAGTGGTTGGAATCAAGGCTGTGTGGAACACATCGCTTTCTATGTGACTTGTGTCCTGCTGTTTTCCCACTCATGAGGACTAAACATCCTCGCAAGGACGTAATGACATCAGCTAATTTAGGCTTAGGGTTAGGTTTACAATAAATAGCATTTTTAGGTCAGAATGAAGATTTAAGTTTAGGGAGTGACTATAATTAAAGTGTAACTAAACCCCCTAGATTCTGCTAGTTGCCTGCTAGAATGATGCAGGGGGAGTGGCCTTGTGGCTATGGAGTGTGTGACGCAGGAGATAACACCAGCTAGAGTGGCAGACAGTAGTCCAGCTGCTGCTAGTCAGAGCATACGAGCTAACCAGCCATGAGCAGCTGGTGTCAGACTGTCTGTGTCCATGCTGCAAACACAAAGACTCCACTGGAGCTTTGACGGTCACTAGAAGCACATTCACAGCCATTTGCAAAAGTTTCTGTGTCATACCTGTGTTGTAACGTTAGCAAAGTGAGCAGATCAGAGAGGCTATTCTCCAGTGTCTCTGGGGTAGTGTCAGGCTACGGCTATACATTAGGCCATAGCCTGCAGAGTCAGAAGAGGTTTTAAAGCTGCGAGCGGGGGGGGCACCATATACAACTGCCTTCAGATAAGGCAACAGCAAAATTTAATTCGCAATAGCTGGGTTTCAACCACTAGAGGGTGGTCACCATGCATATTTATAACACAATATGTGGAACTCAAATACTTAATAATAAATGTAAATGCAATAAAATGTCCAGATCTGGCCCTGATTCAATCAACAACATTAGTAAATACCCATATACATGTTCTGAAGAAAATGTTTTTGGTGTTTAGTTACTCTTCAAATAAGAACACTGATATAAGTGTGTAAGTTTACCTGTGCAGAGGCTCGTCTGTGTGTAGTCCTCTGGTGCTGCTCCAGTAGGCTGTTGAGCTGGTCCCGGAGCTTCACCAGAGCCTGGCCAGTGGACAGGCCCAGAGTCACAGCACCCTCTTCCTGCAACAAAAAATACGACAACCTATTCACACTCCAGTTGACTCTTTACCCAAAAGAAACAAAGAGGCATTAACAATTCTGACAAGAGAATTCCAAGCACTTGTAAATGGTAAAATGGTAAAAGTAATTCATTCATTGAAGTGACGTTTTTGCTGACATTGCCACATGAGCATTATGAACTTATGAGCTTCCTAGCTACTGTAGCTGCAGTAGTGACAATTGGTACAAACATGCAGCTGGCTTATTGGTGCACTAACACTGATGATGAATTGGTATTGAAATTTCAGAAATTGATAGGGCATTCTTCAATTCTTGTTAGTATCAAAATAGGTGGTGGTACAGCACAGAGAAACGCAGCGATGCGTCAAAAAATGCAAGGAAGAAGAAGACTGCTAGCTTGTGGACACAGATGTAAACAATTAAGTATTTAAACTAGTTAGAAACCTACTAATGATATGCAGCCTGCAGCCCGCAGTCATTAGTCCTCACGCTGAATGCATGTGGTGAAGATGGCAGTTCTGACTTTAGTTCCCAAATGGTAACTCAATTTAAGACGTCGATACTGGCAAAAAAGTATGGACATGAAGTTTTGTTTTGTTTTGTAGTTGTTGCAGCACAATCAATACACATTTAAAGCTGCAACGTTTATAAAAAATATCTTTTTGTCATATTTGCTGAATCTTTCACTATATCCTCCTGACAGTAGTACATGAGACAGATAATCTGTAAAACAATCAGGTTCCTCTGGCTCCTCCTAGTGCTCCTAATGGTATTAACAAGAATCCACCGGCGCTGAAAACAACCAATTAGAGCTGAGAAAGATATAAAGACACTTTGGGTTGGAAGACAGCAGTCCAGCTGCCGCTAGGCAGAGCATACGAGCTAACCAGCCATGAGCAGCTGCTGTCAGACTCTCTGTGTCCATGCTGCAAACACAGAGACTCCACTGGAGCTTTGACGGTCACTAGAAGCACATTCACAGCCATTTGCAAAAGTTTGACGATAGTTGATTGTTCTCGCCTCTGACTGGTTGTTGTCGTTCAGGCCCGCTGAATTCTTGAAAATGTCATTACATTCTCAGATCTAGACCTGCTCTATTTGAAAAGTGTCCTGAGATAACTTCTGTTAAATTGGCGCTATACAAATAAAATTGAATTGAATTATCTGTCTCATGTCAGCATAGTACTGATATGACAAAACATTTTATTTTATAAAAAATTCTTACTGCAGCTTTAAAAGCAAGACTGAAAAATGCAACGTCATACAAGTAACATCCAATCCAATTTTAAAGACCTGTAAAAATCATATTGAGACATTTTAAAGGCCAAAATTTCAAATAATTATATTGTAGACTTTCTAAGACTTTTTAAAGACACCCTGTTATGGTAATTTTACTTGAATTACACAGGGAATCATCAATGACAAGCCATCAATCTTGCTTCATATTTGCACCAGGTACAATTAAACACAGATTAGATTCATCATTTGATCTATGAAATGTAAGAAACCTATGAAAAATGCCCTCCACAATTTCTCCCATGGAGAAGTCTCTAAAAGTCTGAGATCCTGATTTGAAAGCCATTCAGTTAACAAAGATATAAAACTGAGAAATGCTGCTGGAGCCAGATAATGTTGCATTTGATAAATGGCTGTCGATTCATTTCCTATCAATATTGTTGCCTTCATATTGTCTAACAAATGCATCATACATCACATTTTCTCCATATGGAGCTACCTTAGCCCACACTTAAACCAAAATAGCTGCGTAAAAAAGAAAACGCTTTACAATAAAGGAAGGAAGGGAAACAGTCATATCTAATGTGAACTCCCCATGTCACTGTGAGGATGTGTGTGTCTGCAAAGGTCTGCGCATACACTGAACAGAAAGACATACACAAAAATGAAAACTCACACACATACACACAGGGTTCAGCTTTCAAGCTCTACATCCCACACAGCCAAACTATAAATATCTCCCCATTTCCCCAGAGTAACAAAGCCTCAATAAAAATCCTCTAGACAGACGTAAACACGCAGGAGCCTGAGCAGCCTTAGTAAAGCAGACCTTGCCTACAGCCTGATTAACCTTGGATGATCGCCAACAAATCAACAGCATTACATGCGAACACTACTACTGACACTGAAAGACGTGCCTTAACTACAGTATATCTGTTTGACAGTATCGCTCATAAACACATACAGCATTACATTTTCTTTAGCCGTCACTAAGGAGAATGTGTTCAGCTGCAGACCGACAGAACAAGCAGGAGACAACTTACACTGCTCTTCTTCCTGAGGCAGATCCCCTCTCTCATCTTCAACACCATGACGGCCCTGCTCTGCCCTGCTCCACTAAAATCGGTATTACTGCTGCTGGGCTACAAGGGCAGCGTCTAACTACAGCTGTGCTACGTGACGAGAATCGTTACATTTCGGAAACCTGTTCCCAAGATGTGAATGAAGTCCTAACTGGAGAGAGAGCCTGCTCATGGCTACAGTCAGGAGAGAGCTGGAGATGCTGCAAAACCTCACCCAAATTTCCCTCGTCACTGGGCTGCAGACAACAGAGCCCAGCGTCAGCACACGCTGCCAGCTGGACTTTAATTCAAAAACACCAAGTCTGGCTGTCTCTCTGGCATGGGCAGAGCCTCATTCAGTTCAACTCAGTTCAACAGCTGGCTGGGAGAGTAAGGGGGGCTGAAAGAGGCCAGACATAGTGGGGGGGGGGAGGAAAAAAAGGCTCTTTTGATGAGAGGAACAATGCCAACCTGGCCTGTATAACCCTGGTTAGGCTATTTTCCACTCTTGCCAACTTAGCATATTTTTCAATAATGGAAGGATGCACACAGAGAAGCAACAGACAGAACTAGGGTTGCAAAATTCCAGGAATTTTCAAAGTTGGAAACTTTCTGTGGGAATTAACGGGAATATATGGGAATTAACAGGAATAAATGGGAATTAATGGGAATAAACTTGATATTTTTAATATTGTTTGTTATAATACTGTAAGTCTATAACAGGGAATTTACATAGTTGAAAAGAAACATCTTGCAGGATAATCTTGCTTAAAACAACCTGATTTAATGCAACTTCAGTTGAATGTCCTCCCTATATTTGTAGTAGTAGTACAGTAGTACGCAGTAATCAGCATAGGCTACTACATACTTGCCAACATTTATTTTTCAAAATATGGGAGTTTTTTTCTTTTTTTTTGGGGGGGTTAATACATAACCCATTGCTGTTAACCTATCTGGGTTAATTGTATTGTATGCATATAACCATAACCATAGCCATAGTAAATCAAAGGCAGCATGCTAGCTACAGTCATATGTTAAGCTAAAGGTCAATGGTTTGGGGTACTACTTATGGTGCTATCCATTTGTCTCGTAAATCCCCGCCCGAGTGTGGCTCATCTAAACAAGCTCAATGTGAAATAATAATGTTTTTCTACAGAAACACTAACATCTCAAGTAATTCCGTTATTGCAAGTCTTACATTTCAATAATATTTTAACCATTTTCGCCTATTTCAATTTCAACAAGTGCTGTGGCGTTTGTCTCGAGCCACCAGGGGCAGTGGCAGGCTAGTGTTATTGTTAGCTACATTAGCATATTTAGCAAACCAGCTCGAAAACAAAACTTTACATTGTATTGCACGCACAGCAACACCGTGCAATGCATAAATTGGTGACCGGACTAAAGCAGCACCGTAAACAAGTGTGTAAGAGCATTTAATATTAACATTAAAACGACCAACGTAGCACAAAAACAAAGAAAATACATTTCAATATTGTATGAATTACTCAACTTTTCCAGTTAATTCTCCTAAATTCCCATGAATTCCCATAATTTCCCATTAATTTCCATTAATTCCCATGAAAGTTTCCAAATTGTCATGTTTCCAAAATTTCCCAGATTATCTTTCCATGGAAAGTGTCTGGAAAGTTTCCGGAAATTTACCAGAAAATGTCTGCCCCTTTGCAAGCCTAGACAGAACTGGTAGAGGTAAAAAATGTGTGTGGCTGATATGACTGAAAATACACTATCGCTATATAATGGGACTTGAGATTGGAATTAAGCAAACACAGATAAGTCTTTAAGGAGTTAAACTGAAACATTTTGTGACTTTAACAGTCAGTAAGACTGTTTTGTCTGATATAATAAGTGTATGCAAAATACATGTAAAATCATCATGCCCATGCCATTGTTATGTATTATGTCAGACAAAACCCCATTACATCTGTGTTTACCTGGGGAAGGAAAAGTGGGCTCATCATCAAGTGTGTCATAATTTTTTCCACAGCTGATGATGGAAGTAGCTAGGGGCCAAAATCATTTAAACTTTTTTGTTACTATGGAATTCACTTTTTCAGTTTGTTTACACAGACAACTGTAACTTGTGTCAGTGCATTATGCACATTTTATTTGTTGTTATTGAAGAATGCACTTTTTCAGATTGTGTTTACATAGAAATGTTGTGTCAGTGCATCAATTTTATATATATATATATATATATATATATATATATATTTTTTTTTTTTTTTTTTTTTTTTTTGAACTTTTGGAATATATATATGTATATGTGTGTGTTATCGGCCTTAAGAAGCTGAAAGTTATCGGTTATCGGTATCTGTTTTTAAAAAAAAGTTATCATGCATCCCTAGAAGTAGCTAAGGAGAGAGCCGTCTCACTTCACTCTCAACTCTGTTGAGAGTTCCACACGCTCAGTACTGATCGGGCACTCGCAAGAAAATGGTGGTGGGTAAAGACAAAGTTTATTAGCGGAAGTGCAAGCAAACATTTCAAATATCCTGGTGCGGGCAAAACTCCAACTATGTATTGTGCAGTTTGCTGCAACTTTGAGAGCAAGATGGAACACATTGCTGGAGTACCATAACAAGAGCCAACGGCATGCGCAGCAGCTAACTGGGTCTTTGTTTGCGGTTAAAATTAACCGCTAATAATTGTTTTTTGAATAAAGAAGCAAACATTTAATTTGCGCAAGTAGATTTTTAACCCATTTGCCTGATCGGTTAATTATAATAACACATTTTAATTAAGAACTCCCGAAAATGACAGAAATCCTCTTACAAAAATGTATTTGACATGTACTCATTTTTTAGTTTGGCCCATGGAGGCAGCGGGCTTTATGACCTATACTGCAGGCAGCCACCAGAGGGCGATCAAGATGCTTTTGCTTCACTTTTGAACAACTGTCCATCTTTATAAATGTCGCTAGGTGACACCTTCATAAACTGTTTATAAACTGGTGAATTTGGGGCAGAAATAGTGATACAGCGTGTTGCTCAACTGTTTTCTCTGTAACACAGTAGACAAGAACTGTTTGAAGAACACTCCTCCTTCCTCTTACTAATGCATTCACAATTTATTATATAACCAAACAAATAGGAATCCATACAGCTGAAATGTTCACTGTATCAATCAACACCACGTTATATAATTCAAATGTGTAAAATGAGAGGTCTAGTCTACTTCTAAGACTTCTGTGACATTCATGTCTCCTTCAGAAGGAGGGCTGCTACATGCTTCTTCTGACTGTACAGTTAGGAGTTAATGATTATATAAGAGAACACAGCACATAGGTGGGAGCACTGAGATAGAAGAGGTAGAAAGCTCTTCTTTAAGCGTGTTGAGCAATAGGTCAGGGGCAGCCACATTTCCGCTCCTACACGCGTCATGTTGACCCAGCGGGTGCCCAGTAGTGAAATGCCTCTCCTACACATATATGTTTAACTACAGAGGTTTGAGCTTTTGACCCTTCGAACAGGTGTGACTGAAATGATCAAGGACAATGAGAGTGCGTGTGAAAAAGTGAATACGAGGAAATGTGTATTTATCAGTGGCTGACAATCAAACATCCACGCCCTCTTTACGCAGTGACTGTCCAGGTGTATGGAGGTGTGACTGCAGGCAAGGTTGGACTTCTCTCTTTTCATTTGTCCCACAGCTGCTTCCATAATTTTTTGTGTTAAATTGTCAAAAAGTCATCATTATCATCATCATTATTATTATTATTTTAATAATTCCTTGTGTCTCTGGTCTTTCTAAAAGAGTTCTTTGAATGCACTGCAATACTAAATGGTCATAAACTGTCAACTTTTCAAATTCCCTGTTGGCAACAGCAATGTTACAGGTTCACTGCACGTCACTGGCGTTGTGTAATTTCATACCACATTCTGATTGGCTAGTTGTAGATATTGCGAAATCTAATCAAAATTTTCGAGGACCATTTTAGAACGACAACCAAACCCTTTCTCTCGTGTAGTGCTGAAGCTAATGATTCATTTCATTATTGATTCATCTGCCACTCATTTTCTCAATGAATCGTCTAGAGCTCTAAAAGAGCTGAAAAAAAGCTGAAATCCGTGGATGTTCTGGCAATTTTGCTTGAAAAATTACTGAATCAGTTAATCGATCAGAATAGCCAGCTCATTTTTCTTTCAAACGACTAAATGATTATTTGTATAATATTGTTCCAGCTCTACTCTCATGATCGTCAATACTCGTCTAAACAAGGCGCAATCGCACACATATATATATATATATATAGATAGAGGGACTTTTAGGCAATACGATATCTTTTTGCACATGTGCATTAGGAAATTAAATACATTTTCCCTGAAGAGTACCACAAAAGAAGCATGAAGATGATGATGCTGCAGCATAGCTAAGCACTCCCCTCAGGGTAGGGTAAATCCCAGGAGGCCTATCCGATCTGTAAACAGCTCTCCACCTCAGGGACATTTAAGTTACACAAGCAGATGCTGAACTAAGCAACCAACCTCACCTGCTTCTTATCCTGCAGCTCCATGGCAACCACAACCACTCAACATGCTCTGCTCCTCAACCAGCCAACGCCACCTGGCAGAGCCCTGTCAGTGCAGCTCTGCAGGTGTCCAAATGTGGACGGCACGCACTCGAGGTTCGGATCACTCTCAGCCTTCCTGTGGGAGCTCCAGATCAAGTGGGTTGGATTTGGACGGAGGAAGATGGAGAAGGCAGGCGGGTGCAGCCTTGGTCCCCCACCTGGCAACACCTCCTGCCCCGCCTCCTCTGCCAGTGTGACAGGAGGAGGCACGCCCACACCTGCAGGGACCAGCCAAGAGAAGCAGGGAACTGTGGGATATGGGGTTTTTGGTTGGAGGATTAACTGTCGCTCAGGTGCAGCACAGGGATCCTCTTTATAACATTCATGTAGAGGTCTGTGGATAAATGACAAAATACACAAATCAATTAAAAAACAAGTCTAACTGGAATGACCTACACTGACCTACATTGCAGCACTCTATTGCAATGTAGGCCAGGTTTAATTAAGGCACTGATTGTTAAATATCATCATGGTTGGCAGGCTTTACTATTACCGCATCAGCTCTTCTTAATTACAGTTAGCTCTAATGCTGTCATGTTGTGCAGTGCTGAGGCTACAGCGAGAGCACCCACATGTTAGCATAACAGCTCTATTGAAAAGCAGACCGAGGCCCTGAATCTACTGACACCGGGCTCTCCACTCACTCTGACCACATAAGCAGCTTCCTCTGGCACAAAAAAAACCCCAGTGAACTCCAGAGTCAGCAGTCTCCATTGGCAAAGAGTTGACAGTGCTCAGCCAAACAGAGGAGAAAAGAGCCGGACCGGCTGAAGGGTGAGAGGGTGCACCGACTACAAAGTAAGACCGTTCGAGTTAAGATTACACCCAAAAACAGTCCTGTCGGAGGGAGCGAAGGGGTGTAGGTCATAGGGATGGGCATGAGTACCCAAGTACTCAGTTTGGCAGACAACGTTCAGAGTATTCAGTCACGCATCATTCGATTGTGTTTTCCGTTGTTGGCCAATTCACTTAAATGTGACAGCATGAGTTAGTGATACATATTCTTACAGAGACGAAAGCCAAGGTGGCTGCAAATAAAAAAGTAATCCAGACACAGCTTTTTTTACAAGCCAAAATGATTACAAAGTCTGAATGTTTGTGGATACAGTTTTTCTCAGTGTCGTCTCACAGTCAGCACAACAGAAAGGTAGGATAACACTAACCCCAGTGCATTTCACTTGGGAGTTCACTTTGGTCCCTAGTCTAACATTTATGTTATTTTTTTCACATAAACTCAAGTACTCAACAGTAATTTAATGCAAGCACTCCAGTATGGACATTTAGATAGCTAAAATTGCCATCACTTGTGGATAATGCAAGTAATGTTAAGCAGGATACAAGTTAATCCTTCAGCCACATTTATTGTTTAAAGAAGCGCAGTATGGGGTGTGTGTATTTCAGTAATCGTTTCAAAATGTCCCGAGCTGTCTCTAACAATAGACGTTCTTCACAGCAAACATTTAGCCTTGTTATAGTAGGAAAAGCAAAGATGTTACTAATATTGTGACAGTGTGAACAACAATAGGACCCTCAGGTTTTTCCGGACCTGACTACTACTGCATGGGTGACATACTTTCCCAAACATATGGAAGTCCATTTCGGCCAATGTGACGGGGCAAGAAAGGATTCTGTAAGTCATTATGATGAGAAACCTTCTCAAAATATTGATTTAGTATCTCAAAAGATAATAAGTCCAAATATTGAGACAGTTTCTCATTATTTTTGACTCCAAGTCATTATTTGAGATAATAATTCAAAAGAGTGAAAAAGATTCTCATTATACTGAGACACTACGTCATTATTTTGAGATAATAAGTCGTTATTTTAACTTTCTCATAATAACTTACAGGATGCTTTTTGAATGCCATTGGCGGAAATAAGTTTCCATACAAACAGGTCTACTACTACTACTAGCTAAGTAAACATAGTGAGCTAATCCTTGGTGGACGAGCAGCTTTCACTGGATTTGTTTCCACCTATAGGTCGCTTGCAAATAAAAATAGGACTGACAGTGCTAAAATAAAGTGTAGAAATTGCCTTTAAACGTGTATTTTAATGTAAATGTCCGTGCATTAACTAGACAGAGCCATCAATCTGAGATGTGACTTTCCCTTTCAACAAAAGTAACGTTACCCGAGTTAACTAGCGTAAAACGGCTGGAAATCTTTTACCAATGTAATATAACAGTCAGTCTTCACCGTACTGCACACCACCACCTCTAGCTAGAGACATAATAACATTGCAACTGCTAGCTAACACTACTGCCCATGAATCACGGTGTTATTTCGGTGAACGACTCTCTGAACAAGAGAAGCTGAACGTTACCCCAAAGGTCGAAAATGACAGCTCGCGTTGGCCGGCGTAACGTTTTTAAGCGTGTATCCTTAAATTGACAACATATCATGAGCCATTGTTTTCACCAGTGGAATGTAACAGTCCTACCAACATTAGGGGTAAAAAAAAAAGTTTAAATGGGAGTTTATGTTATCGTCCTCGCTGTACCGAGCGTCTGGCACCGCGGCTAACGATAGACGTCCCCTTCCCTTGATGTCAAAGGCAGATGCTAACAGACGCCTCGACCTAACTGGACCTACGCTGTAGCAATATTCGCCATAACAACACAGCCCGTCCATTATCAGCATTAGTCTTCGAACTCACCTTTTGTAATTTTAAGGTCGTTGTTAAATTCCTTTTAAATTGTGCTTTTTCTCTCGAATACAAATGTACTCCTGACCATTCACTGTTCCGCAGCAGCCATGTTGGGGAGCGTTAAGCCTGGAAGAAGGAGTTGTGTGTTGTGATTGGACGGCGCTAGAGTACTCTGTGCTCTGATTGGCTGAAACCAAAGTGGGCGAAGCTATATGGTTTAAGATTGTTTACGGTTCTATTTTGAAATAGGAAACCTGCAATCTACCCTGAGGAGTAGCTACCAATCCACGATGCTCAGTCATTATAATATTGAGCTATTACGACAATAACTTAATAACGATATATTAGTAATAATATAATATCTATAATTACAACTATTATAAATATTAATGGTAAGCAGCTGTGACACACTATTATGAAGTAGGCGCTACTAGGTTTTCTATAGCCTGTTATTTATCTGCTTTTTCATATTGCAACATCTCCCGAAGTAAACCTTTTACAGCATGAAGAATATTGCATTGTTAAACACAAACAAAAATCCGGAAATTACGCGATGACATGATGTTCAATATGTGATGATCTGAAATAAGTGATTAATAGTGAACTGTACTGTGTTTCCTGTTCTACCTGTTTGTCCCATTTGACAATGAATGCAGCAGGAAACCCGAGAGGACTTATGGATAAAATATGAAAACTAGTTCTCTTAATTAACTTAAAGGTCCAGTGTGTAACATTTAGGAGAATCTATTGGCATACACTGAATATAATATTCATAGGTATGTTTTCATTAATGTGTGATCACCTGAAAATAAGAATTGTGTTTTTTTGTTACCTTAGAATGAGACGTTTTACAGCTTTACTGCCTTTCTACAGTAGCCCAGAATGGAACAACCAAACCCTGGTGGCCACTGTAGTTTCTCCTACATGCTTGGAGCGGTATTCAGTTGGTTGCAATGTGCAACTCCACCACTAGATGCCACTAAATCCTCCACACTGGTTTATTATCACTTTAGGATAATAATTCACCTTTTAATACCGGACCAGATTCAACTTTTAATAGCGGAACAACTTGTAATGAGCATCTTAAATATGAAGCACTGAAAAAGCACAGTTTCCACTGTTAAGAAATATGGCCGTACCATAGAACAGCTGCTTTTGAAATAGAGTTTGGTTTGACAGTGTGGAGCAGAGGGTATTTTAACTGTAATAATTCACCTAAACTCAGCTGACCTTTCTTCTAATAGTGAACCCTGTAAACAGCATAAAGTAATGCAGAAAGTGGAGATAAAATCCACCTGTTTTCTACTTCTCTCAGCTCATAGTAAAAGGTTGATTAATAAACACAAATGGTGGTTGCCCTTCGCCACAGCAATGGAATTCGTTAACAGTAACGTCACACTGAACAGATGACCAAAACAGAAAAATAAAGTGTCTTAACGACAGAAACAGTGTCAGCCAAAGTACTCAGATGGGTTGCTCTCATATATGGGCCGAGCAGGAACTCACAGGCGGAGCCAGCGTGAGATGCTGCTGATATTCAGTGGGCTGCATACCTCAGATGTAAACCCAAAAGCTAGAAACTTTTTTGGCTTATGCAACAGGAGAGTAATTCCCATTGGACTGAATACATGCCATCTTTGGGTCCAGTTCTAAATTATACATCCATGTCCAAAAGGCATGAAGTCAGACCTTACCACTGACTGTTCATGGGCCTTACTGTACAAAAACAAAATGTTATAACTTTATTGACAGATTCTGCTGAAACTAGTATTATGGGGCACTAAATTTGATCACCAGACCACAAATCACAAATTATACATACTGGAGCATAGTGTCTTTGGGGCCTGAGCCACACTGATTAACTTGCTATACAAAAACAAAACAACTTCATACACAGATTTTGGTTGGTCATATTTTATTGAGAGTATTGTCTCTGTTTCCCTTTGATGCCCTCTGACTGCTCTGCCTCAACTTTAAGGGCCTGTCCTCACGAATACGTTTTTCTCGAATCTGGATAAGTACTTTATCGTATCGGCCTCGCGTCCAGACGGATACGGCGTTTTCGGGGTGTGAAAACGATATTTTTTGGAAACGGGTCCCAGAGTGGGAAAATCCGAAAATGCCGGATTGCCCGGAGTCGTCTGGACGGCGAAAACAGATTAGCCCCGCCTCTCTAGCCTTTAACCTCAGCTGCCGCTGCTAGGCGCACCATGACAACAACAACAACAGCGGACTACTACTACTTGTTTGTAAACAGCGCATGCTCCATGGCTTCTCTTCCGGTTTTAGTGTGTTGTGTGGCGGCGTCACAGCGCCACATACAGGCCTGGCATATGTACTACAGCGTTTTGGGTCATTTCAGTGAATCCGTGTGGACGCAGATATTTCTGGAAACGACGTCGTGTTTATCGAGATTTTTTTTGAAACGACATCGTATTGGGTGAGGCCGCGTATTAGTGAGGACAGGCCCTAAGTGATGCAATGGACTAAAACCCCCCCGGAGCTCCCAGTCTGGACAGCAAATTTACAAATCCTACCATGTTGAAGACATAACCCACTCTACTTTGTCCCTCATTGGCTTACCCTGATATTTTTACCCTAACCCTAACCAATCTCACTTCTCACGCATGAACATAACAAACCCAACCAAAGAAGGGAACTGCTAGCCAATCAGAGCAGAGAAGGGAAGTCTTTGACATAGAAGGATTCCTAACTTGGTGTCCGGGCAGGACCACTATCTACACTGCTAACTGACGTGGTGCAATGGAGGTGGAGTACTTTTACATTATTATATTGCTACTTTTACTAAAGCAAAGGGTCTGAATACTTCTTCTCCTTATTTATGATTGTACTGCCCAAATCTGCAGGCAGGAAAGGCAAAGAGCATAAGTTAATGTATAGTAGACTGACTGAATTCCGTTATTACTTTACTTCATTACTATGACAACAAGTTAAAATGTATGCGAGTAAAACCTAAGCAAAACAAATGAAAGTAAACTATTACTTTTAAGTCTGTGTGTTTGAGTGGGACTGCTGACAGACAATAGTGTCAGCCTCCAGAGAGAGCTCACTGCAGATGAGATAACTAGAGAGAAAGGTAAAATCCCCAGGATGGTGCAAATAATTGTTGCCACTGTACTGCCCTCTAGACTCACAATTTGATTACATTTGAATATCTACACACATTTGACTCTTACATAATACACTTTGGGTTACATCCACTTTAAACTGATGAATGTGCTCCAGGGATATGTTTATGTATGTTTGTCTATTATGCAACATGTATGCATTTTGAATAGAATATACATTTTTCATCCATTTTGTTCTGGATCTATTTCTTGTGGTTTGGACTAGGGCCCTCCGATCCAACTAGGAAGATAATTTCAAAGAATTTGGGGTGTGCTGGATGTTAAAAAGCTGATGCTAAACTGCATACTGGCTTTAAAAAGTGTGTGAAAGGTGGAATAATATAAGGTTTGTTGAAAAGATAATTCTAAACTGAATTTTAATTTGTGTGAAAAAGAAGCTGAGGGACTATAAATTATGGCTGGGCGTTCCTGGCTTTAAAAGTTGAATAATAACAATAATGATGAATGAATGAAAAATGATGTTGAACTGAATTGCTAAGTTCAGTTTGTATGAAAAAGTCCCTTTCCTGTTTCAACATGACACTGCTCCTGTGCAGTGATTGCAGCGCAGTGAAGCCAGATCCATTAAAAAAAGTTTTTTGCCGTTTTGTTGTGGTCTTCTACGGAGTCCGCCATGTTGAACCATCATGTTTCTACAGTAGCACAGTAAGAACAAAACAAACACTCTAGATAGGACCTTTAGCATTACCATAGCTTCTCCTCCACATTTGGAACTGGTGGGTGAGCTGAGGATGTAATCTTCATTGGACTTGGACTCAGGACGTGGTACGCCAAGTTTAGCATTAAGATTAGAAGGACATGGTTAGCCTATGGTCTGTCCAAAGTTCAAAACTACCAACACCTCTGTCGGGCTCCACGTGGTAGGGAGTTAGAGTGGTCTAACTGCATTAGTTTAATCAATTAATGTTATCAAAAATTATAATTATCAAAAGATAATAGAAAATAACTTTAATTGATATTAAAGATCCTCAGGGCACCACCCTTAAATAAGGGAAATGATAACCAATAATTGATCGACCAGTCTCATAAAAATTACCCTAAACTATTAATTCAGAAGTCAGATTAATAATTAAACTAATAATTACAACCAAAAGGTAGTTGTTGCATAAAAAACGTTTAGGTACAACTTTCTTATAAGGCACACGTTATAAAGGCTTTATAAGTTGCAAATAATGGCTTCATTAATGGTTAGAATTGTTATAAAGAATATGAATGATTGTTGCAAAACCATAAATTTAATGACTAACATTTAAATTTGCAGATGACTTTTTCTGTTCGTTTAGTAAAAGTGAGAAATTGCAAAACTGCAAATTGCAGACTTGATGGTTTATTAAGAATCTGGACCCATTTCAACTTTCTGCTTTATTAGTAAATAGAATCATACAAGTATATAATTAGAGCATGTTGATAAGGTTTAAGGTATAACAATTAGTAAATGACTGATTAACTTTGAATAAATCCATTAGTTAGGACTTGATTGTACATACTCACAAACACACACAGGAAACTTCTCTCCTCTAACCTTCAGGCTGTGTCTCTGCAGTCCAAACTGCGTCAGTAGAAACTGAGGTCAGGTTGCCTCCACAGTGTAATTTCATTCGCTGTATTAATCAATACCTGTCAGCCCCGGCTGGTCCTGCTTTCCAACTTTCCAAACATTCCTCATAGTGATGCTTTAATATGAGTCCTGCTTCTGGGAGCAACGAAAGAACAAAGAGCATGTAGTACTTTTCTAATTGGTGTTAAATATATTATTATTTCTATACGATCGACTTGAAGCTCACCCTGTGTTATTGAAAATAAAATATGAAGTGGATCATACTGACTTTGACCTCAAATTAAACAAATTTTGCCTTTCCCTGCATCAGCACCGCAGCATTTATTGTTTGGTACACTATGCTATATACTATAGTGTAGTATACCATAGTGTCCTGACCGTACCACACAAATAATAACATTTGATGATAATAATGGAATAAAGATGATAATCATCAACCAATCCTCATGAATTCTACAAAACCTTCCTGTTTTGTCTAATCACTGCATTGCAGTTTCCTGTGAGTTTCACCAATAATAGAACCCCCCTCCTGCAATCCTTTCCTTGCATGGGATCAATAAAGTTGATCTAATCTTATCTTATATTGTGTCTGTTCACAAAGACAGAGGACACATGTGATTTATTAAATTGAATAGACTGTTTCCATCAAATATAGGAAGGACAAGGGAAATGTAGTGAGGGAGGGGTGGATAGAGCTGGGGCAGGAAGAGAAGGAGGGGTTAGGGTAGCTCATGGAAAGAGAAAGACAACACGTATTTCACTTCCAAAGGTCTGAAGTCTTCTGAAATAAGCTCGAGCTTGTCTTTTTTCAAAGGCCCGGCTGATGTTTGTCTTTCTCAGTGAGGAGTTTTTCAAGCTGGTTGACTTTCTTCTGCCACCTCCCTTCCACTCTCTTCAAACCTCTGGACTCTTTCCACTTATCAACAAAGACTATCGTGCTCTTCATGTCTTCTTTCTGAGCGCAGAGGCTCTGATGAATAGATCTGCTCATCTCTCTTTTTCATGTCCTCATCTGCCTTCTCAAGCTCTTTATTCAAATCCTTTGAGGCAGCTATGGTTGCATCATATTTCTTCTGCAGAGCAGAGAGATGGTGAGGAAGAGAGCCAATCTTCTCTTCGTCCATGTCCTCTTTTGCCATCTGGAGGTCAGCTTTAACTTTCTGTTTTCTCCTTCAGTGATGGATAGCTACTTCTGGAAGAATCCAAGACTCCTCTCCTTCAGGGCCATGGTTTTTGCTGTGATCCTTAACTTGTCTTCCATTTCTTTCATTTCACCCTCCATCTGTCTCTTCATGTCCTCCATCCCTCTCTTAAACGCCTGTGCTCAATGAGCAAAGAAGTATATCTTTTTCATATCACAGAGTCAGTTGGCTCTACTGTTCTTTACCTGAGAGTAGTCACCTGTTCAGAATACTGCAGGGAAATATGTCATATTTATATTTATACAAGTCTGAATAGAAAGCCATTGTTTGTAGAAAGCCAATTGTTTGTTTTGTATTGTTTATTGTTGGCCAAAATCAACACCATTTGTCATAATACATAAGTTAGTGTCATGGATCACGTTAGCTGGTGAAGTCATTTTACAAGCTAATGTTAGACAACTAACTTATCCACTCACATTATTTCTCAGAGTATTTTTCTAGTGATACCATTAGTGAGCAGGCAAGCTAAAGTTAGCCAGCTGTTGCTGAGCCAAAGTTACCTGCAAATGGAAAGCTGGTAAATATCAAATGAAATGAATGAATAAATATTGAATGAATAAATCTATTTAGTTCTTTATGCCTATAGCAAATACATACCCTCAGCAAGTTATTGTGAAACGTAATTTCATTATTAATTTTCATAAGAATTTTATTAGACATCATTTGGATTTCATTATAGACATCTTGAGTTGAAAATGGCCCTTTTTTATTTCATACTGTCACTTTTGATCACATGGTCGTTACTCCCTCCTCACCTTTCAGCCTATCACATGTCGGGCGGCTGTGGCTCAGAGGCAGAGCGGGTCGTTCCTTAATCGGAAGGTTGTGGGTTCGATCCCCGGCTCCTGGTGCCACATGTCGAAGTATCCTTGAGCAAGATACTGAACCCCAAATTGCTCCCGAGGTGTGTGACTTTGCCATCACTGAGTGAATGTGTGTGAAAGGGTGAACGTGGCACGTAGTGTAAAAGTGCTTTGAGTGGTCGGAAGACTAGAAAGGCGCTATACAAGTACAGGTCCATTTACCATGTCCCCTGACTAGTGAGCTCAACTGTTATCAAATTAATTTACTTTTAATTTTGAGCATAAATCTTTTTTATAATCTAACATACAGTGTGAAGACTGACAGAGCTGGAGGAATATGAAACCTTCTTCTCCAAACAGAAGATCAACCTTTACATGCAGGGCTAATCAGATAACTTCTAATCTTACTGTTATAATAGTTATGGTGACCGGTCAGACTGTGTTGGTATTTATGTTTTATTATTATATGTACACATATCACATAGTTGGGTGAAAATTGTATATTATAATTGATATGAATCTGCTGTCAGGCCAATCAACTTGATTGTTTGTGGCATCTGCAAATTAATAACTTAAAGGTTATTAGCATTACTAGCATGATCATTTTAAAGACTCAGGGCTTTTTTTATCAGCTAGTTGAGCTAGTAATAAGCTAGTTAACTCTGTATGTAACTGTTCGCCAAAAATGGTCTTTTTAATCTGATATCTCCTCTTTTCACTTGAGTTTAATAACTTGCAATAACAGCTGGAAGTTAAAGGTCCAGTGTGTAACATTTAGGAGGATCTGTTGGCAGAAGTGGAATATAATATTCATAGGTATGTTTTCATTAGTGTATAATCACCTGAATATAGGAACTGTTTTAATGTAACCTTAAAATGAGCTGTTTTTATCTACAGAGGGAGCGGGTCGCCTTCCATGGAGTCTGCCATGTTTAACTGTCATGTTTCTACAGTAGCTCAGAAGGGACAAACCAAACACTGACTCTAGATGAGGCCATTTGTGTTTTTCACACGTTTTGCAGCCACCATAGTTCCTCACTGGCACTTGGAAAGGGAGGGTGAAACTTTTTGAGTTGCAGTTTGAATTTAACTACACGGCTAGATGTCACAGAATGCTACACACTGGGCCTTGAGGAGACCGCACCGGAAATGGAGAAAACAAACAATGGTTGTCTCAGTTTTGTCTGAGGGGGGAACCCCAGTGTCAGACTTTAGAAACCCAGCTGCTCTGAATGGTATTAATCCTTTTCTGTGACAGTGCCACTATTGGCCCAGTTTAGGGGCATGTGAATGTTTATTCTGGCTTTCTTCCCATTCCACAGAATGTCCCTAATTAAATGATCAAACTGTTTAAAAATCCCCAGAGGAATGTTGACTGGCTGCTACTGCCCATTTATGGGTTTAAGCTGTGCCCTGAACTATTTCTTTTAAAGTTGTAAAAGAGATTCATATTCATATGACAAAGTTTATCATCTCTTTAAAACAGAAACCTCTCTGTAAATATTGTATGCTTGTGGAAGCCTCCTTGCAAGACAATATGAAAAAGATTAATCTCATGAAATTAAATGAATCAACATATTTTTTTAATGCTTATAAATTATTCTCTTATATTACATGACATCATTACATCAACTTCCCATAATGATTAACAAACTTTACATTTCAGCAAGTATGTCATACAATTTGAATGCCGTTTTAAATAATTGATTCATTCATACAATAACTGGAGAGTTTAATCTCTGCACCTGCATTCACTTATGTTCTATGATCAGAGTGGTACACATGCCATCACTTCCTCTCAGATAACACTGGAGAGAGCGTCGGCATCGTTGTGTGAGCACATTCATGTTTCTGTTCGGCCCATTTCATCAGTGAAACACTGTCGCAGGAAAAAAAGGAAATTAAAAAAAGGTATGACATTGTCAGTACCGTGTGTGTGTGTGTGTGTGTGTGTGTGTGTGTGTGTGTGTGTGTGTGTCTACAGGCGATTTGAAATGGAGCTGCTGACTGATGGTCGGATCGACTCTTCCATTATCAGAGCAAGGATGTGGCACATTTCCTTAGCCTGAAAGAGACATTGACAGATGGAATCAGAGATGAATGCACTAATGAAAGTTTTTTTCAAAGTTTAGATTTAAAGTGCCATATACTAACTCACAGTAGCTAACGGTAATTACCTAACCCTGGTGGGCTTTTTTTTTTACATTGCCTTAATGCTGTATGCAAAATTCAGTTTCTTTTTTCTTACCACATTAAAAGCCCATAAACAGAAAAGCATTGAAGATGTAATCCTTTTCTGTCTTAAACTGGGCTTGCATATTTGAAAAAGGTGATTAAAATGACCACAGTGCACAGCTGTCACACAAAAAAGGAAATTCGTGTTTAGTTGGCTCTGTGTACTGTACATGAACAAACATACTTCAGCCTTTACATACACGTTTATGTCGTGGGTATTTCACATTTCAATGATTTCTAAAACTGGTCTTTTTGTGTGACAAGATGGTCGGGAAATACACTTGTTGCTTTTGTGAATTTGTTTAGAGTCACAATGAGGCCCATTATGTAATTGCAGAGAAAATGATGAAGGACAAACATTTTCACAGGACACCATTATTTCTTTCTAAGTGCATTTTCCCACTGCTCATCATGGGATCATTCTCTTGTTGTTGTAAAATATTCAGTTTGAATAACTATGGGCCTCATGCAGCAACATTATCTTAAATTATTATCTTTCTCTTAAGAGAAAATATAAAAGAAGTCCAGAACTCCAGATCCACCAAACGTTTTAACCATCCAGATCTGCTTTTACTCAAGTATGCTGAACGATGAATCCCACTTGATCTTAAATTGGAGGCGTGTGGCTGATTGTTTGTAATTAGCATAGGTAACGCCCCTAAACACTATATAAGGGCAGGTGATGTGCCACGTAGAAATACTCTGACAAATAGCCAAGAACTGGAAGCATGCTAGATTGAATATATTATATATATAATATGAAAATATCAATATAAAAATAAACACACCAAATAACAAATGAATAGCTCAATACAGAGTATTAAAGTAAAAGTATAAGAGATCTATATGAAATTGATATATTGATGATACATATGATAAACTGAATGCACACACCAGGGTTGGGGAGTAATGGATTACATGTAACTGAGTTACATAATCAGGATACCAAAAAACAGTTACAGAAGAAAATACGTAATCAGATTACATTTAAAAATAAAAAATTTTAAAAAGTAAAAATGGGGATTATTTAACAGGATTGCAGTTTTAAAATCCATCAGTTTCTCTTTGAAAATACACAGAGGACAAAAACAATTCTGTTTCCATTTTCTTTTAAAGGGATAAATTGTTCTGTTGTTTGACCGAATACAGTTTCATCTTTTTTTTATTACAAATTTCATGTCGAGGTAACTCAAAAGTTACTTTACTTCTTATTGTGATACTTGGATTAGGTTTTATATTTATATTTTTTTATAATATTAAGTAACCCTCCCAACCCTAATGCAATATCATTGAAGGGTTTTTATAGTTTTAATAGGCATCAGTGGAGCAATAGTATTTTAGCCTTCAAATTTAATAATCCTATAATTATGCTAAAACATATAATCTAATCTGATGATATAATATTCATGGATTTTCTTTTATGTTCTTATCTTGGTAAGACTGCTCTCCACCACTCGTACAATGTTCTTTTACCAAAGAAGAGCAAAAATAGGAAAACATCCAAGAAATCGATGGGTACTAACAAAATAAGAACAAAATCATGGATACGGACAAAACTAAGAGAACATTTGTTTGTGTATCACTTCTTTCATGAGTCCCAATGTTAGAGAGGAATTAGATCAATATTTGGATCATCCCATTATGAGAGTGTCTCTCCTGTCTCAACCGCATTACCTCTACAGTAGCCAAAGTACAACAATAAGACCCTGACTGTAAAAGACAGTACTATGAAGATGCAGTCACAACTGTAAGTCATTACCTCTTTCAGATTAATGGTGATCGTTTTGGGATGAACTGGATTGCCATAATTGATGTTCATAGCTGGAGGTTTGCCTTTTTTCTTGGGAGAGATAGTCTGCATGGACTGCACGTCTGCCAGGAGAATCTGAAACACTCGCTCCTGCAGTAGAAACACAAATGATGAGCTGAAACTGGCTTTTTACATGAGTATAATACACTTCTGTTATCCACCAGGGACGCTGACCAGCTGCTGGCATGGTCTATATACTTTTGGGTTCAAACACAGGCTAAGTGCTGCTTCAGATGGAACTGCTTCTGACTGAAGAAACATCCCTGAAGGACAGGAGAAGATAAAAGGACAAAAAGCAGTTGTTATGGGGCATGAATTCCTACTCTGTTTAGCAAAGCATGTTGGAAAAAAACTGTACCCCTAAACCAGGAAAAATAATGCTAACAAATATGGCAGTACATGATGTCAAATATTTTTTAGAATGAAATCTGGTTGCAATTTGTCTTTAATATTGAGGAAATTACATATTTATACAGACACAGACACTGAGATCAGCTGAAGGTACCTGTGTTTTGGGGTGTAGGAACAGTATCCCCTCCTGGCTGATGCTGATCATACAGGGGGAGGGAAAGCCACGCTGGCTGACCTTCTGGGCCAAAAAAAGGTTGGAGCCAAACAGAGGCTGGGTGCTCAGACACTCTGAAACACAGGATTCACACAAAGACACTTATCTTCAGCTGGAGTGGAGAGGAGAGGAGAAGAAGGGAGAGCAGACGGGAGGAGAGAAGAGGAGAGGAGAGGAGAGGAGAGGAGAGGAGTTACTCACCAATGAATTGTATTTTGGCATCTTGAGGGCTGATGGACTGCATGTTGATCATCTGGCTCTGACAGTAGGAGTGGATCTCTTCAGCTTTACCTCTGAGCATGTTCTGTGGCAGGTACCCCTTTACCTCCGCCCTTGCAGAGAAATACAATCAGCAAGTGTCAATATACAATCCAGTTTGGCCTGTTAGTCAGCGTTGGGGTTGTGTTGACAACATAGAGGCCAAGATAATGAATATGTTACCAGGAGACTATAGGCGTTTGTTGGAGATGATCAGAATACTGGAAGGAAGTAATGACTGATCATTGCTGCCAGGTGCCACAGAGTGATACCTGGCCCCTGTGTTAAAGGGGTATTCCAACAATTTAGAACTGCACTAAAGAACTATTCCAGTTGAAACTTTTCGTAGAATGAAATCACTTCTTGATTTTAAGGGGTCAGGGAGAAAACCATCTATTTGTCAAAAAGAAACCTATTAAATATGTATGATTGTTAAAGTACAAAAATAGATAATAGATGCAGGATTGTACAAAACATTTCCAAAATAATTTGATCAATATTCACAGGAAATTGTTTAGGTTCATTGTACAATTTATCAGTTGTTCTCTACTGTTATTGTTGTAAATTGAATATAATATGAAATATACATAAAAGATGTCACTCAGTAATTAAAATCTACAAGTTGGAAAAGGCTATAAAGGTGGATTTTTTTGTTGCTGCTCTGTGCAGCCATATCACAGTAAGTAAGTAAGTAAGGCATTATTTATATAGCACCTTTTTAACACAGAGATCCAAAGTGCTTTACAAACAACAAATATCCATATGGGTATAACCATACCCAATCACACATACATAGGGAGCATGTAAATACAAACATAAGGAAGATAAAACAAGAGGGAAGGATAAATTAAAAGAGAGACGACAGATGAGAAACAAACAAGGAGATCTATAAAAAGCCTTGCCTGTAGAGGAGGGTTTTGAGTAGGGTTGGGTACCGAAAGGCGGTACCAATAGGGCACTGGTTCCGACTTAAACGGTAGTAACCAGACCGAATAAGAACGAACATTTCGGTGGCTGTCTTTTTTTTCTTTTTTACCTCCCCCCGGTGTTCCGGTGTCAACGTCAGTGCCGCTACTCAGCACACTTGTTGATCAGAACTGATAGTGAGAGGATCAACGAAGAAGCCGAAGGCAAAACGCTCCAAGGTTTGATAACCTACGTGACGCAAGGCCAAGCACTTCAGCAGCCGCAGCCAGTGTCGGCCTCGCCGGACAAATTGAAGAGACTCCCAGCCCTGCCAGTGTGGTGGTGGACATCACAGATGATGATGATCACAGCAGCCTTTCCTCTTCGGTAAATCTAGTAATTTAATGCCAACCGCAAATCATGCATGCATGACAAAGTGTGTGTGGTTTCGTTTTTTTAAGTACCGGTTCGAGAACCGTTTAAGCACCGGAACCGTTTAAAAAATACAGAGTAGGCACCGGTATCGGATCAAACCCAACCGATACCCAACCCTAGTTTTGAGGATACGGCTGGTTCTGGTTAAAAGTCTGGCGACTGCCTTTCCTACTGACTGTTAACGGTTTATCAAAGCTTGATTGAGGCACGTGTAGAGGGAGTTACAGTAATCTAGACGGGACAAAATGAAGCTGTGAATTAATTGTTCAAGATCACAATGTAATCTCACTTGCTCACTTGCTCACTTGCTAACTAGTTTCCATGCACCCTTAATAGCAACAACACCTAAATGAGTTAATTGTTTCAGATCACTGGAGGACAGGAAACTTTGGATTTTTGCTGTATTTCGTAGCTGCAGGAAACAAGACTGGACCAGTTTTGTAACATGAAGGTCAAATGTAATATACTGGTTGAAGATGATACCCAGATTCTTAGCAGTGGGTTTGATATTTGTGCGTAATGGTCCAATAAACTGATCAACTGCAGTGACAAAGTTTTCAGGGCAAAATAAAATTATTTCAGTTTTGTCAGGATTTAAGTGGAGAAAATTAAGAGACATCCAGTCTTTGGTGGCAGCTAAGCACTCATGGAGAGAGGACATATTGGGTTTTGCAGAAAAGTAGATCTGTGTATCATCTGCATAACAGTAATATGTTTGTGTTTGATTCCTTTTCTTTTCTTGATTAGTATTGTATTAGTGTGTGTGGCTCTCAGTGTGCGTGTGACTCACAGTAAGGGCAGGTGTGTCAGTCCGTGAGCCAGATGCTGCAGGGACGACAGCTCTGCCATCTGCTGGACTGGTGGAGAACCATCTGGAGCAAGAGAAAGCGTCAGCCGGCCACTCAAGTAGTCACCTAGGAGCTACACAAACACACAAACACACACACACACACACACACACACACACACACACACACACACACACACACACACACACATACACACACACACACAGAGAGAGACAATATAACAGTGAGCTGGAAACTGGATTAGTATGTAGAAATGTACTACTACTACTGCTCCTGTCTGATTCTGCCACCTGCTGGTAGTGGAACTCCAGATAAAGGTCACTGTTGAAGGACAGAGGGTTTCTCCACATCACTCTTCTCAGAGACAGGACGATGGAGTCGTCATCCATCAGGAAGTCGAACAGATACTCCTCAGCATGGATGGGACGCACTATCCCTTCTGATGGGGGAAGAGCAGAGGAGTAAGGAGAAGGTGCATGACACAATATACAGGAAAATACTAAACTTACTTCAAATCACATTTCAGCCATCTCATACTGTAAGTATTTCCTTTCAAAATGTTGTTGTATTTTGATAGTATTGTATGTTTTTAAATTAATTAATATAATTTTTTACCACTAGAGGCAGCTCGTACCATAGTTTGAGTTTAACCCAGGATTAGGGGTTCTTAGCTTAATAAAGCTGTATTAAATTCCAAAGACTGCCACACATCTATGAATTAATCCATTTGAAATTAGTTAATTAATGCAATGAGTGCTTTTTACATCAACAAGAAACAGTACCAGTGGGATTTACCTATATGTCGGTTGGCGATGAGGGAGAACTCTTTGATTTCTGTGGGATTTGAGATGCCCATTTCTTTACACAGCTCTGCTACCACATCTACTGCCAACTAGAGGAAGACAAACAAAATACAACCAGAGATATTGATAATAAAAAAGACTGCTGTTTTTTTTCATAGATAAGAAGGTATAAATAAATCTCACACTGAAGGTCCGAATCTTGATGGGGAAATCTACTCCTCCTGGCAGCTGGATAGGAATTCGTAGAGACGCTTTGCCAGCCTGCAGAAAGCCAAGACACATTCAAGACTAGTTCAGCTATAAATGCATATAATGGTGGTACTACATCATTAAAAAGACTGCTTTTATTTGTTTGAGGTGTAAGTTAACTTGCCAGAATGGCCTCCATCTCCACATGTGAGGGGAGGTTGCGGCGACCGCCGAAACTGAGACAACGCTGAAGGTTATCCTGAGACACACTGGCCAGCTCTGAGGACACATGTTTATGTTATTAAACTTAGAAATCAATATATAGCTGACTTATTTCCACATTACCATCAAATTTGTGGCACTGTGTATGTTATTTGACACTGATATCAGTGTGTCATCAACATATAAAAGATGGACGTCACATTTCCACTTCCTCTTATGGTACAAAAATTAAGCCAAAATATCCCAGATACGGCCGCTACCATCTTGCAATGTGACTTTATTTGGAGCCAGAGTCCACAGCCAGTAGTGATTGGGGTTGATGCATTGGTATCAAAGTCCCGTCCACGGCTGACTAAATCGCGAGCTGTGCTCAGCTGTAAATCATGACATGAAACCCCCTTCTTATAGCTTCAAATAACTAATTAAACCAAACTGATCTGAAAAATTAACACTTGAACATACATCAGCGTAATAAGAAACTATTTTTAGTTTGGCCGATGTCCCATCTGCTAACATGGAGGCAACAGGCTTTATGACCTATACTGCCCCCAGAGGGCGATAGAGATGTTTTGGCTTCAATTTTGGAGAGCTGTCGTGTCGTCCATTTTCATATATGTCGATGGTGTGTGTATAGATACCTTGGTATGGGTGATCAAGGTCCTGAGAGATTTCTTGAAGGTGATGTGTGACGTAGCGCTGCAGAGTAGCAGAGCAGGGGAAGAACCCGGTCACCAGGGTGAGCAGGCACCAGCCAAGTGTGCAGGTGGCTCTTTGGAGACAAAACACAACAATCAGTACATAACTGTTGTGAGAAATTGTCTGAAGTTTAGTAAAGCTGCAACGATTAAACCATTATGAACAATTCTGATCATTTTTCTCGAGGTTGAAAAATGTCTGCTTTCTTTAGTACTCTATGACAGTAAAGTGGATACAGTTTTCACCATTTTCTGACATTTTGAATCATTTAGATCAATTCTGCAACGCGGTGTTTCTGCAACTACAATCATTTGATTGTGACTCTCCTAAAATAAAACAATCAACCTCTACCATTTAAATGTAATCAACCTCTATGAATTTTAATTCACCCCTCAAAGTCTGTAATACATATAAACAGCTACACAAAATTGCAAATAGTTATTAACACTTAACCGCAACACAAGCTCTATATAACTGAAACTGCTGCGTTAAAGAGATATTGGGGAAATTACATTTTTGCTAATATTACAGATAAATGACTGCTAGCAAGTTCTGCTACATTAGCTTTGACTCTTAGCATCTGATATGAATTCCACCATAATATTAATTTATTTTTAAAATGTAGTTCAAAATACACAATTACTAAGGTAAGGTAAGGACACAATAAATTCACACAATAATTTAGAAAAATAGGTGTTGATCTTGACCTTGTTTTCCTTGATCTTGAGGGTAGATTAAGTTTATTAATCCCTGTAGGGAAATTATTGCTCTGAATTTGAGCCATCCAAGCAGTTGACAGCCAACTCCAGACCTGAGCCAGTGCCTTGGTCAATAAGTACGTAATAAGTTTAGAACAATTTATTTTAAAATAATGTTCTATTGAAATGGAATTATCTCATTTTACGTATCTTAACATTTAGACTACAGTTATGGGACATGAACAAAACTGGTGTTTGGATCCATAAAATTCAAAAACTGTTTTTCAGTGCTTTGTAATTCTTTGCAGTGACAAAAAAAATATGGATAAAACATTATTATTTCACAGCTCTGTCTTGAGTCCTATTCATAACAACGGCGTCAGACACTTTTGACAAGCACTGCACCATTTATCAATAAAGCACAGCAATGTAATGATGATGGCCAAAATGCCATTTATTTGTTGCTAAGTTAACTAATAATGTTCAAGACATCAAAGTTAACCAGCATGCTCCTATGTTTCTGTGTTGGGTACCACTGAGGTCATAATAACAGTTGTCCTTAAAATGCTAAATTTCTGCTGGCAAAATAGCACTTAAATAGTCTTAACAACCTACTAAGATTGATACTTGGTTAATTTAATGTGTAATTGTATTTATTTCCTGTTGTTACTCAGTAATAACATGTATTGAAAATATTACCAAAAACCTGTAATAAATGACACACACTCACTTGGTTGGGTTGTTGGTGGTTTGCTTGATGATCTGGCAGTAGATTTCATCTCTCAGCAGCTCCTTTTCCTTCCCTAACTGAACAGAACAAAGAAACACTTTAAATTCCATCAAACTCAGAGATACAGAGATACACAGACACAAACCCCATATGGATGCAGTCCATTAGATACACTGTTTGAAAAAGCACTGACCAGTAAGATGTCGTTCAGGCAGTCCAAGTGGGTGCTATTTTTCTTCACTGGCATGTCACCCATGAACTGCATCAGGTCTGGAGGGACAGAAACATGGGAGGATGACAGGGGAACAGACCAACAGTGGTCTCAGTGTGTGTTAGTACGGTTAGAGTGGATGCACTCACTTGTGAAGCACTGGACAGACAGATCATTGAGTTCAGGATCATTGTAGAGAATGAGGGACTCCTGTATGAGGACCTTGATAAAAGAAAAACACAATGCAGTTAGTCATCAAGATCTCTTATACAAGATAGACCTAAGAACAAATTACATATCCACATCACATCACTCCCCAGAGAGAGCCAGAGAGAGCACCTTTGGTTGAGCTCTTGTACATAGACGTGACGTTAACAGAAGTTTCACAGAGGTTACATTCTAAAGCACAAACACACACAGCCACGCCTCCACACAAACCTGCAGGAATGCCATATTTGTGGATTGTGTGTGAATGCAGCTGGAGTGTAGCTTTATCCTGTCTTCCCACAGTCAAACTGACACTGACACACAGACCTGCTGCTCATTGTGCATCCAGAACACAGACAGACAGGGAGCAGAGGACAGAGATAGCCAGAGACAGCGATGTAACCTGGTAGCTTTGTTTTTTTACAGTCACGAGTTTAGACCTTCCACGCTACCCAAAGGTTGACTCCCAGAATCGTCCGAAAATATAGGCTGGGGTCTCTGCAGATACAGACACTGCCACACACTTCGAGTAGATCCTGAATTTGTGACTCGAGTGTGACTCCAGTCCACACCTCTGCCAATAACTGCACTATGAACAGTTACAAACCATGGGATGTGATGTAAGAGCTATTATAGTGTCTCACCTCTGTGTGTTGAACAGTCTCTGAAAAATTCCTTCCACTGGCTGGCAGACCTGTAGTCCCCACTCTTTAACAAACAAATAATGGTAGCACAAAATTAGCCTTAACAAGGTTATGTGAACCCAAAACACTTGAACATAATCAACAACAATAGTTATCATCCTTCTTTTTCTTAATACCTAAAGTATTTCATGGCAAATTCAGCCATGGCTGAGTGGGTCTCTAATTCATGGACTGAGCCCCGAATTGAGTTCTGTGCGCTGCCCACATTTCCAATGACAGGAACTGAAGATGGGCCCTTGGCTGGACCAGCAGGTCTAGCAGTCCTCATGCTTTTCCTCCTGTCATCTCTTCGATCAAGGTGGAGGCCATGGTAGTCCGGGGCCGCAGAAGGCTGGGTGTGGTCCTCTGGGAAAAGACCAGAGCGTCCTCCCAGGGTGCCAAAACGCCAGCCTGGTGGAACACATGAAAATGTCACATGATGTGAAGGAGAAGGCATATCTAACCCTAAAAACTATTGCAAACATATGTCTGGCATCCGAATAATGACCTCACCTATCTGGAGCCCTTCCATTGGCAGCAGTTTGATGACGTCACCCTTGCTGAGAGTGAGAAGACTTTTGTCATCTGTCACAAAACTCTTCAGGGCAACCACATGGCCGGAGTCCTAGAGAGCAGGGAGAAGGACGTTAGTGAAGGTGATATATGGACCAAAAGTGATGTACGTAAGTACGTAAGTATCGGATCAACATGACCAAAAGATGCTACAGAGCATCAAAAGGAAAGATTGTGAAATATATGGTGATCATTAAAGAAAGAATAGGTACCCTGATGAGTTCCCGGAGGAATAACTGGATCATGGCAGTGATCTGAGGAGCTCTGGACGACTGCAGGACCAAGTCCTCACTCTTCAGCTCTAGTTCCACTCTGTCTGCACCCTGGAGGTCAACTGACAGCAGCTCTGCAAAGCTACATTCATGCAGACCTGAGTTAACATTCTGTGCTAGAAACATGAGCTGAAAGTGACTTATCAAGCAGAACTTGGAGAATAAGTAGAAGACACTGCTTGTGACAGCATTGCAACATATTCTACAATGATAACAGAAAATTTGAGGGGTGTGCTTAAAGCTTCGACATCTCAGCTCTACAGAAGTTTTTGCATCTTTCAGCGCAATATTGTGGTTTTACAGCCCAGAATTTTAAAGTTGAAGTTAAGGTTCTGCAAGTTGTGAAGACCTTGTTTTTCTTCAAGCATTTTTTTAGGTGGTTTACATTTAATATCAGAAAATTACTTTTTTAATATCAGAAAATTACTTTTGACAATTAGCCTTCTAGCAATCCCCAAATCTACGCTCAAAACCAAAGATGAAAGAGCGTTTGCGGTTGTGGCTGGAGAAAGGGTTCTTATTGTTATTATCTTGTAACTCTGCTTTTGAAAAGCGATTTATAAATAAAGTTTACTCACTTACTTAATTATTTACTTATTTGTGAATGTGAATTATGTAATTATGCATGTGTCATAATGTGTAGTTTCTGCTGTATTTGTGTACATAGGCTGCATGTTCACCTGTAGCTCCTGAGCAGACGGAGGTGTTTGGGGTTAATGCCTGATGCTCTGACCACCTTTAGGAGACGAATGCTGCGATGAGACACACCCAAAACCTGTGCGTCCCCACTGTCCGACTGCAACAAACACATACATAGTGGGGACACTTGTTAACATTCACAAGTGGTAAGTGGTTTGGCATCAACTAATGATATCTGGAAAGCCATGAAATCCCAGCCGGTATTAAATACTGTCTAAGAAATTTTGATCTTGTCTCTGAATAATTCTGCAGCACCACAGGGTTGAATTTCCACACTGTTAGAAATTAGTTTCCATCGTTTAAACTATGTATTGTGAGGTTAGAATTATGAGTTTTAAGCTGAAGATACTGAAGGCCTCAGGCCTTAGGTTAAGTGTTCTAATGCCTTTCTTTACCTACATAAAGCACTTTTAATTGCCTTTGTGTTTGAAATGTGCTGTAATGATAAAGCTGCCTTTCCTTGTAATGTCATAAAACAATGGACACTGAGATCTTTCACACTTAAATGATCCCCAACTTTGCCGTAATTTTTTGTCTTGCTCACCTTCACAGGGAACAGGCGGGTGAAGTAGTTTTCCCAGTTGTCTCGAGCAGCGATGACAATCCTCTTCTTCATGTTGTCATTCTGGATGGTGCTTATACTCGTTCCCACATTGAAATTTGCTACAGAGGGCAGATGGTATAGAATGGGATAAAAACTAATGCAGAAACAAGTTAGCAATAATGCACTGTACATTCAGTGTGTATTCCTTAAAACCACAACATTTGCGCCAACACTGCAACAAATGTAGCATCCAACTTCATGATCATCCATCAAAACTCTCACCCAGCAGGTCCTTCATCTTCCTCCTCTCCTCTCTGCTGATCCTCAAACAGCTGTCAGAATAGGTGTCCCTCATAATCTGAAAAACATCACATAATGACAATAAGTATGACGTGTACTGCCTCTGAAGTGCAATGGAGATAATGAGCAATAAATGGTTGGGTACTGTAGCTAAATATAACAGGATCAGTAAACTGCAGTATATAGTATATATAATATATATGATAGACCAACCTGTTCACAGAGCAAATTGAGGATGTAGGGCCGGTTGAACATCTCTCTGGGGTAGAACACCTGCACACAAATACATTATACTTTAGGTTTTTGAAGGGGCTTTAATCAAAAAGATTTCCAGTTCAAATCCCCTATGAAAGGCGTTATTGATGAGTCAAATGTACTGGTTTTGAGTGGGTCCCCGTTTTGTTTTTCTGTGCACTCGGACAACGCACTCTTGTCAATGCTTTATCTTATTCTGTTGATCTACAGGCAGCGTTTGTTTGTTTACAAGAAAACTCCACAGGGCACATTTAAGGTTCATGTTTAATCTCACACAAACAGGGAACCTGCATTCATGGATTGTTTAGCCACTGGGTGCAGGGGAAATTGTTGTTATGGTGAACAATTGGCTTTTATTTGGTGGTGTTCTGGCCAACCGGTGAATGTAAGTCTAAAATTAACTTTCCTATTAGCTCTCCTGAGAAAAATGTCTGGCTCATAAGCTGCTAAATGCTCCACTATCTTTGCCAGCTGGTCTGTTTGGTGCTGATCAAGTCATGTACAGTGAGTTTATCACTGCAAACAAATGCCTGCTGCTGCTGCAGTTTCATAAGAGCTGTGAGACTGAACCAAAACAGTTAAGTTGTGCACTGTGAAACCAAACAATGAGCTGAAAGACACCAAAACACTGCTGAGGAGAACTGTAGAGTTGGTGATAATTCTTGGTGGGTTCATCACTACGAGTGACACATTTTACATTCAGGAGAGCACCCAGAGGGACCAATCTGATTGGCCATCCCAAATGCAACCCCATTATCCTTACTTCTTCCACTCAGCACTATTTTCAGAGGCTGTAGTGGGCCCCATTTTAATGCTAGTGAAGATACTGGTATCATATGAAATTTGATTACCTACCGCATCCATTAGTACCAACCATGTGCATGTAAGGAAGGGGGGCAAATAATGCTCCAAAGTTAGGCTAAATTTTGGTATGGCAATTTTCAAAGGGATCCCTTGACCTCTGACCTCAGGATATTTAGGCAAAATAGGTTCTATGGGTACCCATAAGTCTCCCCTTTACGTTTTTTTGCATGTGGTAAATATTCATTATTTTCACTTTCTGCATACTGAGGTCCATGAACAGTATTGGAATTGCATTAATTGGGAATGACTGGAAAGCTGAGACCCATACTTTATGCCACCCCTGCATAAGTCAGTGCCCCACCCCAGTCAAAAAAATCTGGACACGCCCCTGTTCACAATACACATTCATTGGAATTGTTTGTTGTTCTTTGTTTTATATTTTTTAGGGCTTTTATTGCCTTTAATTGATAGTGACAGCTGAAGTGTGACAGGAAAAGGGGGAAGAGAGAGAGGAATGACACACAGCAAAGGGCGACAGGATTTGAACCCAGGAAGGACTCAGCCTTGGTACATGGGGCGTCAGTTCTACCAGGTGAGCTGTCTAGGCGCCCTGCATTTGAATCATTGTTAATATAAAAACATTGATTAGTGAAGCTTTAAGTGAATCACCGGCCTCCAGATAAATGTCCTCTGTGTGTGTGTGTGTGTGTGTGTGTGTGTGTGTGTGTGTGTGTGTGTGTGTGTTTGTGTGTGTTTGTGTGTGTCTTACTTCTTTTCGTAGGTACAGTTTTCCTGGCATGTTGGAGTTAGAGAAGTAAACGCCAGCAGAGAAGCGGTGGAGCTGGGAGCGAATGCTGTCTTCATCTAGCATCCCATCATCTACAGTTAATAAACAGCAAACAAAGGTCAATGACTGACATGAACTTCCTGTCATTGGATAACACTGGCCTATAAGCATTTGTCTCATATAAGAGGCCTTTTAATCCACATTAAAGTAATGACACCCACTGAGAGACGGGGCAGCCATGGGTGGCGGGTCGGGGATGTCCCGAAGGACGGGTGCCGGATGTGGAGGAGGTGGGGGGGAGTCGGGGGGAGCGGGCGGAGGGTCCTGGGAGCGCTGTGAGCCGAAGAGATCCCCCAGGGAGCGCTGTTTCTGCTTCATGTTGCTGGAGATGATGCGGCGACCCCTGGTGGAGGGAGGAGAGCGCTGCGGGGAGGGGGTCCTTGGACGAGGGGGCTCCCTCTTGGGCTTGACTAGTGGCGGAGGAGGCGCCCCCTGTTTCTGCAAGCAGGAAGAAGTGGAAGATTATCAGGATGTAGCATGATGTATATAATAATGAAACTTAACAATAGCTCTATCTTTTCTAGAGAAATTTAGATACATTTGATTTTTATTTCTAGTTGTAGATAATCCCAACCTTCTCTTGTGGCACTGGTCCTTTGTTTTTGAGTTTGGCTAGAGCTTCCTCTTTGGGGTCACTCTTCTTTACAAAATGCCGTACAGGAGGTCTGTAAAGAGTACACAAAAGTTATTATTTTAAGTGAATGAGGCCATTGTGGGATCAATTTACTCCTCATTTTGCTTGAGACCCCCAGGAAATTCATGGTACTCCAACTCCTGGTAGTATCAGGCCCAAAAACGGTTCTAAGCAGATTCTGATGCAAAGGGAAACAAACCACCAATGACAGCATTTTACGATATTAGATACATGATTTTAGCATGAGTGCAAAAGATAAACTAAATCTGCTGATCGTGAGCTGTCAGGAAAATTGTAATCTGTATGAGCAATGTATATATTACCCCAAAGTCATGGGGTAACTATGATAAAACGTGTTTAAAACAGAGTTGTGTTCAGTGTGTGTCCTACTCCGACTATTTTAGCAATTCTTCATTATAAAGTGGAGGAAACCCAGAGATCATGCAGTAACTGTAAAATTACAAAAATTCATCATGCTTTAACAAAAAAAACTTATATAATATTAAGAAACACAAAACTATAAAGTGCATGTAGCTTCCATGAAGCACTGATGGTGGTTTTGTCAGTGTAGTCTGATCGACTGTAGCCCCCATTATTTTGGTCTGAAATGCTGTGCTCTAGTGTGACATCTAGTGGCACTTGCAAGGTTCAAATCTTCTCCTTCAGCTTTGCATGCTGGGATTTCTGACACCGTTTTAACTGGGTAAACACATTCCTTGATTTCCAACCTCTTTTCCTTGAAGGCAAGTATTGATTGACACCTGATGCCTGAGGATTTCTGTTTGTTGTTTGTCAGTTGAGTAGTTTGTAGTATGTTCAATCTCTGCAAGGTGTGTTCGGAAACTGAATTTATAGCTTTCTAATATTGAATATGTTACACAGCTACAGAAACTATAGTTAAAACATTCACAACATGTCAAATCAAATGATTTCACCTGATACTGGCTGCACAGCAACGCCACAGAGACATTGCACCTCCGATGTTTCCTAAACTACTGAGTGATGTTCTAGGCCTAATTCAAACTTCTTGTGAAGGTGAAAAGGTGTGCAAGGTCCAAGCAGGATCCAGCAGGATATCAGATCAGATTATGTATAATGTGTACAGACCTGACAGGCTCAAAGGGTTTGGGTTCTGCTTGGGGTCGGCTGTTGTACAGTTTGATGATTTCCCGGATGCTGGAGGTGGGTTCGGGCTGAGGCTTAGTGAGGGGAGCTGGGGTAGGGGCTTCTTTTGGGGGGTCTGCTTCTCTGGCAGGAGGGCTGCGGAGACGCCTCACTGTGGTAAAATAAGAAACTAAATCTATATCCCAGTATCACCAGATTCCACACAATATTATCTAGCCCCTTTAAATTGTTTCATTTTCTTACCCTCAGGCTTAGGTGCGGTAGGGGGGGTTGATGGTTGAGGTAATGGCTTGGAGGGTTTCTGCTGTCTGGGTGGGCCGGGGGTGGCTGGGTGAGGCTTTTGGGATTTGGATTGGCCTGGAGTCCCTGGAGGACAGTAGCGGAGAGAGATGGTGAGAAATAAAGAAATCCATGACTTAAAGGATGAGTTTGTTTTTTTAAGTGGGGTTGTATGAGGTACTTATCCATAGTCAGTGTATTCCCTACTTCTCCAAACTGTGCGATCTCTTTCCATACACTAACTGTGTACCCGATACCACCCCATTTAAAAAAGTCCAAAGTAACCCTTTAAAATAAATTGTATAAGAACATTACTGAGTATATATGTAATATAGAATGATACTGTTAATATGATGATTTGTAGTGCTACGTATAACATTACAATATTGATTTTAAGACATAAACACATTCATATTTTGGCCCCAGCCTCTCTTGCAAAAAAAAAAGCCAAAAGTATTACTAATGGATGCTTGCTAACTCCACTCACCAATCTGCTGGAAGTATTCCCTCTTTTCTCTGAAAGACTGCAGGTCATCTGGATCTGCTAAGTCCACTTCTCTTTCTGGCTGTGGAGGCAATGGACATGGGAACACAACATGTATATATATGAATATGTAGATCTTCTTCCTCTGTGCCATGGAGCTCCATGGTTGTCCAAAAACTATTAAAAACACACCAATGACATGTTACTTCATTACCATGAACACACACTAGTAGAAGTAGTAGTTTATTATGACTCAATCCCACATACACCTTCCTGCTGCTCCAAACTCTAGTGATTCAGAGTACAACATGTGGGTTAATCCACAGCTAAAAAGAGACCCCAACAAAAGCATTATTTCCTCCTGTTTGAGTGAAGTTTGCTAAAAGCTACAATGAGCAGCTGTTTTTAGAAATCAATGAGCCTTTTTTACACGTTACATTTTTTTGTTTTTTGTAACAGTTTTCAATTTGTGTACTTGGGATAGACAGGTTTGGTAACAACAACATCAACTAAATGGTAGGGTACAGATCTGAACATAAATAGGGACAGTTTGCAGAAATGTAAGAATAAAATAAAAAAAAGTGTGTAATAAGGATGTGTAAAAAAAAAAAAGAAAGCAGCAATGGACTATACTATACCTCTGGCTCAGGCTTCCTGTAGCTGGAGGTGCGTTTAGGTGCAGGTGCTTTTGGCCGGGCTGGTGGGGGTGAAGGAGATTGAGGCGGGGGTGAGCGTTCCCGTCGCTGAGAGTGACGTCTCCGTTGCCTCTCCTCCTCCTCCTGCTTTCTCTCCTGCTCCTTCTGCCTCTGCTCCTCCTTCTTCTTCTGCTGCTCCTGCTTCCTCTGCTGCTCCTGTGTCTGCTGCTGGGACAGAGTCATCGCCTGCATGGTCATCTGTTGGGCCTAAAGAGGTAGATGGAGGAATTAGGAAAGGTAGATGTGGGTGGATTCAAAAATGGACAGTGCTATATGAATAGTTTACTAAGTGTGCTTGTCCCCACCATGAGAAAGGCCTGCTGGTTGATGAGGGCCTGCTGCGTTGCTGTCATCTGCATGGGGTCAGCGACAGGTGGGGCAGCCATGGCAGTCTGAGGCATCATCATGGCTGTGTAGGAATGAATACGACATGAAATCAGTTACATTTAAATCCATAACAAGGGAATGATGGATGATTTTTTTACCGAGCATACTACGCTGCTTGCTCCACTGATAAGTCTATATATTTATATATATATATCCAAAATATAACAAAAAGTGATGTGGCAAAAGTGACTAATTTTCTTTAATATACATGTACCAGTGTGTGGGATTTAGCAGCATCTAGCGGTGTAGTTGCTGATTGAAATGTCACTGCTTCACCCTCTCATTACAAGTATGCAGGAGAAACTATGGTGGCTGTGAAACTTGTGAAAAACAGCTATCCAGAGCCAGTATTTTGGTTGGTCTGTTCTGGGCTACTGTAGAAACATGGTGTATACTGAAAACATACCTATGAATTACACACTGGAGCCATAACTAGATGAAAGGTTAATGTAGGAGGATTACCTGGCATGGTTGGCATCATGGGAGTTGCACCATAGCTAGGCATTGCTGGGTTAACTGGCATTCCTAGGCAGAGGCGACACAGTAACATAAAGATTAGAGAACTGAAAAGTCTGAAAGAAATGTCTCCAACACGACACAAAAAGTTTGATTCTTGGCGATACAAATTAACCTCCTCACTTACCCATAGGATAGCTTGGCATTGTCATAGGCAAACCTAAAAAAACAGAATGATCAGAGACTGAAACATTTCTTTCCAAAATGAGACCATAAAAGTTCAAACGCTTTCTTACAGTTTTTATAGGTAACATTTACACTTTATTGCAATGGCAATGGCATAGGCATGAAGTGCTGCTACCAGCTGTTACTTTCAACTGTAATTCTGTATTCATAATACTTTGTAGCATTACTAATTTGTAGTTCTTGGTTGTATACTGTATTATTGTTCATTAAAAATGTATTTTACAGGGTTCACCAAGTTGAATTTAAGACTTTTTAAGACCTGTGTAATACTCCATAGAATGTACGTTCATACTGACCAAAGTATGAGAGTCCAAACAACCAGTGAGGACAATACAGACTAGAATGTATAATTATATCACTTTTTTCAGGTTGAAGAATGGCTGTAATGATATAATGTTGTGTTATATGTAATGCTATAATGTAATTATACATTACACTAAATGATTATGGTCCACATGGTGTGGACTGTATTGTGGAGGTGAAGCAAGAGATCCAGTTTTCCTACCAGCTCCATACATGCCAGGTTGCATTGGTCCAATCCCTCCTCCTCCTCTCATCCTGCGGTTTAGCATGGCTACTCTTTCCATGTCCTACACACACACACACACACACACACACACACACACACACACACACACACACACACACACACACACACACACGTACACACACACGTACACACACACACAATGAGTAATGCATTACATTGTGAGTGACATGGCAGCCACAAGGAGGAGTGCTGCTACTAGAAAGACAGCAGGAAATACAAACCAGTGACTTCACACACTCAGTAATAAGATACAGCTAGAGATACAAAATCCACCAGAGAGAAATGAGCATGCTCAGTAAACCGTATTGGTATAAAACTTTAACGCTTTTCAGGAACAGAAGAACAGATCATTTACATTAAATCCAGTTACAGTTGAAAATAAATCTGATGACATCACTGACCGGAGGTCCTTGGTCCAGCACAGGGTCAAACAAGTCATCAACATAGGCATCAATCTGTCGACCACGGCCTGTAAATAGGTGGAGAGGAGATATTAGAACAACACAAGGATGCAGCTAGGCATGGTTGGAATTTCTTAAAAGTGGAATCCCATTGATACCCCCTCCACCACCCTCTGCACTGTTTATGTATTCTGTCATGTTCAAAAAAAACAATTAAATCACTTTATTTAGGAATATGCACTGTGTGAACATGCTATAAACTTACATAATACGTATTAAAACTAGTTTTTGATATAATGGCATTATAAGCAGTCTGAATTGCCATTTAGATTCAGTTCATCAATCCAGAACAAAACTGCATGTGGACAAAGTTGGCAACTAGCTGGTGAACACAGTGAGCATTTAGCAGCTGAAAAGCCAGATAGTTCCTCAGGAGTTGGACACTGACCACAACTAGACTTGGAACTTACCAGATGACCAGAAATGCAACTGAATGCTAAATGTCATGCTGGACATGTAAACAGGCAACTATTTGCCAAATTGTTTGCCATCAACTTTCTATGTCTTGCCATATCTTTATACTAAAAGACAGCACTCACCCCAGCCACACCCTAATCACCCTGCTGCCATGTGACAAGCGATACAGAAGTATCTGCTGCCATACCACCAGACTTCAGAGCAGCTTCTTTCCTCAGGCGCTTACTAATTAAATTCATCCTCAGCCCTTCATTAAATTGTTTTATTTGTAAGACTTAAAATTTATTCACACATCTACTGTGCATGTGTCGTCTTTACCCAGTTGGTAATCAAGCCTGAGTTGGGACAATGCAAAGTCACTTGATTACATTTGTGCCTGAGTTCAAACCAGTCTCAGTTACATGACCTTAAAGTTCAGCCAGTGCGAGTGCAGTCACTTGGGACACAATCAAGTGAAAGTACATCCAGAGTAACTGATAGACGAGCTGTTGCCAGGCAGAGATAATAATGCAAGGGTAAAGTATTTGATTTGTTGTTGTGCACTGTGTAATGATTTGGGAACTTTGCCATCGACCCTTTGACCCGTAAAATAAAACGCAATCTGCCTATACCAGGAAAAGAGCAGGCTGGCCAAAGGCAGAAGAGGACTAGAAGAAACATATTACCACCTCCAGGGTGTCACGTTGCAAGGGTGATACAGAGTCCAGTCCTGCAGGGCGGGACTGTGGACAGGTGGAAGGCAGGCAGAAGCCTTTGGGAAAGCCCTCAGTATGCTTCAAACTATTTGTTTGTACAAAGTGTTACCTGAACTAACCTGACTGTGCAAGATGGTTTGTTACACAAAACCATCGGGAAAGTCGTCTTTGGAACCTTAGAAAAAGGGCAGTCACTTCACCCAGTCAGATCAACAAACCATATAACGTAGTAAACTGGGAGAAGGGTAAAAACATCTTTTCCATTGAGAAAAGCCTTCAGTGCCGTTCTCTGCTTTTTCTTTCAATGAAGAAATACTCTAAAGTTCTGATTTAACTGATTCTAGCAGCATCTATGCTAACTTCTTTAGCACCTACTATCGTTGTTCTCCAGAAAACAGTCACTTTTCACACATGTTGTCACAAACATCTAGCATTAAACTACGCCCACAGCTCAAGTGCATAGCTTGAAGCCTGGCAAGATTCTTGCGTGATGTTGTGAGTCCAGCTGCCTCGCAAGGTTATAGCTGAACACCTCTTAAGGCAAAAGAAGAAGAGTTAAGAAATGTGCCAGTTGCAGGACTTCAATTCCCACATCAGAAAGGTCTGCTGGAAGGCGGTCTCAGATGCTGTTTGATGATCCAGTAAGTATTTTATTTGAAGCATGCTGATCTCTTCACACTGTCACACTTACCTTCCTGTGGATAATCTCTTCCCCAGGGGCGTCCCTCAAAAGGAGGCAGCCCAGGAGCTTGCATGGGAGGTGCTGGTGGGATGAAATCCAGATCTGTAACTGGCATTCTAGAGGGAAAGAGAGAGACACAGAGATGCTCACTGTGTTGGCACAATCCTGGATTGACCCTAAAAACTAATTACTTGTTAACCCCTCTACCTGTCTCCTTGGCTGCTGAACAGGTAGTCAGAGTTTGTAGAGGAGGGAGTCCCTGGGGGTGGCATCACTTCAGCTTCAGCTCCAGCCAGAAGATCCATGACAAAGTCCGAGCCGGCCAGGTCTGACCAGCCTTCATCAGTCAGAAGAGACACCGACCAGCCCTGCACCGCCTCTTTCACACCTCTAACACACGAGAGAAGAATGAAAATTAGCATATGTAGCAGGATAGAACAGGGAATATGGATATGGAATATGGAAGTAAAAATATTAACAAGTAAATGGAGGTAAACACATGCATGTTCAGAAGAAGAAGAGTACCTGAAATGAAGAAGCCACGAGGCCAGCTGCTCTCCTGTGGTCCATGACTCCACTTCAGCCGTCAGCTTTTCATCTGAGAAAGTATACCAAAGGCTTGTTATGGGTTTATAAAATAGAGTTGCCAATAACGAGATTAGTCCAGTTTTGTGGGAAAACTTAAGGTGGTTAAGAATTGCACTTTAGCAAGTCTCACCATTGAAGGTGTGTACATCCAGCAGCATGGTGCCCTTCCTCTGGTTGGTGGTCCACTCCAGCTGGGTCAGGGGGTAGATTCGGGCAGTGGGAGCAGGCAGCTGCAGAGATGTCAGCAGTTTGTGTTGGCACAGTGAGCGGTACTCCCCTGGACCACGGTCTGACACATACCTGCACAGGAAATACTGTAGTCTGAGTCATGTGCAGACAGAAGGTTAAGTTGCAGATTGCAACTAAATGAACACCGCTCTTGTCAGTATTTGACGACAGTGGTGGCAAAAAGGCCTATCTATAGCCAGTGTTTGGTTTGTCCATTCTGGGCTACTGTAGAAACATGGCAGTTCAACATAGACTCCATGGAAGGCAACCTGTGGCGTCTGTAGATAAAAAGAGCTCATTCTAAGCTAACAAAAACACAACAACTATTCCTATATACAGGTGATTATACACTAATGAAAACAAACCTATGAATATTATATACCATCCACTGTATAACCCCAGTTGGTAATAGAAGGCTAACCGCTAGTGTAGCACCTACTTGAGCAGGGGTTTGTCCAGCGTTGGTGAGGGTGTGAAGGCACTGAGGCAGCAGGCGAGCAGCAACCAGCCCCTCAGACTGCCGTGCTCCTCCTGCAGTCCCCACGTATGGTAGGCCAACTGTGCCAGGATCTCGTCCCTCAAGGCTGGCCGGCTCTGACCCTTCTCCACTATGTAGTTACCCAACATCTGCTCCTGCCAGCCAGTGAGGTCTGACTCACCTGTAAAACGCAAGATCTGAGGAGAAAAGGATTGAATAATAATAATAATAATAATAATTAAATAATTAAATTTGATTTAAAAATAATCTAATGTAATCTAATCAAATCTAATTACTCCTTTATACCAGTTTGTAAATCTCCAGGGCAGTTCTGGCATCTTCAGGCTCCAGAGGGGTGAGGGGGCTCTGGAGGGGGTATCCCTGAGGCTGGGACCATGTATCCTGAGAAAGACACAACATGAGGAAACTCACAAAAACAGGAAATACAATCCAATATAAGGTGAGAGTTTGTTCCTCAAACCACGATGAAGTGTAAGATATAGCAGGATTTACAGTTTAATAAGCCTTAATAAAATTTATTGAATGTAATTTATATAGATTTTGTTTTCAAAAATACCATAAGGTGAACTCTGACCTGAATTTCAGTATACAACCCTACATTGTAAAATGGGTAAATAACCTTGTATCCTTGATTATGAATGTGTGCATGTGTGTGCTCCAACCTTGCTCACCTTTAATATGGACTTGGCATAGCGAGAGAATGGGTATCTGTCTATATCCAGAGGCAGGGTGAGCTTGTGTTCTGCCTTCACCTGTGGAGGTGCGACCTCTGTCACACCTGATGATGGCGGCCGCCCTGATGGGAAACAGAACAACAATCACAAACTGACACCACGGTGGCAGATATGTGAAGACTGGAGTATTATCAGATCAATTTTCTAATGGACCCTTCCTAAGTCCCGCCCCCTTTTGGAACCTTGGTCAATTTTCTCCTTTCCTCTACTTAAATATGCTATGTGCTAGGCTAATTTATGTTGAAAAGACAACCAACTTTTTTTAACACATTGCTTAAAAGATAAAAGTGACATATGATAAAATTTTAAATTAGCTTATGTGAGAGAAATGTGAGCTAAATAGCTACCTAATCTACATCAATCAGTTGCTAGCCTATTAGCTAATGTTTTGCTATGTAGAGTAGATAGCTACTTAGCTAGCATTTTTGTCTGTCGCAAAATAAACAATTGATCTAGATTAGCTAGATAGCATTTTGCTAACATTAGCTAACTTAATATGTCACTTTTATCTTTTAAAAAGCTTTAAAATTTTAACATAGACAAGTCTAGCACATACTAGCATATCTAATGGTGTGTTCCATTTCCCTTGGAAGTCAGGGTTGGGAATGACATCACACCGAGTTGACAGTGTTCCAGTAAAAGAAGTTGCTAAACCAAGCTCTAGCCAGGTTAGCCATTAGCCATTGTAAGCGATACCAACGAATTACACTGTAATGTCCACAGACTGAAGTTGGTCAGTAATGTGTGTACAAATAGAAGTCATCTCGGATTTTGAGGTCAGGGTAGGTGAGGTTCTCCGGACTTTCCGAGTTGGAAATCTGACTTCAGGGGGCATTCTGGTTGAAATTTCCGACTTCCGAACTCGGAAAGACCGACTTCCCAGTTCAAATGGAATACAACGTAAGTAAAGGAAAGGATGAAGTTGACCAATATTCTGACCGAGGCTTTCTCAATTATCATTGGAGCATAGAGCGAAAAAGGGCTTGACTTAGGAAGGGTCATTCAGCTTTTAATGATGCTGACCTCCTGCACTGCGAAGTCTGGCTGACAGCTCAGCAGGGATCTCCAACATCCCCACATCCTGACAGGGAAGAGAAGCAAACGTACAGCACGGTTACCACAGGAGAAACTAAAGGTTGGTCCTTCTACTGGGGCTTAAATCTATATTTCGGATTAAATGTTACAGCAGGTTCAATGATACAGGCCATTTTATTCCCTTACCATTCCTGGAGAGACAGACTTAGTCTTTGTCACTGCCTTTACTTTGTTCTTCTCGTGAAATTCCTGAAATTGACACACACACACACGAGTTAGTCATCTAATCATATTCTCCAACCAGCATGGTTTCATAATCTAAAAGACATATTAATCCCTGATTTAGCCTCCTTCACCTGAGGCTCGTTGCTGATTCAGTATGGAACTCCACAGGTAAGTTACCCTCTTGTTATCCGGTTACATCAAGCACACTCAACACTCCCTCAGAGTGTGTTCAATCAGACCTATTCTTAGATACACGTCCTGTTATATACTCCTGCAACACCCACGGCCCTGTTGCCCCGCCTCACATAATACGCCATGCTGTTCAAGAGTCCAGAAAGTTCGTTTTTTATCAGGAGGTTTACAGCTTACAGAGAGGAAACACCTCAATGAGGCAGGGCAGCGTCACTCAGATATGATTGTGGTGATGGTCAAAACCATCCCATGTATCTCTGTCCTTCCCAGCATGTACAGCATTTGTACATTTGTATTCCGTGGTCAGTAGTTTATTCTGTGTTATTCTACTGGATACAGGTATCAGACCAGTTCTGTAAACAAATGTGAAGTATGCAGTTCAGATTAAACATGGGTGTGCACGTGTATTCACGCAGCAAACACTCTTCTTTTATCGTGGCCTCACTTCAATAACCACAGTTATCAAATAACAAAATAACTGGTCTCTACAAATATGCAGGCAGCCCAACCCTGCTCTAGCTCCACATGAGAGGGTTTACAATGACTGACCTTCCCAAACCAAACAAGTGTGTCACATAAAAAAAAAAAAAATCAAATCAAAACACACCTGCTTGTTTTCATTCAGGCCCGGTGGATTCGTTCAAATACCATTAGGAGCACTAGGAGGAGCCAGAGGAACCTGATTGTTTCACAGATTACCTGTCTCATGTTCTACTGTCAGGATATAGTGAAAGATTCAGAAAATATGACAAAAGTTACCTACTGCAGCTTTAAAGCAGATTATGTTACTCATCTGGAAAAAATGACTCATATATGCAGATATGTTCAGTGTTAAGTCATGAGAGATGTACCTGAAAGATTATCCACACATGATAAACACTGGCTCACTTTTATGGCTGTTGTTAACACACATCTGTTTTGCTCAAACAGGTAATTTAAACTGTGTTTGAATTCACAGGGTACTTGTTTCGTTTAAGTGAAGAGGATCATATTGTAAATCTGTACATTTATTAGACTTCATTTTCTGGACAAATAGCCTGGCACAGAACAAGACACAGTATCTGGGGTTTGTGTGTTCTCTTTAGGTCAATATTTATAAGGATTTAAATTAGCCTTGTATTATCATTGTTGTCTTTTTTTTAACTTAAGTTTAATATAAATGAAAGGGAAACCTGCAAATTTTGTCAGGGACCCAAATATTTTGGTTGGTGGCTGGTGGTCAAGACTGTAGAAATTTGGAAGCCTATCCAATAATTATTGAGATATTACAGACATTAATGGTCCCATCAGCCTTTTATTGTATACTCCCCTGAAGAAAAGTCTTTAGAGTCTTTACCTCAGTGGTGGGTACACCCATACTGTACACAGGTGGCGGTACCCAAACCCAATAAGAAGTAAGGGGTCTCATGTGGACAAAAAACAGAAGTGCCGGTACTCAGTACTGGTGTGTATTGGCCAATTTCAGACACAGATTATCAGAGAAAATAAAATGTTACCTATAGGACTAATGACACAAGAGTACACATCAATAAACCTTCAGTGGAATTAGACTTATATGTTAATTCAGGTCCCAGACCTCAGTAAGTGAATCAGTACCATAATGAATATGTAAATAGACAACATTATATCAGAGGTAGATGACACTCACTGGCTGATGTCCCTTTTGGCCACAAAATCTGTCAAACTACAAATCTTTTTTTTTTTAGTAACTAAGGTACAACTCATGATGAGTCCTAATAGGTTTGAATAGCTGACATAAGCAGCCTGTTCATAGTCCAAGCCTCATAAAACAGTAACACCAAATAGACTGACAGGAATTCATCTCAAGTAAAAGCAATAAAAAAAGGACAAAGCGGTCGGTTAAGTTTACGGCTGAGGCACGAAAAGAAAAATAGATGAAAAAAGGAAGCATCAGAAGTGTGTTTGAGAGACTGTTTTGAAACATGATACAGACTATCACAATTCCTAATTCACGCTATATTCATGCTGCAAACTCTTCCTCTAGTGAAATAGGCTAAAAGGCTGAAGACGCTGTAGCATCTGCTCTGGTGCAAAAGGTAAAAAGGAAGAATGGAAGCCTACCTGTTGGAGCAGTGGAGCTGGAAGTCAGAGAGACAGGTTTCTGAAGGCGGAAAGAGAGATGCAGTGCTGCTTCAAATTTCACTGAGAGGGGTTGAAGTCCAAGACCGGAGTGTGGCTGAGGTGTAAGCAGGGTGCGTGTATGTGTGTGTGTGTGTGTGTGTGTGTGTGTGTGTGTGTTTGTGTGTGTGTGTGTGTGTGTGTGTGTGTGTGTGTGTGTGTGTGTGTGTGTGTGTGTGTGTGTGTGTGTGTGTGTGTGTGTGTGTGTGTGTGTGTGTGTGTGTGTGTGTGCCTAAGTGACATGATTAATGCAAGATAAGTTAGAGGAAAGGGATGGGATATAATAAAGTAACTGTAATGTTGTCAAGGAAGAAACATTTACGAGAATGAACACGCCCAATGTTGTGTATGTAATGTATCTCTATAGCCAAAAGTCTTGATCTGGATTATATGATTTCGCTGGGAACTCTCCCCTAAATCTCTCTTTAAATTAAAGTCAGCCAACATTTCAACTGATTTACAGTAACATACATAGCCTACATAAAAACAAAATAACAACCTGACCTTAAAACCATTGACAGTATATATAATGGACACAGCATCCAGGTCTGTTAAGTGAAAGCAACGCAATGTGTCTTAAACCTGCATTCTATGTAAAGGCCAGCAGGGGGCAGCTCCACTGGCTGCAATAAAAAAACTATACCTTGCACTCTAATAGAGAATGAGCCTGCTTCTCACTTGCTTTATTAATGCAACATTAAATCCAAATAAATATTGCAATCATTCATACTATCAACACAGTCTATGTGGCAGGTGTGGAAAGTTTGGTTCACTCAAATTAACATATCTGCCCTATGAATGGAATTTAATTGGTGCTTAGTGATGATATTTCAATTTAACAACATTTATTTATATGAACAGCGTGCTGTTGCGTTTGATCAACAGAACACGCTGTTAACAGTCTTCATAGGAACTATTTATTCATTAGAAAGTAGTTCCACTGAGAACTGTTCAATGCAATTTCTGTCAATTTTACAGAGTAACAGTTTCTGTAAAGACACAAGTCTTTTAAAGCTAAATGACTTTTTAGCCATCAGCATAATATATAAAGATGGACGACATGACAGCTCTCGAAAACTGAAGCCAAAGCATCTCCTCTGGTGGTGACTGCAGTTTAGTGGAGACGCAATATCCATCTTTTATATGTCCATAGTTTTGGCCACTTGTTATGGCTAATACGTTAGCATACAGTTGCCTATTTACAGGCTTTGGAAGTGACGAAGTATATGTAACCAAGTTACGTAAACAAGATACAAAAAAAGGTAACTGTATTACTGTATAATGTAAAACGTGAATAAACGTAAAAAAAAACATTTCACATTCAAGTTATATTTAATAAAAATTGAGATTTTAAAATACATTTTAAGATAAAGAATTATATACTACCATGCACATGTGCAGTGCTTTACAAGTCTCACAACAGCACTCTGGTCTCGATTCGAAACTTTAAGCTGTCAATTCATTATCATGGCCTATAGTGAAAAAATGTCTTTAAAGCAGAAAAGGAAACTACATCATATTACAGCGCCGTTCTGTCCTGTAGCGATGGAAATGCCCTAAAGGCTACTGCCTGAATTTGCTTTTTTCTTTAAAAACACACAAATACAATTTATGCTAAAAGTCTTGATTTCCATTTTCTTTTCTAAGGTTGCATTGTCCTGTTGTCTTACAGAATATGTAAAAGTAACAGAGACTGTTGCAGCAAGTAAAATCATAACAATGAACTTGTACAATGTACACATTTTCAAATTAAAAGTCATTTTATAATTTTTTATAGGAACCAAATTGATATGGGCAGCTTTAAATGTAAAGTTTTAATGTTTAGAGAAATATAAATTAAATTCCATTAATATCAGTTATATTGAGGTGGTAGATACCACTAGAGATAACAAGAGAAAACTGATTTTAAAGATAATAATTTGGGTTCTATATAATAAGGCAAAAATTGCCAATATAGGTAAATTGTGAATACAGACCTTTGACAATACAGGCAGCAATAAGGCTTAAGTCATTTGAGAGGAAATGAAAAAGATCCCAGTAAAAAAGACTACACTTTGACCCCAAACATGGATATCAAGTTGTTGTCACCGAGAGGGCATGGACATATTTTTCCTATTACAACTCATATGCTGTCGTATTAAGCTATATTGTGTAAGAGACACTGGGCAAAGATTTATAGCACAATAAACTCAGCAAACATAAGGTTGCCAAGAAACCCAGCCAAGGATCGATCTCTCTCTCTCTCTCTCTCTCTCTCTCTCTCTCTCTCTCTCTCTCTCTCATGTCTACCTTCCTCCAATGGCGTCTCTTGATGGTGTTCCTGGTTATCATCATCACCGCCCAGAACTGGGTGAAGGACTGTCTCAGACGCTTGTAGTACTTCCTAGAAGAAGAGAGGGGGCAGCAACACACAATACTCAATGTAAGTCTATCACTGTCTGACCTCATTTCAGCCCGCAGGTGAAACCTGGCCCTCTCAGCTCAGCTTTCTGATCCATCTCTAGGTTTTCTTCTATTCTTCTCTGATTCAGCCTTCACTACAGACACACTTTCCTTGCTGCATCTCTACGTGTTTATTTCAGCTGAGTTGACCGATATGGCAACTCTCTATGGAGACTCTCCATCTCTCAGTTGATGGGAGTGAATGAGGTGTCATCTGGAGGTGGAGTGCTTTATTTGAGTTTTCCCAGTCCTTCACACACTGTTTTCCATTTTATATGTTGTACTCCAGCATCTTCTACTCTAATTATTATGGACTTAAACACACATTAAATAGGGCTGTGTATTGGCAAGAATCTCGCAATACAATACAGGGGTTACGATTTATTATATTGTGATACTGTAAGCAAGGTGATATATTGCAATTTTTTAGATCTAATTTTTGGAAAAGTGTCATTGTATGAGGAACACCACCATATGCATAAAATAAAATATAATATAATATATAATAAAAATATAAAAGTTGCAACCAGAACATTTTAATTCAATTTTATTTGTATAGCGCCAATTCATAACAAAATTTATCTCAGGACACTTTTCAAATAGAGCAGGTCTAGACCGTACTCCTTATAAAATTATTTACCTGACAGTTTCCACCATGAGCAAGCACTTGGCGACAGCAGCAAGGAAAACTTCCTTTTAAGAGGCAGAAACCTTGACCACACCCTTCAGCTCTAGGTGGGTGGTCGTCTGCCTCGACCAAACAGTGTGATCTGCATTTGTATTTACCACAGTCCCTGTAACATCCAACATTACAGCCCTCAGCTTACAACACTGCTATCTAGCGGTTGGGGGTTTAAACACAAAAATGAATAGTGTTTTTGAGAATCAATATAATATCACAAAACTAAATATCATGCCATCAAGTATCCGATTAGAGTCTGAACAATATATCAGTCGACTGATATATTGGTTGACCGATATATCGGAAGACTGATATTATCACCCAAAATTGGCCAGTTTGCAGACATTGGTATCATATCAGTTAGGGTTACATAATTAATCACATTGTCCAAATCGCAAGAAGCTGCAATTTTTTGATAAAGGTCAAGTGTGTGAAAATTTTAATTGTGATGCAAAAGTTATCATTCCCACTAATCATGGGTAATATTGCAATATGATGTTTTTACCATATCATGCAGCCCTAGTATCTGTATCAGCATATATGTTATTCAATATGCGCCCATATGAAAATAGTTTTTTTCCTAAATATAATGCAGAAAAAAATGCTTACGGTAATATTTTGTCCCTGCAAAGTTTCTCCAGCAGAGTGCGCTGTGATTTATAATACTGTGGCAAACAGCACAGAATGAGAGAGAAGAAGCAAGCTCAACTAGAATTGGTTGACATATACATTATATGTTAAATTATTGAACATGTTAAAGAATATTTAATTCAGATTTTCTTTAATAGCTATTTGTTTAAGAAAGCAGCCTTCGGAGTACCTTTGAATAGTCCTATTAGTGCACAATCCACATATCTTTACTATATCAACTATACCATCGGTAATCAGTATGTTTCCCCCCACTAAAATCAATAACCACCTTAAAATTTAGTATCGATACATCATTACATCCCTAACATTAAGCCAACTACAAAACCAAGCAAATAGCAAGACTTAAAGAAAGTGGATTTTCAGTTGAGAACTGGATGTGATCTTTGCACTGGTTCCTGTGTGTCAAACAACAGATTTTAAAGTACTTCTGTTGGTATATAGAGCACTGAATTAACATTTCTGATCTGCTCTATTATGGAGCTCTCAGACGCTCTGGAACAGGTCTGCTTGTCCCCAAACTAGACATGGAGACACAGTGTTCAGTCTCTGTGCTCTACTGTATGAATGTGAGGCCCGTTAATAACAGGAGAGCTGCCGTCTGCAACATGAGATCATTTCTGTCCTCTTCACTCTGACAAGTTTCAGTAATAACACTTCCCTCCCTCCCTCCTTTCTTTCTCTCCTTCCCCCTTTTTTCCTTCTTTCTTTGTTACTTTCTCCTACTTTTGTTTACTTTCATTATTTCCTCATTCCTCCTTTATTTCTATCTTTCTTTTCCTCCTCCCTTCCTTTCTTTCTATCTTCCCTTTCTTTCATTTTTCTTTCTTTTCTTCCCTTTTTCTTTCCTTTGACTTTCCTTCTTTTTCATCTTTCTTCCTCTCCTTTCCATTTTCTTTCTTTCTTTCTTTCTTTCTATCTCTCCTTCCCCTTTACTGCCTTCTTTCTTCCTTTCTTTCTCCTTCTTTTGTTTCCCTCCTTCTCTCTTTCCTCCATCCCTCCTTTACTTCTACTTTTCTTCTTCTCCTTCTCTCTTTTCTTTCCATCTTTCCTTTCTCCCTCCTTCCCCTTTTTCCAATGTTCCTTTCCTCTTTCCTTCTTTCTCTCTTCCTTTAACTCTTTCTATTTTTTTAACCAAAAACACAGGCTCCTGACTGGAGATATCAGGTTTTCCCTCAGCAGCAGAACTAAACTCCACTCGTCCTAACGAGTATTTTTCCTTTGGAAACTGGAGAGCATTTTACTGCTGACATCATTTTGATTTCAGGACTCGTATAACAGTATTTCCTGTATTTTATTATGTCAGTTTGTCATTAAATAGATGAAGAGTATAAAGAGAAAATGGAACTGAATAATCTCTACATTATGTCTCCTAGATGCAGCTTTCGTCACCCTGGTGCTCCTCTCCTCTCTGCTCTCCCTCCGGTCTCTACCTGGCCTGGTGTCCTCGGATGTGGCTCTGGATGATGATGGCTTTTTGTTTGAAGAACTTAAAGTTCCTTCTGCAGAGGAAGCCTCTGATGTTCCTCTGGATGGTAATAGCAGCCCAGGTCTGGGTGCTGCTCCACTTCTCCTCCAGCTGCTGGTACAGCAGCTCCTTGAGGAACACCTAGCACAGATAAACAGAAGAAACAACTTGATATACCAATTCTACTCACTTTATATATGCTTCCCCTAGGTAATATTATTAGGAATCACTCCATTAACTCACTGTTATGCAGTTATATCTGTCGATTAAGCCAGATGAAATTAATCATCTAAGTTACAAACATGTCTTAAGGACATAAAAACCTTGATGAGCTGCAATTTTCTCATGCTAAACTCGCCCCCCCCCCTCACTTGGCCCCAAAAACCTTAGAGACTCACTGTCTAAAGACATAGTTACTCTAGATGGCATTAACTTGGCCTCTAGCACCACTGTCAGGAATCTTGGAGTTATCTTCGATCAGGACATGTCATTTAACTCCCACATAAAGCAAAGCTCTAGGACTGCTTTTTATCATTTACAGATTTTTACAAAAATTAGACACATCCTATCACAGACAGATGCAGAAAAACTAATCCATGCATTTGTTACTTCTAGGCTGGATTACTGCAACTCTTTATTATCAGGTTGCCCCAATAAGTCCATTAAAACGCTCCAATTAATTCTGAACGCTGCAGCACGAGTACTGACAGGAACTAGAAAAAGAGATCACATCTCTCCTGTACTAGCTTCTCTGCACTGGCTCCCTGTAAAATGTAGAATTGAATTTAAAATACTCCTCCTCACCTATAAAGCTCTTCATGGTCAGGCCCCTTCATATCTTAAAGAGCTCATAGTACCCTATTACCCCACTAGAACACTACGTTCTCTGAATGCTGGGCTACTTGTGGTTCCTATAGTCTCTAAAAGTAGAACAGGAGCCAGAGCCTTCAGTTACCAAGCTCCTCTCCTGTGGAACCAGCTTCCAGTTGTGGTTCAGGAGGCAGACACCCTCACCACATTCAAGAGTAGGCTTAAGACATTCCTCTTTGATAAAGCTTATAGTTAGGGCTGGATCAGGTGAGTCCTGAACCATCCCTTAGTTATGCTGCTATAGGCCTAGACTATCGGGGGATTTCCCATGGTGCACTGAGCTCCTCTCTGCCTCTCTCTCTCTTTCTGCACTCATTCATGTCCCATTAATGCATGTTACTAACTTCACTTCTTCCCCGGAGTTCTTGTGCTTTCTTGTCTCGCAGGTTCTTGTCGATCCTGGTGGAGCCTCCTACCATGGTCCTGCTTGACTGTCATTGCTAATATCACTGATATTATTGTTAGTATTATTATTACTATTATTATTACTACAGTTACTATTATTACTATTGTCACTGCTCATTGTCCCCCATTATTGTTGTCGTCATCATCTTCTTCATGTTCATCATCATTATCACCATCAGTTGTTGCTACTGTTGTTGCTGTGCACCTTTGTCTCTGTCTCTGTCCTTCTGTCTTTACCCCATTCTCTCTCACTCTCACTCTCACTCTCTCTCTGTCTCTCTCTGTCTCTCTCTCTCTCTCTCTCTCTCTCTCTCTCTCTCTCTCTCTCTCTTTGTCTCTCTCTCTCTCTCTCTCTCTCTCTCTCACCCACACTGGTCGAGGCAGACGACCACCCACCTAGAGCCGGGGTCTTTCCGAGGTTTCTGCCTTTTAAAAGAAAGTTTTTCCTTGCCCCTGTCGCCAAGTGCTTGCTTGTACAGTCTAGACCTCTATTTTGAAAAGTGTCCTGAGATAACTTCTGTTATGATTTGGCGCTATACAAATAAAACTGAATTATATTCAATTCAATTCAATTCAATTCAATTCAATTCAATTCAATTCAAGTAGTCTAGGCCTATAGCAGCATAACTAAGGGATGGTTCAGGACTCACCTGATCCAGCCCTAACTATACGCTTTATCAAAGAGGAATGTCTTAAGCCTACTCTTGAATGTGGTGAGGGTGTCTGCCTCCTGAACCACAACTGGAAGCTGGTTCCACAGGAGAGGAGCTTGGTAACTGAAGGCTCTGGCTCCTGTTCTACTTTTAGAGACTATAGGAACCACAAGTAGCCCAGCATTCAGAGAACGTAGTGTTCTAGTGGGGTAATAATCGAATAATTGAATTGAATTGAATTAAATTGAATTGAATTGAATATGCACAGTCAGAACTTGTAATCAGTGTCGTCATGAGTTGGTCAGCACCTTGGTGAGTCCCAGCTGGTACTGTCCCTCCTCTGCGCCAACCATGTCCAGCAGAGCCACCGTCTGCTCACTGTCTGTCTCATTCAAGCGCTGGGTCAGCAGCACTCCATATCTGTGAAACAGAAACACACGTTGTCTTCAAACTCTTCTTGGAAGTTCCTAAATCCAAGTAAAATGATGTAAACAAGGCACATGATTTGTTGGTGCATGCATCATGATTCCTCAACATCACTTCCAGCTGAAACTCCACACAGCCAAGCGTGGGTGTAGAGGGAACTCCACTCTGCATTAAGGGGGGTACCCAGGAAGGAGTGTCCTCAGCCAACTGGTCCTGGGGCTGGCTGACCTTTCACCTTCTGATATCACAAACCCCAGCCAGCCTCAGAGCAGTTTCACTATGACTAAGATTAGACCTAACCAAATTATAACTAAATAAGAAAAAGTAAAACACATCACTTGTTGGAATGATATTACACACTCACAACACAAGATAGAAACACATTTGGCACACCCACACAAACCCTAACCCTAACTCTAACCCTCCCACCTCCGCTGACTGAGACTTAACTGTTAACCTTGTAAAGCACCACTCTTCTTTTGCACAATACTTCGTAAAATTGCACAAGTACAGGAATACTTGTGTGTTTGCAGCACCTCTCAATGAAGTAGGAGTACTGTATACGTATGGGGAACCCCTCTTTCCTGATGTGGATGGTCTCCAGCATCCCAGCATGCCTCAGCTGAGCCGACACGTAGTCTACGTCAAAGATCCCAGGAAGCTAACAGAGGACATATGAGATATGGTAAATATGGTCATATGTTGACTGCTGACAGTTAGCCAGCATCAGTGTAAAGTATCTGGAATTACCTTGACGTAGTTTGGCTTCAAACAACGAATAAAAGTGGTTTTGCATCTAAGAGTTAAAGGACAAAATGTTGACACGTTATTCATCAGGAAACAAGCATGCAAAGACAGTGTGAGCAGCATCTGACAGCTGTTTTATAGAACTGAAATTAAATATCTACACTCTACATTGAGTAAGGGGAATGAGCTTTTCCTCTGCAACAGAAAGAATGTTTTTAAGTTGTTTAGGCTATTCGTAAAAATGTAGTTGTTTCAGCCAGTTTTACCAGTTATTTATGTCAACACAACTTAATAAAATAATCTTTGCATCTTAAAAGTTTTATCTAACCACTAAATTTGATTTTTTTATCTTGAAACCATGCATTTATTTAATTTGACAATAGGTCCAGTGAATTACTTATAGAGTGTACAGGTATATGTGTGATTGACATGTTTCCATGGACAGTCCTCACTCAGTCCTGTGTGATGTTTGTCATCTTGTTAAGTCTGTTGTAGAATGTCTTTCAGTTATGATTCCCACCAAACGAAAACATTATGAACCAACCATCATTACTCTCATATTTCTTTCCATGACATTTACTAAACCGACATTCTCTACAAACCGCAGCTGATTTTAAACACATGCAGTCAAACTGTGTCCCTCCGAGCGACGCTCTACTGCCTTTCAAACTGGCCGACAGCTCTGATAATGACGGCTCAGTGTCAGTCAGTCTGGTCGGCATGTTGGTACCTCTCCAGGCGGGTGGTGAGTTCGGTCAGGGACTGGAGGAAGTGTGAGGCAGCAGTGGAGGGCTGCTGACGGAGGCCCTTCCCTCTCCAGCCCAGTTCTCTCTGCTGAATGTACCCATCCTGAACCTTCCGAAACAGCTCTGACACCATCTGACAAACAGGGCCATGTGAAGAAAAAATGTAAAACTGTCAGAAAGAGCTTTTTTTATTTATTTATCTACCTACCTACCTAGGCGTGTTTTTAAAAGCCTATGGATGTGTTTCATTTTGATATGTGATATCTTCAAACTGGTCACTTTGGTATTTAGTATTTCCCTCAAATTTTTACTCTATAGTAACCCCAAAGTAATATTTACCGGTGTAAGTTTAAAATAAATGTGTGGCTTTAACATCATTAATTACATTAATCTACAAACTTACAATAGGAAAATAAATGCAATGCGTCTTCCTCTTCCTCCTTACAGAATCTACATAATGATGACTGTGCAATGTTATACCTGTTTAGTTGTTTTTTAGTAGCGATAGTAGTGATTTTATAAAATATGTTGAGTTGAAAGTTTCTGCAGTAGGAATTAATTGTTTTGTAAATTGTTCTGAAAATTTGTTTCCAAGGTATTAATATAATAATATTAAATTCATCTTCCCATGGGAAAGCAACAAGGCCTCTGTTCTCTAAAATAAATGTATTAATCATTTATTAATCTTTGTTTTTGCTAACCATTTCTGAAAGTAGTAGTAGGTGCACAGACCTGCTGTCTGTATCCACCTTTTTTAGTTTCCCCTTCCACACTTTCGCATCTTAATGAAAGCATTAAGAATGCTGCATATAGCCATACATATAAGAAAACTGATGGGACGTACCTTTCTTTTGGGAAAAAAATGGCCAGTGACAATTACAAATTAGAACAACATGTATAATATAATGTTGCAGAATTTCCTGCATTACTAAGGAAGCCCTGAGATGCAAGTGAGAAAACAAATACTGGTGAACTCCATGCGCTTTAAACACAAGGTACATATTTATTTTTCTTTAGGCTAGAAATTTACCAGTCAGTGCTAAGAGAAATTAAAAGCCTCTTGTGGCAGAATGGATTATTACAACAACAACAAACAGGCCAAAAAAAATTTGAAGTTGAGATGCCTTTTAACCCTTTTAGATCACATCCAGTCACACCGTTCACCTATTTAAAATGCCAAAAAATACAATAAAAAATATGTCATATATGCTTACATGAGCTTAAACCAACCTATTTCAACCAATAATATCATGCCATTCACCCATTAATCAATCCCCAACTTTAAGCTACACAGAGCTAAGATTCATTAGCATGTGTAGAGTGTTTCTGGAGGACCTCACTGAAGTTTATCACCGGGTGAAACTGTATCCTATTTTATGGAGAAAATATTGTCTGGATTTCCCTCTGATGCCCTGCTCTGCCTCTGCTCACTGCTGCTGTTTGGTTAGCTGCCGTTAACGCTCATTGAGCGCTATTGGCTATCGGGCTAGTTGCCTGTTTCTACAGCAAATAGCATAAATATTATACATTTCATTTATACTTTAAGGAACCTAGAAAGATTATCCAGGTAAAACCATTTTTCATGTGTTCTTACGTAATAAACACAGGAAAGAAAACAATTTTTTTTTCTCACTTGCCATTCAGGGCTTCCATATGTTTCTGTATGAGAGAACGTTTCAAGACAATTTAAGAAAAAGACATGAAAGAGGAAAAAACTAAAAACCTTCACCAGTTTGACAACTCACACAGAAATACAAATACACAAACAGAAGCAGAACCCCTGCAGGTCGTACACAACAACAGAGTATTCCTGGGAAGATTGAACATTTGTAAATATACCTGCATGTGAAATGTAATCACTTTTGTTATTATCTTATTGGCTTGTATAATTTGTTACTGTTGTCTATACATAGCTGTCTACATGTTTAGTTTTAGTGTTTAGTTTGTTAGTTACCCATAAAGCACTTTGACCTGCACTTGAACGGTGCAATTTGACTGATACACAAAGTTGTGTAATCTGATGTGTGATCAAAATCTCAGGCAAAGGGCTTGTTCTGTAGCTGCTACACATGTTTTTCTATGCTACGCAAAAAAGCCCATATCAGTGTGGGTCTAATGCTGTCGGTTCACCTTTAACCGACTCCTGGCGAAAAGCTCCACCACTTCTGTCCTGAACTGGTCGTGGTTCTTATTCAGGAAATTGTGAACCTGGAAAAACAGTATTTTTTAAATACAAATGTTCTCACTGCATTGGCTTCTGTTCGATAGATGTGCTGAATGTAGCAGTGTGCTGTGCCCGATACCTGGTAAGTGACAGCTCCAGCATAGTGATAGATAGTGAAGACTGGCAGTGGGTTCTTAGGCTTGGCATAGTAGGGGCTGTTCCCATGGTGGTAGTGGCACTTCTGGAGGAAGGTGTGGTCAGTGGCCTGATAAAATACAGGGACAACACTAAAAACTGATTTCAGATTCACTTCTACTTTGTATAAAAACGTATCATAATTCTTGGTAAAGTAAAAGGGTTGATGTATGTGTGTGTGTGTGTGTGTGTGTGTGTGTGTGTGTGTGTGTGTGTGTGTGTGTGTGTGTGTGTGTGTGTGTGCGCGCGTGTACCTGGGGGAGGCAAGTCTGGTCGTCCAGTATGCGCAGGATGCCGTGTGGTCTGGAGGAGATCAGCTCCAGACAGGAGTGGAAGTCCTTGAGTGGCATGGGATACCACTGGATCTGTTCTGCACTGTACTCCTCCTGCAGGAAACACACACATCATAAAAATATTGCAGTCTACACTCAGTTTAAGTGTGTAAAAGCATTTATTGAAGGTGCTCTTTGCTTGAAAGAATATAAATTCTTGCTTCTATTGGTCACGTTTCCTACTGGGTGATTAGAACACGGACACCAAAACCATTGGCTTACTTACTTAGTAGGTTTTAGAAGTGTTGAGGTATATTTTATTTAACTTTAGAGAGAGTTTTTCCCTCCTGCTTTGAGTCTTCATGCTAAGCTAGGCTAGTCACCTTTTGACTTCAACTCCCTACTTAACACACAGACATGAGATTGGTATCAATTCCAGAATTGCAGAAAGAAAGCAAATAAGTGTATTTTCCAAAAGTGTTCTAACACTAATCAATCAACTCTAGCTAATTAGCTAAAAAGTCATGCTGAATGATGACACTGGATGATACAACCAGAGGGATTTTTCACAGCCCAAAAGTTTTTCCTATTAATGCCTTATAACTGATCTATAGGGGATTAGTAAATTACTTATCAACCATTGATAAGCCATTAATCACAGCGTATGGGCTATTTATAAATTGTGACTTATTAGAAAGTGGTGCCCTAAGGTCAGTTGATCTTCGTGGATCCAGAATAAAACCCACTGACCTGCTCCTGGGCGATCACTGCCTTGTTGACAAAGTGCTGCAGCTGCTCATTGGCAAAGTTGATACACAGCTGCTCAAAGCTGTTCACTCCCAGGTCCTGCAGAAGAACACAGAGGAGCTGTAACGTCAAATCCAACACCATGAGCACATCCTCAGTTAAGTTTTCAGGTCTCAGTCCAGGCAGAATACCAACCTCAAACCCGTAGATGTCCACTATGCCCACAGTACTGTCCATCTCTGTGGGACTTAGCCAGTCATTGATCTGCTCCAGCAACCAGTCAAACAGCACTGAATATAAGGCTTTGGCAATGGCATCTCTGTAAAAGAGGACAAGGAGGAGAAGAACCTTTAAATGCAAGATAAAACAATTCCAAGTGCTCTCCACTGGCTCTATACTTTAAGATCTCTGGACCATGGGGAACACTACTCAGCCTGTGAAAAGCCCTGCAGGAGCTATTACAAAGTATGAAAAATTAACCCCTGATGATATCATAGTCAGGGTTACACTGGAACAATTGAAGTGCTAAATTTATTTTGGTTGGACTGACTTGCCTGCTACTTGGACTTATATTCAGCCTGCACCAACATTTAAGGAAATTGTCTTACCTGGATTCTATGGCACTTTCCACAGACAGAGGGCAGTAGATCCTGTCGTAGGTTGTCTCCTGTGGACAAGAGAGCTAATTAGTTTACATACGTGCAGAGGTATAAACGATAACTAACTGCTGCATGTGAGGCTACTGACTGTGACTCTGTGAGTGATGACAGTCTGCAGGGCCTCGGAGGAAATTTGCAAGAGGCAGCCAACCCTCCTGGCCTCAGCCTCGCTGAAGATACGAGCCACCTCAAACGACTCGCTCTTAAGAAAAAAACCCAAGTGAATTATGATATCAGTGTCTGATATGTTAATTCTGACCCTGTCTTCTATACACACACACACACACACACACACACACACACACACACACACACACACACACACACACACACACACACCTCATATGAGCTGAAGCACATGTTGCCGAGCTGCAGGATAGAGGAGAGAATGGCCCAGATGGTTGAGATCTGGTCAGCATGCAAACCGATGGTCTCAAAACACTGAACCAAAAGCTGGAAGTCCTGCTTGTCCTGCTTCCCCTTCAATTCACAGAAACCACCCTAGAGGAAGACAGAGAACAAATAAATGTGTAACATGTATGTGAGCAAAGACGAAGAGAAAACGTTACAAAAAACAGAGATGGAGAATTATTCTGGAGAATTGATGTCTGATGTACTTGGTTTAGGTAGTAATAGGTCTCGGCTCCCTGCAGGTAGAGCTCCTGTTTGTCCCAGTCGTTCATACCTGCCAGCAGCTCATAGAACACATGGTAGTTCCTCTCCTCATTGGCCTACGAGTGAAATGAGACAAACCTTAGAGAGTGACATCAACTGAGTTCATGACTTTTGATGATTTTTGTGATCTACTTACAGCATAAACCACCTTACCAGAAAGAACGTCAAACATACATTCTTAGTTCTTAGGACTAAAACTCAAGTCAAAGGCTATAGACATGCTATGCCAGCAGCACTGTGTGTCATGACTGGTGCGAGTGGGGCAACGGGAATAGGACCCAAATGCAGACAATAGAGGTATAGCTGGTGCTGATCAGTGACTTACTAAAAAAATAAGGAGCAAAGGCTTACAGGATTATGAGGCTGGCAAAGGTCAAAACCAGAGAAGCAGTCCAAAATAGGCAAACAGATTAATCTAGGAGAAGAAAGGAATCCAAACTCCAAATAATCAGACAGAAGACCAAACCTAGTCAGTCTATTATATCTGCATGTACACAGCACTACAGGATACTTCTACTATGTGACACGCCTTTGAAATAGTCACAGTTTGGATGGGTTTAGAAAAAAAACTGTTAAAAGTTAGTATGTTTATCTCAGGTGTTGTGTCATATAGTAAAGTGGGTGTGTTGTGTATTCTGCAATACTGCAGCTAGACCCTCTAGGTCAAACTGGCAGGTCAGGCAGACAAAAACAGGTTCAGGTATGAGGTTAGGACTGGGTTCTGACTTGAAAGCAAAGGCATGAGATATTTAAAAATCTGGGAGTGAGTGAGTGGAAAAGGGCTCATTAGATATTTGCAGGCCTGATGAAGAAATGAGATGCAGGTGAGGAGGTGGACAGGGAAGTGCAGGTAACTGCAGAGCAGATGGGGGAAGTAGGAACAGGTGTGTGGATAGATGGGGCTGTCATGTGATGGGGAAAGGAGCGAAAGGACGTTTGGTGGATGGATGGAAAAAAGCTAAAAATGTTCATTGAACATTTGTCAAGTCTGGAGCAACTGTTGTACCGACCAACCAACCAACATTGCCATCCATAGAGCCATATTGCTAGCTAAAGAATTAAAAACCTATTTGATCAGTTTTATAGCTGGAGGTGTCTTGTATCAAGCTAGGAAAGCTGAGCCTCCAAATTGTTCATTTTCTAAGAAGCAAAAGCACTCAACAACAAAAGGAACTTGAGACATTTTCCTACAGGACAACACCAGCAGCCATGCAATATATTCATGCTGTAGACGCCAAAGCCAATGTGAGTGTATCTTGTAAACAGTTTGAACGTGATGACATTTGCTTCTCTGGCAAATGTAACATCATGGCCTCCTCATGATGTCTGTTTTGAGCACACAGCACACTCCACTCAATGTTCTCACCTGAAAGACAACTCTGGACTTCTCAAGGAGATATTTGGACAATGAGGTCCCTACAACAACCCCACTGTCAACCAAGAGAAGAGACAGTCGACAAATAAAACAGCTGAAACCAATCTTGTCAGGGGCAGCAGTAAAGGAACATACTGTGTAGTGCAAAATCAACAGATATTTCTACAGAAGATGACATTAGGTGGACTCACTGGAGAATGTGGATGTGGAGGTACTTGCCAAAGCGGCTGGAGTTGTTGTTGAGGATGGTCTTGGCATTCCCGAAACTCTCCAGGATGGGAAAGACCTCCATGGGCTGGTCAAAGAGGAAGCAGTGAATCAAAGATAAACATGGAGGGAGGACTGCAAGGTACACCTGTCAGCACTTTTCAGTGATGCTAACTGATAAAACTGTACATTATTGAAGGTATTCCTTTGTGCTTTCCACAGCAAATTACCTGGCGCAGGTTGTCATTTCTGCCCTGATACATGGAGCTGAGGTAGTGGACAATCAGCTTGGTAGCTTCAGTCTTCCCTGAACCACTCTGACCACTATACAAAAAATAAAGTATTAGATAGCTGTTACTGAAGAGGACAGGAAAATGAGGGAGAGAGAGATGACATGCAACAAAGGTCCTTGTCTCATTGTCAACCAATGACATTGAGATAAGGCCACCAGGGCATCCAATGACCCAGCTTTTTATTAGATTTATACCATGTAACTGCACGGCCACACATGCGCAAATATAGCTAAGTGACCTTTTGCCTGCGAGGCAAAGACATAAGGTCACATGGTGTGGGGAATTGTCACACTTAAGAAAATAAGAATCGTTGTGTCTCTGTTAACTTTATCTACTATTTTCAGTGCCGAATTAATCTACATTTGGTGCAACAGGACAATTTATGAGGGATTGAACAAACTACGGTGAGTGTTCATGGTAATAAGGAAGATGTCACCCAGTGCAACAGTGGGGCTCATGGAGCTCTACAACACAGAGGAAGAAGATATATGAGGCTTTGGTGCACACACAATAATTGTTAGGATCAATTCATTGTTGGTTTGGGTATTTTCATTTGTTGGCCATAAGACAACATTGAACATAAGCAGGCCTCTCATTTTAATCAATCTGTATAGACTGTAGATAATGAGAAACAGCAGTGTTTATACCTGAGGCAGTAAAGGAAAACTACATAGAAACAGACTGTAAAATTGATGAATTGAATATTCTTGTTAGTACCTTATAATGATGCACTGCTCCTGTGTGAAGGCTTGAGACTGACTGAAAGCAGTGTCGGCTATGGCATACACATGGCTGAGGCAGAGAACAACAGAAACAATAACTAGGGATGAAAACCATAAGGGGGGCAGGTGTTCTGAAGGCACACAAAACCTGCTGCCAGTTGTTATAAACACTAAGCAGAAAGCAGAATAATGTCCTGCTTACGGTGAGTTTCTCTGCTGCTCTTTGCCCTGGTATTTCTGTCTCAGCTCCTCTGTGAAGATGTTAAGGGGCTTGAAGGGGTTAATAGACAGCAGCATGTTTCCAATGTAAGTCTGGGGGAAAGAAAATGACAGGCATTCAGAGTATTTGCAATACACTGTGATCTGTCACTATTGGGTGTGGTTGCAGGTGCAACAGAGCACACATCTGACCACACCCAAACACACATTGAACTGTGAATCACTCGTTTTCAGCCCAGTGCCAAGTCACTCTCAAGGGGTTGGTCTACCATCTGATTTTCAAAAACAAATATACATTATTTTACTATCTTCTTACAAATTCATGTAAGATTACTTTATTCTGCCTTCCCAGTGAGCACCAACCAAGATTTCAATGTAGGTTCAATGCAGAATTATTTCCTGGGTGTATATTTATATAAATAACTGTATATATTGATTTAAATTATTCAGTGTTACTTTCTGAATTTGATTACCCTTTTCTATGTGTGTGGCATAAGGAACTACAAACTTTCATTTCCTTATTCAACCTTGTGTTTTACAATGATGAATATATTTCCTTGACTCCTTGATTTCTCATTGAAAACTTGGTGATATTTGGACTAAATGTCTCTTTTCAACAAGTTAGAATGCAGTTACAGTGTCACAAAACACTAATGTGTTTAATAATTTTGATAATGTGTTGAGTTGTAGGTTGAGTGAAGATAATGATTAGAGTGCAGGTATTTCTGTCATATTACACTTGTAGGTGAAATGTGGTTTACACATAGACGTGATTTCAACACATTTTATGTTTAATATAAAATATGATGATAGGCTATTATTTACACATTGTAAAGGATGAAAAATGTCACTATTGCAGATCCCGGTGTTGATGGCCTAAAAGTGAACATTCAATCTCTTCAAATAGTCGGTGAACAAAACTTTCAGTTTTCAATCAAGGTTTTTAACCTTGCGAGGCAGCTGGACGCTTCAGTCCCTACGTTTGTGGCCGACCTACAGTGGTACCGGCCCAGTCAGTCCTTTGAGGAAGTACTGGCAGCTACAGGCGCCAGGTGTGATGCAGCGAGAAGACACTGTTCACTAAACAACAGTGGTGGCTGCTGAAGAGGCTAGCGTAGATGCTGCTACCATCAATTGTATCAGAGCTGGAGAGTATTTCATCAATAGAAGAGCAAAGAACAGAACTGAAGGAATTTCTCCATGGAAAATGTGTTTTCACTCGTCTCTCCAACTGGCTTTGTTATATATATATATATATATAGCGTATATAGCATATAACATAGTTTGACTATGTTATATGGTTCATTGATCTAATTGGTTACTTTAGAGCAGCAGGTAATTTTTATAAATATTTGTTCAATCTTTCACTATATCCTGACAGTAGAACATGAGACAGATAATCTGTGAAACAATCAGGTTCCTCTGGATCCTCCTAGTGCTCCTAATGGTATTTGCAGGAATCCACCGGGCATGAACAAAAACAACCAATCAGATCAGAGAAAGATAGTTGATTTTTAAGTCTCATTCCCAGGGTGTCAAATACAGATGCTTTGGTACTCTGGAAATGAGACTCAACAATCAGCTATCTTCAAGCCCCCAATTCAAAGCGTCTTTACACCTTTCTCGGCTCTGACTAGTTGTTTTTGTCCTGGTGGATTCACGTAAATGCAATAGAACAAGAGGAACCTGATTTTTTCACAGATTTTCTGACAGAACTACTGTCAGGATATAGCGAAAGTTTCCTACTGCAGCTATAATATTTTAACAGATTGTTCATCCAATCACCTGCGAAGTATTTTTTGAAAGTGCCTCCTCATTTCCAAAGAGTTTCCAATAGCGATTTCTCAGTTGACAAACCATCTGATGCAGTCAGGTATTGTCTGGTGACGTCTTTATGTCTGAAAAATGCTCACTTGGCCTCTATTTACATAAAAATACAGTTGCAACATGGAATTATTTCACCCAAACATTTCACCAAACATTTTACCTGCTATAAATGCTTCAGATAGTATGATGTCAGTAATGAAACTTACATAAATACAGTCACGGTGGAATCTCTTCTTCAGATTCAGAAGCACAGAGCTCTCGCACACCTCTCTAAGAACATAAGACAAAAAGGTTGAAAAAGCATATTTATACTGTACTGTGTGGTACTGTGTGCGTGCGTGCGTGTGTGTGTGTGAGCTCACTCCAGCTGGGACAGATCCTCCACCTCATCAACCTCTACAGCTCTTTTGCTGCCAGGCATCACCACCTGTGAAAGGCAGAGACATGAGCGGAGCATCAGCATATGAGGACACGGGTCAAAATTGAAGCATCCCTCTAGTCAGGACCATGAACTTCAGATTAATTTGCCCCTACCTTCTCTCCACAGCCATCCTTGAGTCTGGCTGACATTGAATTAAATTAGTTTTTTCTAAAAGTCAATGAGCCTTTGCAGGAGCCCCTTGTTTCTGCACTCCCCCACTGCTAATGCTCCACTCCACTCATGACCATTCCATAGCAGGTACCCAATCCACTTGCAGCAGTGGAGCAGTGTGTTAGCTGATATACTGCAATCTCATAGCAGTGTGCTGCGGTGTGTTGTATGCCCTATTGTATCTGGATCGGGAAATAAATAAACCAGCAGCAAGTCCTTTATGTCCTATTGTCTGGTGTGCACACCGGCTTTAAGTGATGAAGTAGAACTGATACGCTGACACTCCAGACTTCAGCCATCAGACTTAATTTATCTAAATTTAAGGTAATGTTTGTCTCTCTGGGATTAATATGGTCTAAAGGAAAATGCTACTTGACACAGTAGAGTGACAAATTACTAAAATGGCAAATACTGAGCCACACCAGTTGTAGCAACATAGAAAATGCTTTGGAGTTCCTGGAACTATATCTGGGCACTTCTCAGGAGCTGACACTAAACACAAGTTCCAGGTACATACAGTGGTAGCTGGAAGTGCTGTCAGTCATTACTGGCTGGCTCAATAAAACCTAAAACCACAATCAGAGATAATGGGTATGATGATGGTGGTTATCAACTTTCTTTGTTAACCAAAGTTTTCTTCATGAGGCTGTGCATGTTCCCATAAAAGGGGGATAGTGGCGCTTCATTTGAGTGTTATTCCACACAAACTTTATCAATCGGGTGCCACCTACTTCACTCAAGACAGACAGGTTTTTATAATGGAGAGCTATGAAAAATATAAAAAAATAATAGCAAAAAGCAATACTGTTGCTTAAAAAAAGGGGATAGAGGAATGCTGGCAGAAAATTACTAATCGACTCAAATTCATCTACTTGCCAAAATGGGTGTGACAATACCTTTTAATTTTGAACCCTTTTCCCTAGTACCACACTCAGGCAAAAATGAGAGTCCCAAGAAATTTGCTTTCATGGTCCAAAGACTCAACTAATTGAAAGGAGAGCAAAGATAAAAGAAAATAATGCAGTATCCACCTGTGTGCTGACTAGTCGACTCTCTAGCATCTCCTGGGTAGGGTCCTCTGATTCCCAGGGCCCTCTGCCATTGTGGGCAGGAACAGTTCTGGCCTGGCCCCCATCATCATAGACTGTCCACTTGGTTAGCTTCTCCACCGTCTGGTGGGGCAACAGGTTCTCAGCACGCAGCCAGTCCTGAACCCCACACAGCAAAGATGATTGACCTTAATAATCATCACACTGATTCAACAACATTTAGGCACTCACAGAAAGAACAGAGAGACTATTTATTCTCACTAAGACTGACAGAATGCTGTTTTATACTCATAATTTTGTGTCTACCACCAAAAATGTAGCACATACCTGAGGGTCTCCACTCATCCGTGGGTTCCCAGCCCAGTGCATCTGTGGTTGGGCATTAGTATATATACCCCCCTCACCCATCAGCTGGGCCACTTCACTGTCTGCCTCTTCTTCATACAGGGACCGGACACCTGACGTCACTGTACTTGCCTCCCCATTTGGAAAGGGCTGAGTGGTGGACCTGGGTATCCCTGCCTCTCTCTCTGGGTCTGGTTCCTTAGCCCGACTTGGTCTACCACTTATCGTTCCTCCTTGCAAGGACATCTTTGCCAGTTTGATCTGGGAGGGGTCCAGTTTTCCTCTTGCAGCATGTACCACACTGACTCCAACTTGATTGTCTAGGGCAGCTCTCCTGTTTCCATCCTCAGTGTTGGATGATGCTTCTGGTGTACCACTGGACCCAGGGCTCCTCTCTGCCACATCTCCACCTGATGTTAACCTTCCTAGCAAAGGCTTTTTGATAGACTTCAGGAGGCTGAGATCTGGTTTGACAGGGAGCACGAGCCTGGCCCCTGGTTTTGGAGGTTTGGGCTCTGATGCAGTGGGTTCTCCTATTGTTGTACTTGATGAAGTAGAAGGTCCAGGAGCTGCCTGGGGCACCTCAATTGTCTTTGCCTTGCCAAGTTTGTTCATCCTGGGAAGTACCACAGCGTATTTGGCCTCTACCTCTTTCTCCCCAGCTGGGGACACTTCTTCCCTTCCATCCCCTGCCTTTTCCTGTAGGCAGGCTTTGTCTTTAGCCATTTTATCCTCAGTGGAGCTCCTACTTTTCTTACTGGCCAGGTTAGTTTTACTGGCAACTCTCATGGCCATCCTGTGTTTGAGGATATTGCCCTTGGTTTTTTTTTGTCCTTGTCTCTGCTTTATCGCCCGAAGGGAGAGCCAGTGGGAAACCCCGATGGCTTTAGTCCAAGCAGAAAGCTTCTTTCTCAAGTTTAATCCCCCTGGCATTTTCTTCTGAATCCAACCAGACACTCGGCGAAGAGTGGTCATACTTTTTCTACGTGCTATCAAACATTCTTTGGGTTTGCTGGACCCCCCGTCAAGGGCCTCACCCTCTGATGTTTCCCCGTTGGGTTGTGCTAACATCTTGTTTGCTTTGTGTCTGAGAGATGTCATTTTGACCTTCCCCAAGAGCAACCTCTGTGGCTGCCCTTTGATGATGTTTCCTGGGTCCTGCTGCTCCTCAGGCTCCAGAATGGCTTTGAGGTCTTTACCTTTGGCTTTGAGAAGCATAATTCTGTTTTGGCCTTTGATGGCTTTGGTCAGTGTTGGTTCAGCCTCCCCCTCCCCCTCTTCTTCCTCCTCCTCCTCCTCCTCCCCCTCCTCAGCTGAATCAACTTCTACAGGAGCATCCTTCTCATTAATATTTTTTGTTTTGTCTGCTAATTTGGTCTTACCTTTTGCTATGTCAGCCTTGTTGAGGGAAAGACCTTTTGGTGGTTGAATCTCATATGTTGCAGAACTAGGTTTGTCTTCTTTTTGTGGCTTCTTTTTGTTCTTTTTGTCTTCCTTGGCTTTTTGTTTGGCTTCCCTTTCTAACCTTTGCTTCTCCGCTTTGGCCCTCTGTTTCTCAGCCTTCTCCGCCTGCTTATCTGCCTTTGTTTTCTTAAACATCTTGTATTTCGACTCTTGCGCAGGTTTCGAGAGACGTGGCGTCTGTCTGCGTTGTCTGCAGGCTTTATCAGCAGTTGGCTTTTCAGACGTGTCCTCCTGGGTTATGTCCTTGTCTTCACTCTCATCACTGATGACTGCATCGGATACATCAACTTCCTTCTGGTTTTCTTCTTCTTCCTCACTGGATGCGACTGATTTGACCACAGAGTCACTCCTGGATTTGGCTTTGTCTGAAAGCTCTTTGTCTGATTCCTCGTTTGCTGTGTGTTCTGTATCTCTTTGGGTATCGTATGCCTCAGCCTCCTCCTCACTGCTCTCCTCACTCCCCTGCGTCTCAGCTGGCTCTTCTTTAATGTCCTGCTCCACCTCCTTCTCATCGCTACTGGTTTCCTCTTCCGTCACCTGCACTGAACTTCCTGCGTTGTTCTCTGATTCCTCCTCCTCACTCTCTGTCACAGTGTCATTTCTCTCATTTTCAGGCTTGGTGGGGAGCTTGTTTTTGATCTTCCCTTGCGTGGTTGGGGGTGCTTTTGGTGAAGGTTTGAGTTTGGTGGTCTTGTTTATGCCCCCTGTAATCTTACCATCTTTCCCATATTGAGATTGTGAGCTACTATTTGCAGTTGTCCCATTTCCTAATGTGCTCCCCGCTTGTTTCTGTGGTCCCTTTTGTTCTGTACCTCTATTTTTACTTTGATCTGCTTTATTCCTTCTATTACTCTTCACTACATCTGTCTTTCCATCCTCCAGAGTTGGTAAATTCCCTTTACCTTTTCGTTTTCCATTAGACTCTTTAGAGGGAGGCTGGGATGCTTTGGAACCATTCTGTCTCATATCTTTTTGTTGCTTTCCTTTTTTTGCTGCCCTCTGCTTCGTTGCATTTGTTCTACCTTGGGACTTGACCGGTGACATTGCTATGAATTCTTCAGAGTTGAAATTACCTAGAGTATAACAAAACTTTATAGATGTATTTATTTATTTTGTCATATTGACCTGGAAAATTGAAAGACGTGCAGGTTTTACTAGTCAAACATGAGACATTTTTAATCTATCAATGTCACACTTAAGTTAGCCACTCACTAAAATGAACAATTCCGGTCTGTAAGTTGAGAAACGCATCTGTCAAACTATGTGAAACCAGGTCCTTGGCTCCATCCATCAGCATTTATACCAGGTTTCACACTTTAAGTCCTTGATCCTTGTTCTGAGGCTAAAGACACCCAGGTCAAACCTAGTTTATCCACAACTGACCTGATTCTTTATCTAACAGTCATTGCTAAGTTGGAAGGCTGCAATGCATCTCCATCAAGACAAACTCAACAGTAAAACTGATATAGTGAAACATGGAAAATCACAACAAATTCATGCAAAGTGGCTATAATCTTTCCCGTAGTGGATGAAAATGACTCTCATTTTCCTTCTGTAACAAAACAACAGCTATTATCTGCAGGATGAATCTAAACTGCAGTGAAAGGCTATCTTTAGATCCACCTAAATGTAGTTGTATAGCCTGTACACCCTGGGGGTAGAGCAGTGAGAGCTCTTTCAGTGTAATATAGCTTACCAGGCTTCTCAGGTGAAACCCAGGCATGGCTGGGGGGCTGCAAAGTGCTCCGACTTGTCCTCAAGAGCTGGTGTCACTGATACAAACGTGCACCCATGCTCAAGAGGATAAGTGAAGGGAAGTTACACACTAATATCCCACCCACTAACATTATACAGCAAGGCACACTGCCACCAGTGCAATACACACCTAACAAAAGTCTGTGTGCGGTTTATGCATACACACAATGCCCCCGTTGACAAAGGTGAGCTGGCGAGGGCCGACGCACGCGCACACAAACAAAAAGTGCCTTCTGAATAATACAGCCCTGCCTGGCAGGTCATACAGCTCTGCTGCCGTTCATATGGCCAGCTGGTGAATGCTTGGGAGGAAAGGTGAGAGGTGCTGCTTGGAGTGATCAACAAAAGGTGCTGATGGAGGAGAGAGGGAGAGGCAGAGAGAAGAGAGAAAAGGGGTTCATTACCTGTTTTTTTTCCTCTGGGAAAGGGATTCCGTCAGTGCCTGCTGGAATGCTGGACTGGACTCATTTCTAAATAATCAATATCTCAATGCAGGCCATAAGTATTTAGACAGTGACACGTTTCTTCTTGTATTGGCCTTGTGCTCAGATGACAGTTACGTTTAGTAAAAATTTTGATCATTTAGCAGGATTACAATTTTAAAATGTTTTTCTTTAAAAATACAGAGCAGAGGACACATAAAAATCTTTCCATTTTTATTTTCTATTCAAAGGTTACATGTTCAGTTGTCTTTCTATTTGCATATTTGGTGTTGAGGAAAGTAATCAAGTTAATTACTTTAATATTGTACTTGTATTAGTGACTACATTTTTTAACAGATAATTTCATTGTACATTTTTAAAGTAACCCTCCTAACACTGCTGCTCCAGGAAATAACATTTAAGAAATGACTACGGAGGTCTAAGTGCTGACTTTCACTTTACTTTGATCATCGTCATTATCACTTCAAATAGTATAGTTGTTGCTATTGTTGTTGATGTGCAACTTTGTCTCCATCTATCCTTCTCTCTCTACCACCAGTGTTGTCAAGTGCTTGCTCATGGTGGTACTGTTGGGTCTCTGCAAATAATGTTATGAGTTCAGTCTAGACCCGCTCTATTTAAAAAGTGTCCTGAGATAACTTCTGTTATGAATCGGCGCCATTCAATTCAATTAAATTTTCTTTGTATCTTCTATACAAATAAAATGTAATTCAATAAAATTTTCTTTGTATCTTCTATACAAATAATTTAATTTAATTGAATTTTCTTGTGTTTTTAAAATAGTTGTTGATTGAAAGCAAATGCAAAATAACAGATTTTACCATCCCTTGACCCTGGTCAGCAAAGTACAGTAATCCAAAACTATATTCTTTTCCAACAGAAATGAACAGGGTTTAAACAATAAAAGTGAGTACACATTAGATCTTGTCAGATGAAGTAAAATAAAAAAGATCATGGGTTGGCAATGGGAATAGAACATTTCTTCAGTGAAATTGTCTCACATTCAGGGATCAGATAAAGATGGAGTTGGTGATTTCTAAATTAGTGTATATGAAGAAATTTTCTCTGAGCTATGACCTGAATTTGTAATGGGGAAGGCAACTCCATAACAACAGGTTAAGCTTAATACAAAAAAGGTATCCAGGCACCATTTTCTCGCTCATTTAACGTCTTCAGGTTGCACATGACAATGACTCGTCTTGCAGGGTCATCCTCTAACAGAGCTACTGTTGTTAGCTGGTCTGACCTCAGCCAGGTCCTTAGAGAGCTCAGGTTGCAGCGAAGCCACCGTGGCTCGAGGCAATTAGCAGACAAAGCGCCTCATTCTATAATGGATGATCAAAACTCTTGGCTGTGCATGTATGACAACTGATCCCTCTTTTATCCACTTCACCAGAGATGGCCCAGCCTCTGCGGCTCACAAAGACCAAGATTATAGCTGGGCTTTTCACAGAAACCAGAAATTGAAAAAGAGCACCGAGCTTTGGAATATAATCAGACAGGCCAAAATGATGGGTTGGGAGTCTAAATGTTATGGCTTTTTTTAAGTTTCAGTGGAGCATACAGAGACTCTGAAACAACATTCATTCACTGTGCAGGATTTTTTTGCAGTATGACGTGGAATGATGTGGAAAATGTGAGGCGTCTGAGAAAATAAAAACAGACACATTCATTCTTGGGAAAAAACATGTAATAATAATTACAATTGTAGTGTGAAGTTACAAATCAAAAAAAAAAAAAATTAGGGTTCTTAATCAGTTCACTACAAAAATATATTCTAGGCTGACACTAAAATACCCAGCATTCTGAGACACAGTACCAAAATATTTCCTTGTACGATCTAAATAGCAGCCAACCCCGTTACAACAGGCCCACAGGTACAGACTGAGTCACATACATACTGTATATATTAAAAACATTTCACTACAATAGCTTACAATTACATTCCTAAATTACATTATTCATTGCTGGCATAAAAAATGGTTTACATAACAATTAAAAACCAAACCCCATAGAAAGCTGTTCCCCCCAAAAAAAGTACAGCATCGCGAGCTCCGGAGTAGTGGAGAAGTACCTATGGCCGTTTACAAAGTTACAGAGTGGACGGGAGGGACAGGGCACAGGGTGTTAGCAGTATACAGATTGTAATGCTATTACTAATTTAGTAAATGTGGACTGAAACATAAAAAAAAAAAAGTCAGTGTGGTTTAACATACATAAAACAACTTTTTTTTCCTCTATTCTAGAGCATCACTGACAATATTTTCCCTTGATAGTATGAATAGTATGGGAGCTCATTTATGCAAAAAATGAAAAACAAACAAATTTAAGGAATGACAAATAAAAATATTCATGCTTAGTCAGTTTTGACTTAGCAAGGTAAGATTATAAATAGTAACTTTTCAAGGTCAAAAGTCAAAATTATGTGATTAACTAAAAATTCTGATTTGAAATTTGTAAAAACAAAAAAAACAAAAGACTTATTTTAAAAATAAAAATAAAAATGAAACAAGTAAAAGTCAAAATTATGAGAAAGTCCAAATGTAGTTATTTAATACCATCTCATAATTTTGAGTTGGGTCAAAAAAAAAACCCAACATATTTCTAAATAAACTAAAAACCCCACCAAAATCGCAATTTTATCTTAATATATTATAATATAGTTTTGATTTAGTATCACATAATTTTGACTTAGCATGAAGTTTTTTTTATCATTCCTAACTTTTCATCATTTTTTTTTAATCTTGGCAGAAATGGGCTTCCGCAGTAAAGTCTGAGGTTTCTTTAAATAAAAATTTAAAACGATTTTAAAAATCTGGCACAAATGACATAAAATTTAGGCTACAAAATATTTTCATCAACATTATTCAAATCACCCCCCCCCCAAAAAAAATCCTTGCAGCTGTGTGTCCCATGCAGGGAGATGAAGGCCGGTGAGATTGCACAGCAGTGTTGATTGGACGAACCGTTTCCACTGGCAGAATCCACGTGAAAAGGCTGGTGGTGATAAAGGCTGCCAGGATGAAGTGGGCGTGGTTGAAGTTAAACAGCCTCAACGAGTGGTATCTATGGCAGATTTTGAGATGCTGGCGTTGATCTTGGTGTAATGAATTATGGCATTGGTCACATGTCAGGAATGTGCTTCATGTAACTTTGGGTTAATGGTTGTGACCATGCCCTGATGATCTGTGTACAGCGTGTGGTCTTTAGGCACAGGTGGTGTGTCTTCCTTCACCCTCTGTCTGCACCGTTTAGTGAGCCTTCAAACAGCCCGGTGGTGCTCAGAAAGCACTACTGCCAAGAGCCCTTTAGTGTCTCTCTATTAGGGGGCCGTTGTGAACTGAGAGCGGGGAGGTCAGTCACTGAGGCGAGGGGTCAGGGGTCAGTAGTGGTTGTTGTCAGCCGAGCAGGAGGCGAGTGCTGCTACGGGACTGCAGTACGCTTCATAGACATCCACGTGTCAGTTCACTCTGAGGACAGACAACAGAAAGACACCATTAACAAACAGAGTCTGACACTACGTTGACTACACAGCAATGACAAAAGCAGTTTTTAGTACCAAAGGTAAAAATGTGTCCTTAGTCTAACCTCAACTGTCCAGAGATATCTCTCAAGCTACAGCACTCTTCACATTATTCTCCAGGAATGACCTGTGGCAAAAAGACAATAGTTCCCATTAACATGACTAGTCAAAGCTTTAAGGCGACTGGACACTTTTCATGGTTGCCTTTAGATTAGAGTAGAAATGAAATAAAACATTTTTGTGAACTTAATGCCATGTTCACATCAAAATCAAAGCCCTAATTACACCTGGGAATATATCCGACATGGCCTTAAAAAGGGCCTAATAAAGCAGACAAACATGGATGCCTTGTGTCAGCCAAAGTTTTTCAAGAAAAATAAATGCTGAAAGGACCAGCGTGTAGGATTTAGTAGATGTAGCGGTGAAGTGGCAGACTGCATCCTATTAAATACCGCTCGCCTTCCAAGGGTGTAAGAGAAAGTATGGTGGCTGCAATCCACACAAAACACGTGTTGTGGGTTACTGTAGAAACATGGTGGTTCAACATGGGGGCTCCATGGAAGCAGTCTGTAGATAAAGTCTCATTCTAACATAACAAAAACACAACTAGTCTTATATTCAGGTATATTCACACTAATGAAAACAAACCTATGAACATTATATTCCATTCTGACAATAGAGCCTCCTAAATGTTACATACAAATATTTCCCCCTGTACTTTCCGGGGAGCTGGTGAGGACTGGATTTACGTCATCATGAAATACTTCCCTTACATTTGCTCATTTCACTCCCAGTATACTGATAAGAATGCTTTTAGAAAAGAACAGCTCTCAGATTGACTCATCAGGGGCTGCTACTTACGTCTGGTCTCCTTCTAGCGACTTCTGGATCTCCTGAAGAACTTCTGCAAGAAAACAGAACACGATTGTAACTAAACAGTGTCCATATGTTTATATGAGACCTGTAGCAGTCACATTAGGATACAGCCTGCAGGGACTGAAACCATGCTTTGGGATGATGTTTGGTACAACAACCTGCTGATTGAGGTGTGTCTGATGACAATGGGAGCAGAAAGCTGACATACCAGTAAGGAGAGGCAGCACATGGGGCTATTACAGCTCAAGCAACACTTTAAGGGTTCAGATACAATAACATGAATTTTCTGCTTTACAGTTTGAATACGCTCTCTCTCTCTCCAGTACTCACTCTCGTCATTCAGCAAAGCATGCTCCATAACACGTCTAGCTGCACTTTCTGGAACACACAGGCAGCAGGCGGAGGACAAGTCAGTACGTTCAGCCACAAACAAAGTGTGTGTGTGTGTGTGTGTGTGTGTGTGTGTGTATAAAAACAGACAGCACAAGCACAGAGTTTAACAATGTCAAACTACTACAAACACTACATCTGGACGTGTAGTGTTCTCTCAGCCAATGGCACATGCATGTTTAAGTATGATGCTGTTTTTTGGATTTAGAGCTCCCTGAGACGTTTACCTGCATCCTCACTGTCTTGTCGGGCGTTTCTAGAGGGACAGAGAAGACTAATGAGTACAGAAAGAAATTATGATATTGCCAAAGTAAAAAATAGGAAGTGGGAGTGTGGTTACCTATGAGCTCCGTCGTGTTTTGGCCTGTGTTGGTTGGACAAGCCTGAATGGAGGGGAACCTCGACCAGACAACGAGGCTCCACCACGTGGCGGGTGGACAGAGAGAAGCGTTCAAACTCGGATGGAGAGATTAGGTAGAAGCCTGAAGGGAGACAACAGGACAAAAGTTGGTTTTCTGTACACATGTGGCTCACCAGGCCAGCATGGCAGGGATTTGCTTCTCCATTCCAACAGGGCTACCTGCTCAAAGCTGTGTCTCAACAGGCAGAGAGCCGCAATGGTTGAGAGTGAACAAAGATAGAAAAGAAAAGAAAGGGAGAAAGAAAGTTGGGTCTCATTCCCAAGGTCTATATATAATGACCTGGGAATGAGACCCAATCAACTGTCTTCAAGCTTCCAACCCAAAGGGTCTTTCCATCTTTCTTGGCTCCGATTGGCCTTTTTTCATTCAGGCCTGGTGGATTTTTTAAATGCCATTAGGAGCACTGCGATTTATTTGTAACTAATTAATGTATTTTGTTTGTATCTTAAAGGTTATCAACCTATTCTGCTCCATCCCAATTTATCAAACCATCTTCAAGAAAATAAAAAACCAAAAAGTGAACAGATTTGAGTTGTCCTTTGCGTCCATCAGAGATCAAGCAGTTTTTCAAGTTTGGGCAGTGCTGTGGTCAATCACAAAACACACAGAACTTGACAAGCACTGATTATTTTCACAGATTATCTGTCTAATTTTTTTCAGCAAATAGGATGGAAATAGTTTTTTTTATAAAAGTTACCTACTGCAGCTTTAAACTCAGCTGATTTAACTTACATTGTAACATACATGAGTTTATTTTGCTTTTTCTATATAGTATCAGAATAATATCATAGTGACCGTCTGTGTCTGTCCAGATAACAGAGGAACACATTTGTGTGTCACAGGGGCTGCTGCAACAACACTGTTGGTGAAAGATTCCTAACAGACCTCAGGATTTTAGGGTTTACAGTAGAGTAACAGCTGGTGTAAGGCCTGTAGTTGCACTGTTATCAGAGCGTCCTCACAAATATAAAATATAAATGTGTGTTTAGGCATGTCCATACCCTGGCCGTGCTTGGTGAAGACGCAGGAAGCGATGCCGCTGACGTCCTCTCGGCGGATGCAGGGGTATTGAACCTGCATCTTGACTGTGGGCAGCGACACCACGTGGAGGTCGCCCTGATTGGTCAGAACCACCAGGCCGCTCTCGCCGTAGTCCTCCGACCGGCTGCTGCCAAACCAGGCCACACCGACCCTCCGTACTCTGGAGCCGTCCGTGGCCGTCAGCTTCAACTTCATCTTGGCGCTCACCTTCGGCAGCGTGAAAACCTGTACAGGCCCCGACATGGTCAGCTCAGCACTATCTAATACCGTTTTAGTTCATTTAGAAAAATGTCTTGCTCTCTAACTAAAGGTTTCAAACTATCAGGATCTCTATAGTCTTAAATAATATCTCAATTCCATCATCATTACAACTAGTCATGTCTCTGTCCCTTTGTCATTCTCACCCGGTTCTCATACACATTTGTCATTTCTCACTTTACATTTAATCCGTTCTTTTTCATAAGGATGATTTAAGACATAAATTGAGTGAAATGTAGCCTCTATTTGGTGATACTGTAAGCACGGTTGAATTCTATTATCATTTCTGAGTTCCTCACATTGAGATGTTTTTGATCAGAGACTTTTATTTTGAAATTATGGGTTTGTTTATTGTGTATTTTGTAGTAATAAATGTGTTTGCTTTTTTCCAATTCAGTTTAGTTTCAGAGTTTACTCGTTTCAGTTGAGCGTTTAAAACAATAATATGGGGGTATTTATCTGGGGCAAGACGTTCAGAAGAGGTATTACAATACAAACACTTTGTGAAGGCAATTGATTCACAGTGATGTGAACATCCCAGATTTATGCTTATTGTGTTCATTTCCTAACTAAAAACATTCTTTTTGACTTGTTTCAGAAATTAGCCTTGTTAAGTGTTAAGATAACCGGCTATCCTGACTAGCTTGCCCTGAGATACTGTGAACAGTATTCACACAGATTCATTTACAGGGGGAAAACACTGTTCGGTTTGCCAGTGCCTGGCGCTGAAACGCTGCGGTCTGCTGACCACGCACTTGTCATGGACCGCTTTCTTCTCAGATCTGCTCAATTTCAGGCACACCAGTGTGACCAATGAAAATGTGATGGAAAAGAGACATCACTCTACAACCACATGTGCTGAGGATTCAGCTGAGTAATGATCTTTTAAGCTGATCAATGTGTGTGCTAAGGTGTGTGTGTGTGTGCGCTAAGGTGTGTGTGTGCGCGCGCGTGTGTGTGTGCGTGTGTGTGATTCTGACCTTAAACTGTTCCTCTGATATGACCAGGAGGTGGTGTGAGCCCTGCATGTCAGGTGAGCGAGCCAGGTCGTGGGCCACCTCCAAGGGCTCGGGAGAGGGAGCCCCGTGACCGTCCAGCACCACTATACCGACAACGGGAGCTCGGTGCATCAGCTGGATCTCCTTAGCTGGGGGGGGAAAAAACAAAAAGAGGAAAAGGGAGAACGTTACAAAAAAAAAGAACAGATGAAATAAAAGAGTCTACCAAGAACACTAAAAAACTGTTTCTCACCCGGCTGTGCAGTGATTGGTTCATCTGCTCTGTGCTCTACGGGAGGAAGGCGGAGCATGTATGCAAAAACACAGCCGCCGTTGGTCCCTGCCCATAGGGAGGGTGTGTTGTGTGAACCTGAGAAAATGAGATGCGTGAAAAACCTGAGGTATAGTTTGTTACGGGCTGTATTTAGTGTTTGACGGTGTAACTCACTGTCTGAGAGGAAGCTGTCGGCGAAGTACAGTGTCCGTACAAGACCGGTAAAAGAGTCATCTGAGGAGCGAGCCTCAATCTTCCTCTGGACCGGAGCCAGCTCCATCTCGGCCAGTTCGGCCTCCAGACGAGCGTTCGCCTCCTGGAGCTGCACAAAGATAGAGGGAAAAGGTGAAGACGATAGCAGGAATCTGGGGGTTCTCCCTGGTGCCAGTGGTTCACTCAATCCTGCTTCTACTGAAACCCAGTGAGCAGAAGAGCAGAGAGTTGCAGGTCTACCTTAGCAGCGTTGTTGACGTGATGTTTCCTTAGCGAGACTCTGCTGCGTCTGATTCTCCTGAAGGATTGTCGGAGGGATTTCTTTATGCTCTTCACCCTGGACAGAGGACCCTCCATGGCAAGCTGGTCACTGGGGTTTAGGGTGCACCTACAATTGGGAAAATACAGAGTTAGCACAGAGTAATAAATGCACTCGTGCACAAACACTGGCACTGTTGATGTACTAAATAACCTTAAATTCCTGTAAATGTTCCAAATAATACCAGCAGTATCACTTTAAAGGGCGGCCCAAGTTTAAACCTTCGTCAGAGTAATTATATCCTATATAGGTATACCTATATACCTGCAACTAACAATTATCAGTTCATTTGTGGATCATTTACTCAATCAATCTATTAGTTGTTTGGTACATAAAATGGTCAATAATGTTGAACAGCGTTTCCCAAAGTGACGTCCTCAAATGTCTTGTTTTGTCCACAACCCCAAGATATTCAGTTTACTGTCATAGAGGACTAAAAATAGCAGAAAATATTCTCTACTAAGAATTTTTTCTTAAGAAATTACTCAAAATAACAGATTTATTATCAAAATAGTGGGCGATTAAGTTTAGGAGCAGCTCTATTAACCCCTGCCCAAATGTCCATGAGCAATAGATCTCCAACAGTCACAGGGGTCCTGAAGCCCTGTCATTCTCATCCTGCAAGTTGGAAATCAAAGTCTTCTTTTCCTAAGTTTGTTATGAGCCTAAAAAGGTAGAAGACCACTTCTTTAGCCGACTTTGAACTGTTGTTCAACTGTTGTGCTTCTTATGACTGCTTTGGTCATTCCAGCTTGAATGTTTGTAGAAGCTGCATTTCCCTCCACATGTTACATGTCTCATTTCACTCATGCATGTAGTTATTTTTCGGTATTTTTCCTCAGGATGGGAGTCACAAGGTAAACAATACAGGCAACTCTGCCTGCATGGTGATATCAGTGCAAGTGTATAAAGTCTGCCAACACTCCAAAAGTCAAACAGCTGAGAAAAGGTTCACAGTACAATAGTCTGCCATGGACAAAGACTGTAGATATGCATGAGCGTCACCGTGTCACAATATAATGCTTCAGCAATGTTTGTCTCGGACCACTAATGTGTACTATATTTGAACCTGGGGCAATCTCTCACGTCCTTTTGCATGTGAAAAGATGTTTGTGTTTATATAGCAGTCTCCAGAGGACTGTAAGTTAGAGCTTAGAGAAGGCGGCTTGTGACAAACACTGAATCTACAAACCAGCTAAGAAAACCTGGATGGCTGTAAAAGGAATCCATTAGATGTAACTATGCAACTGCTAAAACCATGAATCAGAGAAGTCCTCGAGGGTGGAAATGTACAAATACAGCTTTACTCTCTTTCTCTGCGTCTCCTTACTTGATGAGGACGGTGTTCTTCTGTTGGTAATCGTAGAGGCCAAAGCCGTGGCTGGTGCCAAAAGCTACCAGCTTCCACTCCGAGTGCAGGGTGAGGGCGGTGACCACGGCAGGAGGCTGGCATTGGACCAGAGAAAAGGGCTGGAAGCCTGGAGGAAACAGCACCGGCTCCTCTCGAACATCCAGCCGAGTGTGGCCCTAATCAATGGGAAAACCAACGATATACTGATCAGATGACTTTAACAAGTGATGTGACAAGAAAGTAATCTACTGTAACGAGCACTGTGAGATAGTACAGCTCTCAGGGAGTGATGAGTAAAGCATTCCAATAGTTATCTTATGAGTAACGTTTTTGCAGTATCCAGTCACACTGCTCATTACCTTCCAGCGGAAGCCCTCTTGGCCCTGCAGCAGATCCACGACTTTAGCTTCCACCGTCTGCTCCGCTGCCTCATCGTTCAGTTCTAGCACCAGGATCTGGAAAGACAAACCCAAGACACAGCGGAATAATGAGTGAATAAGCAGAACAAAGCCTCTGAAAACTAATGCAGATAAGGTTGAATGAAGAACAGGAGAACAGCTCTGTCCACCACACCCTCACCCTGTACACTCTGCCATGTTTGTGTGTGTGGAGGGTTTTTGTAGTGCCATTTCAAACCAACTAATGGGAGTGAAGTTGACTATAAAAACTTCCATTATCGAGTCTACACCACACTGACTTCTCATACTTAAATTAACCCGAAAGAGAAGTGCACCCTGGCAGATAATTGAGGAAATGTCATACAAATTCAGGTTCCCTTTTCAAACTTCATCAAATGTAATTTTGGTAATGAACTACACACATTTTACTACAAACCTTTAGAGACACCTTTTGCCTTTATTTGGAGGCATATTTTCGTGAAGCATTTGCACATAATTTCCAGTTATTGAGTAAAGTTTCATGTCTTAAGATTGTTCTAGGTTTGAACCCAAATATACCAGAATTCATCTTTAAAACAATGGAGGAAAAACTTCACTTTGTCCCTCGTCCGTTTGTACATAGGCATAATGCAGATTTAGATTTTATTTGCACAATAAAAGACATCAGGCACAAACAAAAGAAAAGTAGCAAACTGTGCAGGCGAGATCTGAAAACCCCTAGAGGCTTGTGAAAGATAGTCTCACCTATAATGCAACATATCCATTCCTGTTTTTAGGAATGAGTTTAGAAGTTCACAGAATATGGAATTACTCTCCATCTTTCTGTAATCATCATCACACCCTGAGGTGGAGAGCCTATCACAGCTGTGAACATGACTTCATGCAGAGTGACACTGAGGTAGTGCTAGAGCAGTGGGGATGAATCAACTTGAGAAACCTTCAGTATGTGACCTATGTTATAAATCGCAGTCAGTGTTGACTCACCTGTCCAGCAGTGCCGGCCACAGTCAGATAGCCACTGTATTTACAGAGGTGGATCTTCTGAATGCCGAGCCTCGGGTCATCACTGTAGGGGTCAAAACAGCCAACCTGGACCAAATGTGAAAAATGCAAACCAGCAATTCAGTACTGTTCTTACCTAAAGTTAGGAGACTTATATAAACTCAACCTCCAGTGTGCTTTCTGTTATACATTTAAAAGGCTCAAGGCATAAATGACAACATCAGGGTTATTTTCTTGACTTGATAATGTTCTTCCAGGTCCTTAGAACAGATTACACCAATGCTACCACAGGCTGAGCAGTAATACTGTGAAGAGTAAACAGATCTTTATGTCTAAAATTGATGGAACGCCCATTTAAAACAAACTAGTATGTGAATCACAGCTAAGGAACAGGAGCCTTCCCACTTCACAGGATGTGGTTCAAAGCGCCAAAAAACTTGAGATTACACTTTGATTACAAAGATTTCACTTCTAACCACTTCAGTTTTGCGTGAGGTTGCCACAACAAAGGTTTCAGCACACACACACACACCTACACATACCCACACACACACACACACACACACACACACACACCTTTCTGAATGGCGGCCACTCTCCTTCAGTGCCTTGGTTCATGTTATCATTGGGGTCAGCGTCTGTGTGGAACACTCCAGCTGTGCTCAACTTATACATTGGATACAGACAGACTCCTGATGCATCCCAGAAACGCACGGTCCCATCCTCGTGCCTTCACACACAAATAAACAGGATGTTGTTAAATCTGCCCAGAAATGTTTGATGATTCCAAATTTCAAATAAACTGACCCTGTGAGCAGCAGGTCTCTCTGTGGAGGATCTGGGGCCATGTTCTGGCCTCCTGTTATTGGCCACGGCTGCACGGAGAGAGGGGAAATTAAAGTTTAACAATAATACCAACTTAATGCCATTCTGTTAAACCAAAAATGAAGGAATGTGTCCATAGTCAGGGTACAACATACCATGTATGAACAGCTTTAGAGTCACATACAAGACTCATCACAGGTGCCATTATACTGCTGACTAACATGTATATAACTTTTAAGGCTATGAATCAACCTTTAAAAGTATGTTAAAACACATGAGAATTAAAAAGATTGTTATAGCAGCAAACCACTATTTGCTATGTAAAAGCAGAGAACAAGGTCCCTTTGCTGGTATTGTTACAACAGCCTCTCTGTGCTTTGTTGGTGATTGCTGAAAGAGTGGAAAGACTAACAGACTGTTTTGGGGAGGTCAATTTTGTTTCTGTCCTGTTTGAATAAAGATAAGTAAAGTTGATTTTTGTCAATTGAATCGGGTGGGCTATAGTGCCCATTGTTTTGCTCTGAGATGCTGGTGCTCTAGGGCAATATTCAGTGGTAGGTGAATTACAGGGTCTGGTAAAAAAAAAAAATAAAAATAAAAATAAAAAATAAAAAGGAATGAAAACAGTGTTTGAAAGACATTTTGAGGAGAAAAGACAATACAGCTGGTGCTCTCACAGAGATGGCAGGAAAATATTACTACATTTTCTTCAGTCATAAGTTAATGAAGCTAGAAATGTCTTAACCTTTGAGGTAAGTAAGTAAGTAGTAATAAGTAATTACTACTTATGGACCAAATAAATTAGACTACAGACTACCTTGACTCCTGCTTATGAATCATTATTAGTTTGCCCACTTTTCATCAGCATCATCCTTCCCACTGATGTGGGATGTGAATGTGATGAATATGCAAACCAGCAATGAACACATGAACGTTTGCTACCTTTTTGGAGTAGTGTGTCTTCTGCAGGTCTCCAGCAGCAATGACTCTCTCCCACAGTTTGAGGGGGATAGCGGAGACGTGGTGGGAGCAGGTGATGGCTGAGCTGTGGAGGGGGACCAGGTACGGTGTCTGAATGACAGGCCAGCCCTCCGTTTGCAGGTCAATCACTACCAGCTCCTCCTCTACCAGGACCACCAGCGCACTGGGATCTCCTGCAGAGGGTAAGGACAGAGCGATAACAGTAGTTAGATACACTGTGTGCACTGATCTGGGATAGGCTGGTCTCACTTTTCTAGGCTTTTCAGTGTCTGAGAAAATTTGAAGGACACACTAAAACAAAGACAATTATATCAACCACTTCTTTGAAAGCAAAACCAAGAGTCGGCACATCTTCAGGCTGTTTACCCCCTCCCCAGGACAACAGTGGGAGTTCACAATGAGTATATTTACAAGCACAGAAGAAACCAGGTTACTGGGAGAAATCAGGTTACAGCAGGAAGACACACAGTTTACATGGCAGTAATGAATCCTGTACCATTTGCCATCAGGCATGTATTCTTACACCGCTGTCAAAAGCTTTCAAACTGACTTTGAGTCTCTGAAGAACATAAAACATTTCCAGCCATTTATAATCACAATTCAATATAATTCAGGCTTCCTGTAAAAAATGTGTAATATCCAAGCTCAAAATGAGATGACATCAACATTTCTAAGACATTGTAATGCTCCCTCCACAGTCTCAGAAGATATTATACAGCTGTTTCACAGGCTGAATAGTACTCCACATGACAAGTCTAATGTGTGAAATTGGCAGTGGCCTTTAGGCCGAGCAGACACTGTACGGATTAAGCAATATTTTAACCCCAAAGTGGTCACCCTTGACTAATCTTAGAATTGTGCTGAATTTCTGCAATATGTGCAGTTTGAGGGGGTTCGGTACAATCAGTGATTGGTTGTATTTCTGGCAGGTCAGAAGGTCTGATTTCCCTCAGGGCTGCTGTTAAAACATCTCAATAAACTGTATTGAGCTTGTCTTGACATGGGAGTAGTATTTTACATGTTATGGCTAAAACTGTTGTCTTGATCAAGACTTGTCATATAAAACAATCATACTGCCATCTGTAGTTCCATATTTACATTTCTTCACGACACGACCAGTCTGTTTTTTGGGGGTTTTTAAAAAATATATTTTTGGGGTTTTATTGCTTTTAAATCCATACCGACAGCTGAAGATTGACAGGAAAGGGGGGGTAGGGAGGGGGGAGGACACGCAGCAAACACAGGTCAGAATGGAACCATGTGCCGCTGCAGCAAGGACTCAGCCCGGCTGACCCCACAGCCATCCTGTTTGACTAAACTTTATTGGAATTGTCACAGGACAAATGGGGTTTGGTGCTTCTGGTCATAGTGAGCTCTACGTGGTTGCTGGTCAGCTGATCTGTACCGTGTGATCATAAAAGTTTCAGGTTCTGGCTGTGCAGAAAGTCAGATTCAAATGTGTAATGAACAAGATTAATAAAAACACACACAATCAACAAAATAAGCCAACCTCCTCAAATGTCATACATGACCTAATGCAAGCAGTGGAACCAGACAGCTTTCAATACATATTTCAGTAAGAGCCACATAAGTATCGAGGTTAGATAGTCGGTCCAATGCAAAGGCATTTAAAATTATATATTATATACTTATTGCATATAGACATAGATAAAGGCTTCATTTCTACCTGGTATTAACATGTGATCAGTATCTAGATACATTATCTGGATGATGGCTAGATGCCTTTGCATTCACACCTGGTATTAGAGTAATCAAGGGTTTTAATATGTAAATCAGCTAGGCAGGTCTGCCAGCAAAAATGACACATCTGAGGGAAAGGGAAGCAATGCCATGGACACGTCATTCATCTTTAAATCACTTTTTGCGAAGGAAGACTCGCTGCTACCTCTTGTAGTTTTCTGCTGCAGTTTAAGATAGCAGGAAGAGGCAGGGTTTGGTGACCTTTGAACTTGCAGAGCTTTTTTTCTTAAAAAGTGTGGCCATGCTGTATGCGTTCACATCTGGCTGAGATCTGATCTCAGCGCGAGCCAGACCACCGATCACAAGGTGTTCTGGGTGCATTTACACCTGCATTAACAAATGTTTGCTTTTATCCAGAAAAAAAAAAAGGAAAACTGGATCTCACTTCTTTGGAAATAATGTATATAAAGTACTTTAGTTTGGGATGGATATCGACCATAGGCCTGTCAGGCTTTGCTAAACAGCTTCTTTTCCATTATTGCGCATGAGTCAGTCATTTGCGTTGGGTGTGTGCGTTGCCTGCCTGTGTACTGCGGTCCGTCTCTGATGGCGAAGAAGTCGATGATCCTGGAGGTGAAGTCCAGAGCTACGTGCGTTTTACTGTGGATCACTGTGATACAGTGTCTGTCCCCGTAGCTGGCCCTGGGCATACCGCCACTGAACAGCAGGAACGGAGGCCTACACACACACACACACACAGTTTAGTTTAGTTTGCCCAGAGATTAATGTGTAACAATGAGTCATGTAACACATTTAGCATATGAAGTTAAACATTAAAAAGGATGAACCACTTTCACTGAGGGAGCACAGGTCACAAATGAATCTCACTGGTGAAAAAAGTGAACTTACCCCTCTTCCGTAGGTAGCTGCACTATTTTAGAAATGGCCTTGCAGGGAAAATGACCTGCAGTGACAATAACACCATCATCAGACTCCAAAAAAGGAACGAAACATTTCCTGCCTGACCGTGAATAAAAATGTCAACGCCTCTTTGTCCTCACCGTAAGGAATGTCTGATTTCTCCTCCTCCTCATTCACATCCTCTCCACCCACCATCCATCGACAGTAACTTCCATCACTGTGCGAACTGAGAATGTAGCTTCCGTCCTCTGTCCACCACACACTTTCCAGTTGCTATGGTTACAAGGAAAATACACAAGGCAAATATCAACATTTAGCATGCTGGCTATAACCAGTTTATCCAGGTGGCAGGCCTTCGTAGCAGTTACCTGTGTGGCAGGGATATGCTGGATGGCACACTGTTTCTCCACATCCCAGATCACCATGAGACCTCGCCCGTAACCGATAACAACCTGGTTTGGGTTTACTGGGTTCTCCTGTAAGGCCTCTACGTGCTCCAGATTCCTGCGGCCAATGTAGTCGTCTGGCACACTGGAGGAGACAGGAGAGTGAGGATAAACACGAGAGACACAACAGAAAGACTGGAGACAGGACATCAACCTCATTATTGATCTGTAGGCACTGAGGCAGTGAGCACAGAGCTGGTTTGTTGAGGAAAACAAAGTGATGTATTTGTATTGTGTGACAGCGGTAAGTCTAAACGATCAATACACATTTAGGTTGGTTATAGTCAAAACATTTGAAATATAGGCAACAGCAGAACGGTGCATTTCTGAGGGAAAGCAAATCTACTGAGTATTAATGTAGCTTGTGTCTGCTTTCAAGCCCCTGCCTTTGTGTTTTGTGCATCTGGTTGTAAATCCCTGACTTGTAAGTCAAACAATTTAAGGGAGACAGCATTTACCTGAACAAACTGTAAAAAGCCCAGGGATCACAAACTACAAGAGAACCCACATCTCAATCTTGGGAAAACATGTGCTCTCATGCTGCCACCGAGGTTGGAGTAATAAGGGTCCCAGACCTTCACTGGGCTCTGTACCAACAGCAACATTGCTACAAGTCTGGCCGAGGAGAGAGTGGCTGCACTCTAGCCGGCAGCTGGCTGAGACATAATAGCCTTAATTTTCCACCAGGACTTGAGGCTGAAGTTAAACTAAACTGAACTTTGGGCTCAAATACGCTTTTGACACAAGTAAAAAAAATCCCTAGTGTGGTGGACAATATGACAAGGTTAAAACATTTAATATTGTGACTGTTTACTTTAGAAGTAGTGTGTAACATCCCCAGTTAGCTGCTTTGCAGGATTGAATTAATTACTTGACTTCATTCAACTCACTACTGTGGATAAGAAACTATAGCTGCGTTTCTAACCAACACTTTTGGTATAGTACGCTTGAAACCCATACCTGCTGTAAAGCCTACCTGGACGTACCTAAACCCTCGATCTGTTATGCATTTCCACCACAGACAGTTAAATATAAGCAAGGTTGTTACCAGCGCTTCGGGGCTAACCCTCTTTGATTTTCCAGCAGTTGGGAAACAGAGATTTCTCTAAGTATTGAAAAATTGTCACAATTCTTAACTGACACACTGTTACATACACTGTACATTTACTGCCAGACAACATAACCGTTTCTTTACCCGGTCTTTGCGACGCACACAGGGACACAAGCTCGAGTGTGGGAAATTCTACATCAGAGTGCAGACAGCAAGACGACTGTGGTGGCTTCGAGTCTTTCGGACTGCAGCGTTTCTAGCTCCACCTCAACGTCCTGGTTCAGTGAGTAGGTACCTCAACAGAAGGGTAACGAAAATCCAAGACAGAATAGAGTGTTTCTGGTGGTACCATATCCCACTCCTGGTGGATTGCTGACCATAACCGCCCACTCCCGCTATGTGTGTGTCCACTTCCAGCTGTAATCTTCTTCAATTTCATTTGTTGGCTCTAGCTCATCTTTCTGGCAAACTAAATCTGGGGACCCGCAGTTTATTTTTTGCCCACCAGCTCTCACCTGCAGCAAAGTCAAAACTGCCCGCTGCTGTGCGATTTGCATTGGGTCCCACAGGATCCCCATGCAGTCGTCTAGTACCATCCACAACTTTTGACAATGGAAATGCCAAAATAACTAACTACGTTCTAATGTGTAACGAACTGAACCAAACTGCTTGGTGGAAACTGGGCTTACGTGCCGTTTTGGATTTAGTGGGTAAGTGGCGTCAGGGGCCAAAAGGCCCCCAGGTAGTCTATGACTAAGTTCTTAATGCAGGCATAAGTGATCCAAATCTGATTTGTTTGCTCATATGTGACTCAGATTTGTTTTGTTTTTTTTCAAGATAGTGTGAACAGCACAAATTACATGCAATCTGATTTTTTCAATACTAATTTGGGCCATTTTCATATGTGGTCCAAATCAGTTACAGGTCTGGTTCTTTGTAATGCAACCTCAGTGTGAACAGTCATATGAGAACTCATGTGACTTTTATGTCAGATCTATGTCATGAAGGTCACTTGAGGGCTGTGACCTATTCTCACTGAAATTGGATATGAGCTACATTCAAAAACTAATATAATCAACGTAAAAAAAAAATTCAAGAAAAGCTGATCTGAGCCATAAATCAGAATTGACCGCTAAGGCTTGCAGTGTGAATGTGTGAATGTGTAATTTGACTAATTGCTCATTTGTTTAACAGTGGCTTTTTTTTTTTTAACCTAATCTTAAGACTCTGTGGCAACCTTTAATGTATTTAACATTTTGGTTGATTTTGTGAATAACCGCCAAAATAAAGTCACTTTACACAGTTGTAGCCTTTCCACTATACAGCCCGAACTCAAGGCTTTAAACGAGGGTGATGCAGTGTGTTGGTGTGTTGTAGATGCCGACCTGTTGGCGACTTGATCGAGGCTGATGTTTCTCTCTTCCAGCTCTCTGAACCCCGGGACTTCAACTATGAAGACGTGTCCTCCTTCTGTCCCCAACAGCAGCAGCTCCCCTGAGGAGTGAGCCAGCACTGCCGTCACTCTGGTCACACTTGGAGGGGCACTGTGGAGAGGAAGAGAGGGAGGTGAGATCACTTAGTGAAACAATGGCTACATTTTCTATAAAGTAGGGCTGCAACTAACGATTACTTTGGTTATCTATCAATCTGCGACTACTTCCATAATAATTTGTTTTACGAATTGTCAGAAAAATACCCATTATAATTTCTCAGAGCCTGAGGAGATTGCACTCTGTTCTAGCCTGGAGGCTTTATTAGTCAGCTCCACCTTGAGTGATTGGAAGGTACTACCTCAGGGACTTTTGGGGGGGAAGAAAGTACAGCCCAGAAAACCACAACTGGATGAATATCATTTGGTTGAAATGTAGATAAAGGTTCCTTGAAAATGACCAGCTCATTGAGACGGGGGAAAATGTGAGCGTGTCTGTGTGTTTTACCCAGGTGGTCCAGTGAGAGTGAAGCGTCCTATCTCCAAAAGTTCAGAGAGTCCCTTGTGGGCTCTTAAAGTCCACATGTGCAGACTGTTGTCGTCCAGCAGAGTCACCAGTTCAACCTAAACAAAAGCCACAGTCAACCAGTACTGTCCAAAAGGCTATTAAACGTCCCAGCAGGGACATAGTAGCAAGCAGGCAATATGGTACCATACAAAAGACAGTGTGCTCTATGATAAACAGGTCAAGATACTTTGAAAAGTTGAACTGCTGTTGGGAGTGTGTTGTGTGTTCTCACTATACCTGGTGGGGGAGGAAGTGCACCTGTGTGACGGCAGCATTCTCATCATGTAGACCCATGAACTCCACACCTGGAGCTCCATACCTGACCACTGGTCAAGGACACACTGGATTTGTGATAGACAGTCCTATCAAACATACTCACAACAAATGGTGAAGACATCGGCTCTCGGTTGGTTTTTTGGGGCGTATTCTTTTAGCAGATTTTGTCATTTCGCTAATTTAATGCGAGAATGAGAGCTCGGCTCAGCGACAGACACCGAACCAAATGAGTGGGAGGAGAAAGAGCTGTTTCACATCAAACTCTGTGAATTAAGGTTTTATTTTTACCAGTTTGATGACAGGGAATACAACACCAACCAAGTCCCGACTCCGGGGACACCGAAGACGGGACAGGAGTGAGAGGGAGGTTGGGTGAGTTCTGATGAGTTAACATGGCATTTAAGCTGGTCTCGGTTAAAAAGAGAAACATAAATTCAGAATTTGCACGGTTGTATTGTTGTGTTTAAAACAGAAAATAGGTGTTGGAGATTATTTTGTTTATTAAAGCTGAGCAAGCTTGTGGCACATAGTAAACTTGCCACTAATTTCCCAGCTGAAACTATGACAATACATCAAACATCTTTAAACCTAAAGATGGCTGGCTAACCTGCTAATGTGATTTTGTCATACAGGCCCCAGGCTGACAGTGAGCAGGGAGTCTGTCCATCATTGTGGGGAACAGACATCTCCCACACCAAGTGTCAATGAGCAAACCACTGAAGCAGCTCTAGGGATGCTGCTGTGTATCTGACCCCGACTGCACTGTGGAGGAAGAAGAACAACAGTAGGGACCATTAAAATCTATGGAGATTGATTGAAGTGTCACATTATTAAATCATTTGTGTGCTACATGAAAATAACAGAAGCTGCTCTGTTCTTTGACTTAGTCTGAAGCATTCTGTGCGTTGACAGATTTCCCTTTATCTGCGCTCTCTTGCTGTTCTATCCCTGAACAATATGCTGCATTGTATGAATGGATTATCCTAATGAGAGAAGGTACTGTGGTTATAAAATTCAGTGTGTGTCTCTGTGTCAGTGGGGAGAGCGTACCGACTGGCTCTGCTTCACTGTCAATGAGCAGAATTGTGTGAAAGGCTCCAGCGACAGACTCCACTGTCTGAAAATGCCAGGCGATGTTGAGCAACAGCGTGGGAAAATGAAAATACCTGAACCAGGTGTCTGTATGAACGGCAGACAAGGATTTAGCAGCGTCACAGAACCGTCATTAGAACCGCCTGCCTCAAGTTCAAACACGCCGCTCGGATTCCTCCCAGACAACAGCTTCTACAAATACTACAGTATTTACACACAGGTAGAGTGAAGGATACAGTTTGATGGCCCCGGAGCGGGTGCCGATGGCCAGCAGCTGCAGGGTGGGACTGTAGCTGAGAGCGCTGGGCTGGTGGGGGAATCCATGCTCAACTGTCTGCAGGAGACAAGAGGACAGACAGGGGGAGGGTGAGACTGAGCTGTGACAGCAGAGACAATGACAGGATAGACACATGAGACCGCAGAAAAACACCCTGCAGATAACAGCAGAAACAAGAAATAGGACGGATGACAGATAAACTTAAAACCTGCTGTCTCAAACTCGCACTTGAGCGGCATGTCTAGTACCAATCATTCCTCCATTTCTCAGACAAAAATCTACAAAATATAATTATAGTATCCTTTTTTATTTCTGAGGTAGGGTATAAATCAGAACAATGCATATTTCCTTTTCTTTGTAAAAATTAAACGGTCATCTCATAATGTAACTGTCTCGCAATAAATCTTTACATTCCCATCTTTATACTATGACAATTGTTCTAAAATTAAATTGCACTATATCACCTTATTTCCTGTATTGCAATATATTGAATAGCAACCCCTGTTGGAATACGTATTGTATGAACAGATTCTTGCCCATACACAGCCCTAGTTATAACTCCGCTATGTTTTGAACTTATACACAACTGGTGCAACAGGCTGCAGATGGATAAAACTCTCTCTCTCTGTGTGTGTGTGTGTGTGTGTGTGTGTGTGTGTGTGTGTGTGTGTGTGTGTGTGTGTGTGTGTGTGTGTGTGTGTGTGTGTGTGTGTGTGTGTGTGTGTGTGTGTGTGTGTGCGCATAGTAGGGCTGCACAATGCAAGTGCAACATCCAAACCGTTCCAAATTTGCCCTAGTTTACAAATCCGTTCCAGATGTCAGAGAATGTTTGTTTGGCACAGACCCCAACAAATGTAACATGACTGTAATAGTTTTTTCAGTTAAAATAAAAACTGATGCAAAAATGATCTTTCCCACTAATCCTGAACCATATCGCAATATCTGTCAAAGCCATATTGTGCAGCCCTAATGCATATACTCTTTGTCAGACTTATAAAGTCCTGTGTAAAGCCTGATTTCCACTCACACAGTAAACACCATAAACTGATGTAAACACACTTATAAGCACATGTTGGTATATCAGTACCTCTGCAGGATACACCAGTCTTTATACCGGTCAATAAAGAAAACCCACTGTCACACTGACATGGTTCTCCAACGGGGCAGGAGCTGCTGTCATTTTACATTAGCGTTAGCCACAGCTGGGTCTATTTATAGCTTCGGAATGATCATTAATTCATCACATGATCATCAATGATTTAGTTTATAGCACGAAAATTCAAACTAACTTTGCAAAGTTTTTTTTTTTTTTTACAATAAAAAAGGCCAAAATAAAAACCACATGCAATAATATATTGCAGAGAGAAAAAAAACACAAATGAACACACAATCCAAAAATTACACATAGCCATACACATCTAGTGAGATTAGTTAACAACCTTTATTTTTCCATCTCTACCTCATAACAGAGGTAGCTTGCTCTTGAAAACTGTGTGTTACGTATTATGTGTGTATGCATTATTTATACATTTGGCCCCTGGATTGAGCAGTACTAGTAACTAGGGCTGTCCCCTAATTAGTCGAGCCACTTTTCATTAGTTGGACAGTTGCAAAAAACAAAAACAACGTCAAACAGGGAGCTGCACCTTGTCACCAGGACCAAAGAATCAGGGGACTGTTGCAACACAGACCTTTTTTCTTGTAACACAGGGAATCTGGTACGCTGTTATGCTAACTGTACTAGCTGCGGCCACTAGCTAGTTAGTGGTCCTATTAGCTATCTGTACCAGGACTGGGAGCTTGAAGGACAGGGGGAGTTCAAACACTACCAGGAGCAGGGGACCCAGTGGGGAATGCTACCAATGAGCGGGGCCAGTACAGGTACAGCTCAAAAAATTACAATATCGTTTCTTGTAATTTTGATGATTATGGCTTACAGATAATGAAAACCCAAAACTCAGTGTCTCAGAAAATTAGAATATTACATAAGATCAATAAAAAAAAATAATAAAAAAAAATAAAAAAAAATGTCAGGCTTCTGGAACGTATGCTCATTTCTATGCACTCAATACTTGGTTGGGCCTCCTTCTGCATGAATTACTGCATCAAAAAGAGGACATTGGACCACTGAGCAACAGTCCAGTCCTTTTTCTCCTCAGCCCAGGTAAGACGCTTCTGACGTTGTCTCCGGTTCAGGAGTGGCTTGACTTGATGCGCTGACTCCAGCCTCTCAAGGCTGCGGTTATCCCTGTTGCTGGTGCACCTTTTCCTACCACACTTTTTCCTTCCACTTTACTCTCTATGAATATGTTTGGATACAGCACTCTGAACAACCAGCTTCTTTAGCAATGACCTTATGTGGCTTTCCCTCCTTATGGAGGGTGTCAAGTCAGCAGTCCTCCCCATGATTGTGTACTGACCCAGACTTAGCAGTGTTTGCTGTATTGATTGTATTGATTTTGGAGCGGCGGCCCGCCACTGTTAAATTTCTGCCGCCACGGTATCAGAAATGGGGCAGACGCACAATGTAGTCCCGGTTGCCTTTTAAATGATCCTGCCGACATAATGCACCCCCGCTGGCTGCCACTCACATTGCAATTTAACAACAAGTAGAACTATTCAGAGGTTATTGGGGCTGTCCACTTCAACTCCACATACTGTTGTGTTGATGGAGCTTATTGTCAAAACGTCAAAACATCTGGAAACATTAAAACGGTAAATATATTTGTTTGTGTTGCAGTGAAGTGTCAGTTCTGTTTCATACGTAAAATGTTTGCCAGCGTGACGGGGGAGACGTGCCTGCCCCCACTGCTAAAAAAAATCCTAGAGGAAACACTGCTTAGAGACCGTTTAAAGGCTCAGGAAACCTTTGCAGGTGTTTTGAGTTAATTAGCCGATTAGGGTGTGACACCATCAGTTTCCAATATTGAACTTTTTCACAATATTCAAATTTTTAAGTTTGGGGTTTTCATTATCTGTAAGTCATAATCATCAAAATTACAAGAAACACAGACTTGAAATATTTCACTCTGTGTAATCAATCTATATAATATGAGTTTCACTTTCTGAAATGATTGACAAAAAATATTGAACTTTTTCACAATATTCAAATTTTTTGAGCTGTACCTGTATGTGCGACAGAACTGGAGCGTGGTGGACTAACGAAGGCCAGCTGATTTACAGCAGCTCCAAGCAGGACTCTGGGCATAAAGAAGCATTAAACAGAGGAAGAGGAGCGAGTTTGTAGCGAGTTAGTTAAAAGTAACTGTTAAAGTTATCGATCAGCCATCACTGAGTCCACGAATATTTGTTTTTGTGAAGTTATTTATTCCGTGTTATGAACAACAATGATGTTAAACTGTGCAGCAATAAATGAACTAAATGTTCAGTCTCCTTGCTGGTTGTTCTGACAGATTCATATTCAACTGTCAATAATATACATTTAAATAATTCTAATTAAACGTGGACTACTAGTCAACTATAAAATCTAATAGTAACAGTGCTGAACATCAAAGTTTGCTCATGGTAGAGTACTGGATCTGGTCTAGCACATTAGAAAAGCTCTCCTTCTTTTTGACTAGTGACTGTAGAGTATATAAACAGGATGCATTAAATGATTTATATTTAGCATGCTTGTCATGAAGATACTTTTCTGTAAATCATCATTCAAATGAAACACACTATGTCCAATTCTATTTAGACAAAAGTGATAAAGCTGTGCACTTTTCTGGTAACGGTAAATTAAAATGGTAAATATACTTGTATAGCGCCTTTCTAGTCTTCCGACCACTCAAAAGAGCTTTTACACTACGTGTCACATTCACCCTTTCACACACATTCACTCAGTGCAAAGTCCATCAAACAGAAACTAATTCATTCATACACATTCACAAACCGATGCACAGCATCAGGAGCAATTCAGGGTTCAGTATCTTGCTCAAGGATACTTTGACATGTGGCAGGAGGAGGCGGGAATTGAACCAATAACCTTCTTATTGGTGGATGTCCCGCTCTACCTCTGCCTCTGAGCCACAGCCGCCTCACTGCACTGCAAATGCACCACACATAGTGGAACAGTTCAGGAAAAAGTATGCTAACATCAGGAAGCAGTTTTTTGGTTGTTTAACGCACTTAAATGGTCAACATTCCTTTCCAGGAAACAATTGAGGCCTATTGAACTTTCGGATGAGTCCGCTGATGCGATTTATTTCTTGTCCTGTCTGCCAGCTGTTGTTTTGTGTCAGGGTTCACTTGCCTTGTTGAACTGGAAAAGCTCCTGTTTGACTCGATCCCTCTGGGACTCCTGGCCGTGTCGCCTGAACCTCTTCATCCTGACTCAGCACCGGCGTGGAGCCTGCGGGCCCACTGACACGCTGCGGGGAGAAAAGAGATGGCATGAGGGAAGAAGAGGGGAGAGAAAGGCGGTGACCCTCCAGGGTTGTGTCGTAGTAGGCACTCATTGCCATCATGTTTTTACACTGATTTTGAAGTCTTTTTCCTTGAAGAGGTTTGCAAGATTGTGGATCGGGAGTTCACATGCTTGTGTTGGTTAATTTCTCTTTTTTAAATCGGCACACAGATTAAGCGCTTTCCTATTTTCTTCCCTGTTAAAACTGGGGTCAGGAATGACTTCAACAGTACGAGAGAGCTAAATGCAATTGGTAACATAATTGTGATGGCAACTTTACTTACATTGGTTGCCAGTGTCTGCACTGATTTTTTCAATTCTTTTACTTGTTTTTAAAGCACTTCATGGTTTTGGCCCGTCATATACGTCACACATGTTCACAGTGCAGGAGTGTGGAGGATTTAAAACCCACCTCTTCTGTCTGGCTTTTGAGTAAGAATATGACAATTTTATGTTACTGTATTCACTTATGGCATCCTATTTTGTTGTACATTGTTTTTCTATTTAATCTGTTATTTTCATCTCATCTATTTTATCTAGTTTCTAATCTAACTTTTATTTCACACAAACCTTTATTATTATAGCTGTTAAATCCATTTCATTGTATTTTATAGTCATGTTATCGTTGTTTTGCCTTCAATATATTTCATCAAGTTTTTATTTCACTCTATTAAGGTTTACACATGTTCTGTCTTATTATGGGCTTGTCAGTCATCTGTGAAGCACTCTGAAGTGCAACCTGTATGAAAGGTGCTATACAAATAAAGTTTGACTGAGATTCTTTTCACACAAAAACAGTCAATAAAAATGACCCCCTTAATGTCTTCAGCTTGCTAGACCAATGGTTCCCAACCTGGGGGTCACCAAAACTTCAAGGGTGGTCGCAAGGACTTCTTGATTTTAAAAAGGGGTTTAAGAAAACTTAATATAAAACACATGGGCTATATCTCATCATTTCTGTGAAGAAAATGAAATGCAACTGTTATATTTAAATTTTAGATTATTTTTTAAGATCTAACCTTTGAAGACCTGAACACAAGCTATTTTCACAGAGCCTAACAAAAAGACAGGACTTAAATAGTCCGGTTAAGTATGTATGATTGATTTAATATATAAAACAATACACAATACAGAGAGAGAATTGTATAAAAAAAAAGTTCCTAAAAATATGTCTGATCAATAGTCACAGGAAATAATGTGCTCAAACTTCCTGTAGTTATTGTGTTCACTGTACACTTTCAGTTGTTCTCTACTGTTATTGTTATACCTTGAATATAATATGAAATATCCATAAAATACACCACACGAGAAAAAAAAGGTAATCCGTCAAAAAGCTAAAGTGAGAGCCAATAGTGATGAACAAACTACTAACTTTTACATTGGAGTTTAGGATGATGCCTCGAGTGTTGCACTTAGAGCTGACTTGGGACAGTCCTGTCTGTAAGTATGTGCCTGCCTCAGTGCTCATAGGAAAGTGGGACCACAGCCTGGACTCCATGGAGCCTCAGGTAGCTCACTGTGTGTTTCCTCTAACAAGACTGATGATGAGAGAAAGGAATTCTACAGGCGGAGTCCGGTACTTCATCCCTTGTCATCAGTGCACGCACGCACGCACGCACGCGTACCCCCGCTGCCAAAAACAAAAGATAACGGCCAGAGGTCGATCAGGCACAACTAAGAAACCATTGTTTGGTTGCCACAAGGCACGCACACACACATACAGGTGCAGGTGCACACACACGGTCAGCCATCGCGATGAAATCACCTGTCACACACACGGGCGGTTTCCATAGAGGCCACTTCAGAGAAGGATAAGGAAGAAGACAATGAAAAGTATTCTTTCTTTAAGCAAGACATAGGAAGTGACTGAGCGCTGTAAAACACAACTTTTGATCAGTGGTAAAGTTGTGGGCTCCACGTTGTACACAGACTGACTCGCTAAGCTCCATCACGTGAAGGAAAGGTTCAACCACAGAGCAGCAGAAAGGCCTCTGAGCCTCAGTGTCTGTGCACTCTGAGGCCGGGCTCCGTCACTCACTGACACTCAGCTATGCAGCAGAAAGCAGCTCAGAGCACAGCGTTTCAGACAGAGGGACAGGAAAACTCATAACTGCAGTCAGACATATGATCCAGAGTGTCACAAGTTCGTGACAAAGGCCTGCAGCGTGAGTCACGGTTTTCCGTCTGAACTGGCTCGTTTTCCTGGGTCCAAATGGAGACATAGTTCTGGTATTACCCTCATATCAGCAGTGCTGCCTTGACTCACTGCCGGGCTGCGTCATACATTTCCAACTCCAGCTTCCCCAAAGAAACAGTCAACACTACAGCTCGGGGCTCAGTACTCACTGCTCTCAAACTCTTATGAGGGCAGACGGAGCTGCTCAACTAGACACACTTTACCTTTCTCTCCTGGTGAATGTTTGTTGCATCACTCTTGGCTGTAATGGTACAATGTGTTTATGAGTGTATACACATGTAGCTTTCAATATGTTGGACTTAGCATTAAATGTTTAATTCTTGTTACCACAATACACCTGCACACTGCTAGTTTGTTTGTTTGTTTGTTCAACCTTCATCAGGTATTAAGTAGGTACCTTCATTTAATATTCTATTTCTAAATTGTTACAAATGAATGAATGCAGCCAAACTTTCTCAGTACAATTTTTAAAAAACATTCATTTTTGATGTACTAAGACCATGATGCACCTGACAGTAGTAAATACATTGAAAAATACATTGTCTTGTTTGACATCAATAATGCTGGTTACTAAACCTCAGTATTTTTTTTGGTACTGACAAACTGACAAAGGCTTGCTCCCATTCATACGCTCACAAGTTAGACATTTATAGATTCAAATCAAAACTGACAATTTTAGGGCTTTGTTATATGAGACAGATTTCAACATTTGGCATCTTTTTTTTTTTAAAAGAACCAGTGTGTAGGATTTAGTGACAGTGATGAGACTGCAGCCAATTGAAACCCCTGGACTCAACCAAGCGTGCAGGAGAAACTACAGTGGCTACCCTACATAGAACCAGTGTTTGGTTTGTCTGTTTTGGGTTACTGTAGGAACACGGTGGTTCAACATAGTGGACTCCATAGAAGAGGACCCGCTCCCTCTGTAGATAAAAACAGCTCATTGAAAACAACGATTATTTTATTTTTAGGTAATTATACACTAATGAACATAACTTTGTATATTACTTGCATATATTTAAATTATATTATTTCTGACAATAAATCCTCCTTAATGTTACACACATACAAAAAAAGTTTTCATTTTGCCATTTTTGAAGAGAGGACATATTTGTTTAAGCCTTGAGCTCCCAAACAGGGTTTCCAATGAAATCGTTGATTGACAGCTAAGAGTCAGTGTTGCTAGGACAAACAGCTTCTGTGATGCCCCATTGATTCACAGCATAACTTGCTAACATTAGCAGTGATTACATTACTCCATTATTAATCACGGAGCAAAGTATGGAGGTCATCGACAGGGTTAAAAGGTGAAGTCAGTGAGTCTGCAGTTCAAACCAACTAATGATTACTTTCATTATCCATTCATCTGCCAGTTATTTTCTCCATTAATTGTTGCACAGCACAGGTTATTAGGGCCTAAGCTGATGTAAATGGTAAATGGACCTGTACTTATATAGCGCCTTTCTAGTCTTCCAACCACTTAAAGCACTTTTACACTACATGCCACATTCACCCTTTCACACACATTCACTCAGTGATGGCAAACGGCTCATCACAAACAGAAACTCATTAACTCATTCACACTCATTGATGTTGTCAAATGTCTGATAATAATTTTGAAGACAAGGAAATGTTCACATTTGAGAAGCTTGAACAAGAGAATTTTTGTTGATGATTGTAAAAAACAAAAAACATTTTAATAATAATTAGCACACCGGTGAAAAGAAACAATATATATTATATTGGACTTTAAAAGAGAACATTTCAGAACACAAACAACACTATCATTTAGACTGCTGAGACTATGAGGGATGTTAGAACTCTCACTGGTAAAATAAACACAAGTGGAGGTTCATCAACAAGTAACTTGCTTGTTATTGCAGCAGGTTACAAACTTGTAGTCCTTGTAGATACCGTGTGTGTGTGTGTGTGTGTGTGTGTGTGTGTGTGTGTGTGTGTGTGTGTGTGTGTGTGTGTGTGTGTGTGTGTGTGTGTGTGTGTGAGAGAGTGAGAGAGAGAGAGAGAGAGTGTCCCAGGAGAAGCAGCGGAGCAGAAAGAGGGAGCTCAGAGCCGTAAGCTCTGCTGACAATGGCAGGGTGGGAGGTCTGCTTCACAAGCACAACGGCTTCTACGGGCTACGGGAGGAATCTGCTGATGGAAAACCAGAAGAAGGATACAACCCTCACGCATGCACACGTGTAAACACTGACGCAACAACCTGCATGGAAAGCTTGGGTAAAAAACAGCCATCACCACATGCTACGTTGTCAGGTCAGGTGGGAGTTTCTCTCTGCAGACATCTTAATCCCACGGCTGTTTCTCTCCAACCGGATTAATTGTGGCCTTTCAAGTAACCTGACAGACATTAGAGTGCAAATTACCCGTTCATTAAACGCACTCAAGTGTTATTTCTACAGCAGCTACTTATCAAGGGCCGAAGCTGGGATTGAACATCACAATTATGTGAGCTGCAGTGATGTTTAAGGCTGTAAATTCAGACAGCTAGATTAACCTCCTCCTCTTCTCCCGCTCCAAATCGTGTACAGTCTGGCTTTGGCCACGAACAAACAACCCAATGTTCAACAAGCTGAGCAGACAAGGCAACAACTCAGCAGTTGTTAATGATCACCATACAACAATTTCTATGGAAGAGGTGTCTTTTTTATCCTCTCCGAGACACGGAGTTTCATCAGAGGACAGGTCACAGAGCATTAGTAGGCAGGAGAGGAGCAGGAAGTAGACCTGTGTTTTGCTCAAGGACACATGGA